CTATTTTGGGCACTGCTCCCATGATGACCATTTAAGAAAAACCATGTCACTTACTGTTTTCAAACTTACAGGAAAGAAACATGGGCCTAAAATATAGCTTCAGTAGGCAATGCAATCTGCCAGTTAAACAGTTTTTTTGTGAAATTTTAATTTTTCACATATTGGCATTTTCAAGGTGTGACTTTGAAGTTCCACAGGCTTGAAGACCCATGCTTGTCACATTTTCTGAAAATCCATGATACGTATATTTTATTATTATAAATTGATTGTCATTATGCTGGTAACCATTATGTAATATTGCATCAGAATAGTAGAAAACACAATTTTGGGTGCTGCTGCCATGATGACCATTATGGGAAAACCATGTTACTTATGATTGCCAAACTTTCAAAAAAGAAATACAGAACTAAAATGCAGCCTGAGTTGGAAAAGCAGTCTAATTGACTTCTTTTTCTGGAAGTTTTACATTTTCAAAGGGTGAACTTGAATTCCCATGGGCCTGAAGCCTTATGTTTGTTACACATTTTACTTACATTGGTATTACCTGTTGAGCATAATTAGAATTTGATGTTGAATTTGCAGTATAACATAATGTACTTTTGCATCAGAATTGACAGTAGCCTATTTTGTTATTTCCTGCTTTTTGTCTGTACATTTGACAGCTTTGCTGCCTTTTTTTTTTTTTTTAAATTTGCCAGAATATCAGAATGATGTTGCTCTATTACAGATCAGTGTCTGGGTCTTCCAGTGGTATACATCAGGATTTAAATGTGAACCAATTTGTGTACGTAGGAGGTGTAGAGGACTATAGCCAGCTGAGGGCCAGGCTTGGGGTCAGTCAGGGCTTCACTGGCTGTGTTGCCAACCTGCAGGTACAGGGGAATGTATACAGGTAACTTTCAAATACTTATTGTCATAATAGTCAACTGATAAATATTAATGCTTTTATCTATGTTTTTTTTTCACTTTTTGAGTTCTTATTTATTAATTTGCTAAATATTTATGAAGAATTTGTATTGTCTGAAACAACATTTAGTGGTGAATTGATAATGAGACTTCATGAAATCTTGCCACTTTGCACTTTCTTTGATCCTGTGATATACTAGTTTTATTTTTATCACAGTCCCAATGATGCAGTGAGTGGGGTGAACGTAGGGCAGTGTGACGGTGACCTTTGTCACACAAGTCCCTGCCTGAACCATGGCACCTGTACCACACTTCCTGGCTCATACCTGTGTACTTGTGGGGAACTCTACCACGGTGACAAGTGTGAATTCACTAAAGATGGTTGCTATAACAACCCATGTGCATCTGGTGCTACCTGCTTGCCTGTTGGAGATGCCTTCCTGTGTTTATGCCCCTTGATGAAAACTGGGTATTTCTGTAATGAAACACAAGGTAAAGACTTTGTATTTTAGCTGTGTTCCAGGTGAAGAATGTTATTGGAAATATTTAAACCAATAATAAACCAATAAAATATATTTTGATATCAACCACAAAATTCAGTTGGTATTTTAGTTTTTATTACTTATTATTATTTTAGTATCAAAAAGGGAATATTCAGCACAAGAGCAACTAAATGTTAAGATTGATGTGTTCTGCCTAAAGAACACCCACACATGCAGTGACATTTTCATTACTACCAGAGTGGATGATTTATGACATTTAAAAGTTATTTTTCAAGCATTAAACAACAGAGAAAATTCATTCATTATTTTCCTTTGTTCCTTTTGACATTTTTATCTTTGACTGTAAGAACTTTAATATTTTCAGATCAATAAAAGTGATTATTTCTGTTTTTTTTTCCTTCCTTCTTTCTTTCTTTCTTTTTTTTAAATTATATATGATATACATTTTCTGATCTTTTTTTCTGATTTTTTCAGATCTGGCTCAGGTTCAGCCACATTTTGGAGGTCAATCTTTCCTACAGTTCACAACCCCACAAAGCATCTCCAACATCATCAGACTGAGCATTGTGTTCAGACCTGAGCAAAGAAATGGTTTGCTGATATATTCAGACCAAGGAATAATGTCGGGAGATTTCATTGCTGTAGGAATGAAGGATGGTTACCTGCAGTGTAGAATCAATATAGGTATTTTAAAAAGAGTTTTTTTAAGATTAACTTAAGTAATTATTTCATGTTTAATTTTGTTAAATATGTAATTTTTTCATTAAATTACTAATTAACATACAAGTACTGTGATTGCAAGTAAAATAGCAAAAACCATAATACCAAAAGAATTTATATATTTTGTATCAAATTGCCTTTTTCTCCAGGTTTTGGTCTTCACATTCTTCAGAGCCTGACAGAACTGAATCTCAACCTGTGGCATAAAATCCAGTTTATAAGAGAACCCACTAAGCTGACACTGGTGGTGAATAATAGTAACCAGACACAAGTGCTGCCATCTGGTGGTATCCAGGTCCTAACCCTGAGTTCACCATTGTATATCGGTGGCTTGTCTGACTTCAGCACAATACATCCAGATGCAGGGTTTGCTACATGGTTAACAGGGTGCATACAGGAACTACAGGTAAATGTATATCACAGTAGTCCAATTTACATCTTGCTGTTAACCTACATCTGGATTTAATTGACTTTTTCTATTATAACAGAGAAAAACACATGTATTATATGGCAGTTAATTTATGCACTGCCTTTACATTACATCAGTAATGCTTGAATCAAGTACTTTCTTATGTCAGAGAGCAGTTTCAGTGATAACAAGAATATTATCCATGCTTAATTTGCATTTCCCTCATTTACAAAGTGGAGTTCTACTTTAGTTTGTACTTCATAGTTGTTTTTTGTATTTCTACCAACTCATTTATTGACAAGAAATATAAACGTTTGCTGGGCAGAGCATTGAAAAATTGTGCCTCTTATTGTTTAGATTGGTGGAGAAACCATGAACCGTATCCAGTGGGCTGCTGCCACAGAGGGCAGACATATCTCCCAGTGTCAGCAGACCCCCTGCGTGGTGGGGACATGTGACAATGGAGGACAGTGTCAGGTGGTCACAGATACCACTGCCAAGTGTACCTGTAGAGTGGGGTACACTGGAGACAGGTGTCAAACAGGTAAGACACAGGAAAAGTTGAAGATGAAGTTATATGCTCTAGAAAAACTGAGTTGCATGTATGATAAAATGTGTTGCATGTGTTTTTTAAAATATTTTTTCTCACTATTAACAGACTTACGAAAAGAGAACACAAAATTTTCTGCAATTTGTATCGAATGATTATTTTATTTTATGCTCAGCACAAAGGATCCAACTTCCTTCCTTTAGCTCTGATAGCTATGTAACACTGTTTAGAATGTTGCCAACATCAGCTGAATCATCTGTTGAAATGGAGATCAGACCATTACAACTGTCAGGACTTCTTCTGTTGAACCAAGGGAGGAGGGATGTGATAGGTACATTTTATTAGTCAAAAAAGTTATTACTTAATTTGCTTTCATTTGTTTTATTCGGTTATGGTAATCATGCAAGCGTTGCATGATACATTTCATTGTGCAGGTACAATTTTTCAGTTTTTAGGGAAGTTTTTCATTGTAAATTTTTGAAATAAGTGTGAACATGTATTAGTAATCATTATATTTGTTGAATTTCACTTTTAAGGTCTGTATCTCAGTGGAGGATACCTTGTGTGGATGTATGACCTTGGATCTGGATCTGTCTCGATACAAAGTAACATTACTCTTCAAACTAACCAATGGCATACAGTGACACTTACAAGGAATGGTCAAATTGGACAGATGAGAATTGATGGACAGCTGTCAGGTTCTGGCTCCTCCCCTGGTGTTAGTCTGACATTGGAGGCTGGTGATGTGACATATGTGGGTGGAGTTCCAGATCAGATTTTTCCAAGACTGCAAAGCATGAGGAATGTGAAAGGTATAAAGATAAAAATAACCTGTCCATTTCTTACCAAAGAAAACACACCATTGTGGACGCAGAATTAAAAGGAAAGTACTTTAGAGCAATTTAACTAGTGGTGCAAATGTTGTCAGTATGATTATTAGATTCAGTAAAAGCTTAATGTCATTCATAAACTGCAGTACAGTAAAAATCACAATAGGTTGCATTTTTATCTTTCAGGTTATACAGGTTGTATAAAAAGACTTTCCATTCAGAACAGTGAGATTGACTTAGGCAGCATTCAGGATGGTTACAACATAGCTGAATGTGCAATGTTACCATGTGAACAGCACCAGTGTGCCAGTGGTGCCACCTGCCAGCAAAATATCCAGGCAAACACATATTCCTGTCTCTGTGCAGCAGGCCAAGCAGGTACAAAAGAATCAATAAACCAATGTTTTTAGTACTGGGAGCTCTTTCCTACTGCAGATTTTTAATCCTATAACAAGTTCTTGTGTAAAATTACAATATGTTAGAATGACTGTTGAATTTTTTAAATTTCCTAATATTTGGTTCATTTGTAATGTATAAAAAAGGTACTTTTAATTTTTACATTTTTCATCAGAGATTTTAAAATCTAGAAAAGTAGTTTATGTAACCTCAGTCACAACATTCCTTCCACAGGCCAGTATTGCAACCTGACTGTGTGTGATGTTTCCCCTGGCAACCAGCGGTGTCAGAATGGTGCTTCCTGTTACGTTGGTTCTACTGGGACTGCTGAGTGTCTGTGTACACACAGGTATACAGGGGATGTGTGTGATCAAGGTTAGTATTTTAATTTTATCAGTATCTGTTCAGTTGGCAGGTTAACAGTTCAAATCAGTACTAAACAAATTATGGATTTGAGTTCTATTTATTGGTCTCCGAGAAAAAAACTCAAGATATATCTGATATTTAAAATTAGATGCCCACTTTGACTTCCAATTTTATCTTTTTTTAGTTACACCTTTTATCATCTATCTGTTTTAATATGAGCAAACTTTATAAAGAAGTTTACATACTTCCACATATAACCTGTGTCCAGTGTTTCTGTATAAATATCACATACATTAATGCAAAACACATTTTGATGGATGGTGTTTTTTTTTCAGCTCTTAGTATCCAAGGACCTGTAAGTTTTTCTAGAACTTCATACCTCGCTTATCCATCCACAGACTTTGCAAGGTAAATATGTGACAGATCACACTCTATTCAAGCCCATGTTATTTGACTTACTTTTTTCAAATTCTGTTTAATTATTTTTTTGTATGTTTATAGTTATCTTAATTACTTATGTATATTGAATGTCTAACCTGTGCTTTAAGTGTATGTATTCATTGCCTGCCAGTCTCATATATACACTGTGTTATTTAGTATGAAAAAAAAATGACTTTTTTGTAAGGAACTCTTAAAATTCAATTTAACAGTTGATTAATTCCTATTGAAATGTGAAACCCTTTTATGCATTAACCTGTCAGCTTATATTCATATCTGATGCTATAAACATTTTTCTTTTACTTATTTCTAGCAATTCAACTTATAATTATATCCTGGTGATATTTCAAATCTCTGGTGAAAATGGTTTGCTCATGTGGTATGGGGAGGTAGGTTTTCTTTGCCATTCAGCTACTTCTTTTAAGAAAAATATCTTAAACCCCTTTCTGTATTTAAGTAATGAAAATACTTTGTATATTTAACACCATACATTTATTTGGCAATATAGGAAAAAGAAAAAATTCAAAAGAATTGACATCCTCTTTTATTTTTCTAGGAGAGACGGGACTATATCTCATTAGGTTTCACAAATAACATATTTGAATGCAGGTATGGAAAAGTTATAAGATGTTTAAAAGTGGGAATATCAATTTATTCAGTTTGCACATGCTAAAGTATTTGTGCTGCTGTTCATAATCAGATACATGTTAAAATAAAAGTCCTGAAAGTTTAAGAACATATGTTTTCAAAAAAGGATTTTTCACAATTGTAATTTAAATTGTAGATTCAACTTTTTTATTGCTAATTTTTGTATATAGTATAATTTATTGCTTCCTTGAACATTTAAGGGTAAATCTTGGAAGTGGTGTATTTACATTGCCTGCCACAAGAACTTTCCTAGAAAAGGGTGCATGGCTGCAGGCAGCTGTTGAAAGGTATTTATCTCTTTGTAAGCTTCCTTCACGTTTTAATGTATTCCATATGAAAGCTGTATGTTTGCAACAACTCTGATAGTATTGAAAAATCAACATTTTCCATCAGTTAATGCCATGAAAACTGGCATTTATCCCATACAATAACCATTAAAGAATCTTTTACAGGAATGGACAGTCTGTTACACTAACCATGACATCAGCAACAGGCCAGACAGATACCTATAACAGTGATTTCCAAAATACAGATGGAGAAATCAATACAATGGCCTCTTTGGTTTACCTAGGTAATTTTTACACACTGTAATCAAAATTTGATGTAGATTTGATTATTCCTTATGTAATTTTATGATTCTATCAAGTACAATTTTATTTATCCAATTTAAACACTGTTCTTGAAAACATATTTTAGTGTCAGGTATATCTCTTTTTCTTTTTTCAGATGAAAGCAATTTTTAGTTTTGTAATTGTATCATTAAATTTTATTAGTGGCAAATGGTGATATGATAAAAATCCTGGCAGTAAAATAATGTTGTTACCTACAGAATCAATAACAATTAGTTTAGAAACAAGGCAAGTGCATGTTTTATCCAGAGAATATTTTCTTCTCTATTTAGGAGGAGCACCAGGAGTGGATCTGACCACATCTGGCCACTACAGCACTGGCTTTCATGGCTGCATTGCTTCTGTCCAGTTTTCTTCAGTTCCCATCAGTGTCTTTTCTTCAGCAGTGTCTGGTGCTGGAGTTTCCTTATGTCAAACTGCTGGGTAAAGAATCATCTCTTTACAAATTCTTTAATATTCAACAGTTGACCCGTCCAAATGTACAGTAAATGCTCTCCAAAAATTAGCATTGGTTGTGAGAAGGGGATTCAAGGAATGATATATCTGCCTGCAAAGACATGGCCCACTAACTTGAGTGTTTTTTACCGACTCAGTAAGAGTGAATAGGTGATGTACCTTTTATTATATGCATTCCATTTGACAATTTATGGGACAATCATTTCAGTGATAAAATTCAATCTAAGTTGATAATTAAACTTTCATGTATTTTTACTGAAGCCAATGGTAGAATAGGTTAGTTTTGTGCTGTTCAGTTTTTAATACTCAAGTCTGAACTTTTTAAGAATGCTAAGGATATGGAGAATGATAAGGAGAACCCCTGATTTATGTCCTTATTTATCACACAAATGAAAAAAGTTTTTGGATATTAACTAACTTTTATCATAATTTTGATAAGCTTTTCTGCATTTTGACTTTATGAAAAAGTTTGTATTGTGAAAGGAAGTAATACTTTTTAGAGAAATTTGAGTACTTAATTCTTGGGACCATTAAGCATGTATTATGGGCTCAAATTACTTCTTAGCTTTTTACATATATACACTCATTGTTGTAGATGTAAAAAATCTCATTTTTATACTAAGAAATATTTATATATGTTCATATTTATACTCAGCGCTTAGCTTTACAGTTTTGTAGAAAGACTTTAATATAAATTTTTTAATGTAAATTGCCCTTTTTTGAAAGAACATTTACATTTCCCTCCAATTTTTTCATTCATTTACATAAAAATGTACAAAGTGTCTTTTTTTTTAATATAATCATTACATTTTTATTGTGGAAATCATTTTCATCATACACTGGTATTCCAGAAGTTTAAATAAATTTACTTTCACTAAAACCACTTTCTGTTATGCCATTCTAGCTGTGTAGGTGCAGGGGTTAATATATGTGTGTTTCTTGCATAGGCTGTCAATAAATAATCTGGTATCTTAGATGATAATAACCTCAAACATGCTACAGATCATTTAAGAAAGAAAACTAAAATACCAAATTTAATCTTTTAAGAACACATCCATTGCTGTATGTTGATGATGTTAAGTTTGTTCAATACGTTATAAATGCAAACATTTGGCAAAAAACACAGTAGCTCTCCCTTTTATGTATAAGAAATATTCATCTTAATTTTAATGCAAAGACTCCAAAATAAGTGTTATCTTATTGATAACATTAGTAGTAAATCTTTGAAGAAAATGTTCCGGCACCGAATTGCAGCACTTATTGCGTTAGCCTGTTGATAGCTGTTCGGGTTGGGGAGATCTATTTGTAATCGATATTAGATTTTTCTACCTAGAATACACTGCTGTAATGCCATCATTCCTTGAATTAGCAAATTTGCCCTGGTTTTATTTTGATGTGACAGCATTATTTCATACAATGACAATGATTACTTCTGCATTATCTAAATGGATAAAAAAATAACGTATCAAATCCTCATTAATATCTACTAAAAAGACCCAAGTTGTATGGAGGAAAACGTTTGTGGAAACACTTGGAACTAATTCATTTCATAAGGAAATGATATAAAACAAATGATTAAAACCAAAGAGCAGAGGTGGATTAAGCAATGGTTTGTGAGCATGGTAATTTTTAGAAAAATTATGTTTTAATATAATTTTAATCATATTAAATTTTTTTTCAAAGATTTGCACCAAATATGATTTAAAAAAATAGATTTGAAGTAAAATCCTGTATTGAATTATAATGGACCATACTTGGGTCGAGGTTGAAATTACGAGACGGCGGCACCCTTCTAAGTAAAACCCTTTTTAATGACCTCAATGGGGTGAAAGTGGATTGCGATTGTGGCACCAAAAATCAGATCTGTGAAAGACCGGGTCTATGGGGTCTGTGCAAATGAAAATTGTGAAAATTTTACTGGAACCAGTTTTTAAAATGGGCTTTAAAACTACCAGCAGATTCATGTGGAATAAAAGAAATAAGGTCAAAGTTTGAAGATTAAATATTTCCTTTAAAAGTTTCGCGTTTTTTTAAAACATACATTTAAAAATGAAATACATTTAAAATTGGTTTTAAAAAAAATAAGTGATACCCATTAACCCCTATAGGAGGCGCCACATACCAATCCTCCATTCTCATTCAGACTGAAGGGGTGTGTGGTTTCATTGTAGGGTCATTGACAAATTGCGATTTTAGAAAACTCTTTTGTCAGTCTACGTGTCAGACGGCAGTCATTATGAGATCGGATAGCGTTCGCCGATAACGGACAATGAAACAGAACAATGCTCTCTAATCACTATCTTAAACTTAGCCTGTCCCCCTCACTATACATATAATACGGAAGCCCTAATTGAAACCATGTGGCGGTCGGTTTGTTTTCAGATTGCATTTCCTGCTTAGACGTTGCAAGTGGCAGAGTTGTGTGGTAATGGTGTCGTGGGCCTCTCAGACTTGCTAAGATCCACAAGGAATATCTAACGTGCACATTCTTATTCACTTTCGGGTGGATGAGATTGGCAGTAAAGAACTTAGAAGTATGTTACTGGTGCGGCGTGTTCTACTCGCCGTCTTGTTTCTTATTCTGGATTACACCACGGCAAGAAGCAGTGGTAAGTTTCTGTTGACATTGACATTTTTGATGTAATATATTTGGCTCGTTTGGTGATCTAGTTCTAGTATAATGCCACTAAATGCATTTATATTGCCTGTGAGATACGCAACTGTAGCTCGATCCGTGGCCTGGGCGGTAGGGAGTTGCTCTAGCCACCTGGTCAGTGCATGCAATAAAACACCAAGAAATCATCGCTGCCCTGCAAATGTTGCTTATTACCTTGCTGGGAAACATTGCAACTAAAATACTGCCAGATGGGATTCAGATGGTGAAATTCAAATACAGTTAAATCCACAATTGTTTTACATTATAATTTCTTTAAAACTTTATATCAACTATTTTATATAGCCCACAAGCAATAAATGCATGAATGCTCGTCTCATAATTGGAATATGCATCCTGGAGCACCCCAGTCTCAGTATTTTTAAAGATGGGTCAAAAATTTTGAACATTAGCCAGGTCTTACTACTTTTACAGATGTCACTTAAGTAGATATTGTTTGCAAAAGAGCTTTGCAATTAATCCATAAAACTGAAACAGCATTACTAGAAGAAATGTGATTATTTGTATTAAAAATGCTTTTGATCTTGTTTTTGATTAATAATATATTATAATTATAATATATTATAATAATTTTCTGATGATTTATTGCAATGCAAAGTTACCATTTTCTAATGATATTGAAAATGGCAATTCTGCATTGCCTGAAAGCAAACCTTTATTATGTCCTACTTGAACCACCTGGCAGTTTTTCACAATGCTTTCGTCTTTCTTTAAAACCTGGTCATGGTTATCTGTGTATCATGTTAGCCAAGATTTAGCTGCACCAATTCCTTTTATACTGATACTAAACTCTGTACATTTCATATGAAGAAAATCTTCCTTATTAGTATCAAGTTACTCTAATTGTACTTTAGAAACCCATATTTCATGGCACCACAGGATAAGGTTTTTTATTATGTATAATTGGTCTGACAAGGAGAGAGGTAGAATTTCTAATAGATATAATTCATATGAACCAATGAACTTTACGGCAAAGAATTTAAAAAAATGTTATTATGCTTCATATGAACAGATTGGCATTGCTGGCAAAGCATGTTGATCATAGCAGAAAAATACTTAGAAATGAAAAATTGAGAAGTGAATATTAAGTATTTTTACATGGAACTGAAAACTGAGTTACAACTGTAAAATGTTGATTTTTTTAGCTCTTTAAAAATGATGATTCTTAGGCTATCATTTTGATATAGATCAGAAATTTCAAACATTTTTGAGAATTTTAAGGTACTAGACTTCTGGCATTCACTTGAAATATATTCCTTCATGGTTAAGTGGTTCTAAGAATTGTAGTGTGTGTAAGGTCACCCAGAATGTGCTGGGGAGGTTAGTGTTGCCCATTTACCTTGTATTTACGGAGAGCAGGTGAGGAAAATGGCACTGGGGCCCTCCTAGGAGTAGAACCACAACCCCCAACTTGTGTTTAACATTAAAATAGCCAGTGAAGGATTCAGCTGAAATTGGAATCTCTAATTTTTCTCCTGAATACAGATTACATGTATAAATGTTTCATAGATATGTCATACTATAAATTGTGAATTGGAAGCATCAGCTAGAGCTACAATATGACTGTAGATAATAGTATCTGCATACAGAAATTGTTTAGTCCCAAATTTTAAAGGATTCACAGTAGTAAGATGCTATATTTTTTATTTTGAGATTTGCAAATATCAAAGTTGGAGGTACAGCATTACATATATATACAAGAGGCGTAACTTTATATTGTATCAAGATGTCAAGATGATAGTTTACTCGCACTCTGAGTATCATTGTTTTGGCTACGTAAAATTGATATTGATGGGATTGTTTGAGAACCTTACATACCTACATGTTAGCAGTGTGGTGGGGAATCATTTTAGTCTGTTTATCCATTTGCTTGTAACAAAAAAAAAAGTTACTCTTAAAATTCCTAGTATGTATGGAAGTACATGAATGATGAAATACAGATGTCATAGGGTGCTTTCACAGAGATTTAGATCGATCTAAAGATTAAGTTTTAGATCGACCTAACTCCCTGGGGGTTCACGCTAAATTGCAGTCAGCCGAGCGGGCACCATAGTTAATTACCCCCTTACAGCTTTTAGTAGGCGGGACAGACGCTTAAAGGGATAATAACTCTTCGTATGAGATCTATATTTCACAATAAAAACATTGTGAATAACTCATAGAAATGTAATATATTCTGTTTTACCACAAAAACGGAAGTTATAGCTATTATTCTGATATCTGAGCTTGTCTTTAGACCACGTGATCTCCATTGATGGCTATACTCTGTTAAAATCTCTTAAGAGATTTTAACAAAAAAACAAACTTTTTGGAAAAAAACCAGGGACTAACTTTGAATGTAAAAATGGATTCATTAACCATTGGTAAGTTTGGGAAAATTGTTGTTTACTCCAGGAAAATTCATTTTTTGGCCGAAATGAAGAGTTGTTATCCCTTTAAGCCGGCCAAGCTGACAGTAATCTAGTGAGACTTCCCACAGGGATAGATCGATCTAAAAATCTATGGAAATGAGGTGTTAGTGATACCCCCTCCCACCCCACCCCCCCAAAAAAAAAGGGAGGGGGAGATATAAAGAAATAAAAAGAAAAAGAAGACATTCAAGGTAATTTGGAGTTCTAGATTCTTATGTCAGTTGCTTTTAAAATATGTGGAATCATTGTGCTGATCATGATTTTGAATCAGTTATTCCGTAGAATGAAAACTAAGTGCACAGTAATTTCCGCAGTTGATTCATGATGTCAAGTATGGGCTGTTGTACTCATATATGTAGAACAGCTAGGATGGAATGCTGTTACCACTCACTTGGAGTGTAAGCACGCACACTTGAACTTAGGTAAATCACAGTTGAAAGAAGCAATAGTATACAGAATATACCTGGATTTCATAGGGTCAAGGATCTACAACTCATCCAGAATTTATTCAGAACTTACCCACGCAGAACTCCTAAAAAAAGAAGCATTCTAGCAATAAATCAAATTCAACTTAATGAAAATACGAGATAGGTTAGGTCCCTAGTTTAGTTGGATTCCTTTACAGTTACCAAAAGGTTAACCAATCAATTGCCCACATTTGAACTTTAGAATGACAGAAGTTGTCTGATCATTAAAGCAATAAATCAACTTTGAGATTAATTAGTGGATAGTCTGAATTCCCCAGTCTGAGTAATAGGCAAACATGTCTATCTCCTCCTTCCTGTAAACTGTTGCTTTAAATGTTTAAGTTTAATATTTAATTCCAGTTTATGGAGATAGTATACTCCTTTTAAGCTCCTGCAAAGAAACTTTTAATATTATATCTTGTCAGCCTCTATCATATGAGAGCATTTGATCCTATTGTGTAAAGAGGCAATCAGTCTGTATCAGAATTGTTGGGATGTATTAGTTTATATATAACTGAACAGGGATGGATGAAAATGTGCCAGCCCTGAAATCCCTATGTGTAAACATGCTTTAATTTGTAACATTTAATTTGTTACATAATCTTTATTAGATCCCTACTGGGACAGAAACCAGGTAGACTATATCAGGGAGTGATTAGATGATAAATATCCACTTAAACTGTTTGGGATTTTAAAGTGTATTTTACACAGTGTTCATAGATTTGGATATAAATTTTAGTATTTTTAAATACTTGGAAGTAGGTAGATGTACATATTATTAACAATGGAAATCATCTGAGATAGCCCAAAATGAGACTTTCAGCACTGAGGAACTTTGACACAGGTGTACAGCAACAGTACTAGAACTGAGACCAAAAGATTCCATTAATGTGATCATTGTTCAATCTACAATTGAATTTTTCCCTATGTGACCTCAAGGTGATGCCAGAGAATTCTAATAGTATCTTCACATAATGTAGATCTATGCAATAGCGGTAGCATGAAGCTACTACCGATGCTTTAAAAAATCGTAAAGAAGATCGTATACCATTTCATCATACAGCAACGATAGCAAATGTAATCTAGGCTTTAAGTTGTGAGACTGAAATTATTCCCATTTGTAGCTTCATGCACTCCATTACTGCCATGCAATGAAGATGTTATGTTTAGTAATCATTAAAGCACAGTGTGAAGTGTATTTTGTATTAATTAAATGTTATGGCATATGCTCAGTGCTCTGTTTATTACTTCTATGTCTGGTTTCCTACTACCTCCCAGACTGGTGCTGTGTAGAAAAGCTTCCAAAAACACCTTAGAAAAGGTCACTGTTGCTATGAACTTGCATTTTTACTCTTGATTGCTGTACTGCTAGTTTGTAAGCAAGCTCTGGATTTAGATCTTAGTAGATAAAATTGGTTTGGCTCCAAAAGGTGTTATGAGAAAGGGGGCAGGATTCTGTCAAACCTTCTGTTTCCTTTCATTAAGTGTTTCCTGAGGAGCCATCTATCATTTGTGAGAGGTGATAATAAACCTTCTCTTATTGTCAGTGGGGAAGTGTCAAATGTCAGCTGGGCATAACTATTTGTTCTTACACACTTTCATTAATATTTTGATTTTGGAATCGGCAAAAATTTGAGGTGGCACAGTAAGGTCAAATAACCAGTTAATGTGCACGAATTATTTTGTTAATTTTTTTGTTTGCACATTTATGATAAATGGAGTTTATAATCAGGCCTACCCAACTACCAGACTCGGCATTGAATGATCCTGAATTCACTGGTAGATCAGACCACACTACCCGTTTTCAAGGTGTGCGTCAGAACTTGCTGCAAAATGACACTGCTCTTGCCTAGTATTCGATGTGATAGCGATGATTCTGAGCTGGGTTGGAAAGTAGTGCATCTCATCTCAAAATTTGTTCTGGGGTATTATACTGTGAAATGTGTACTGACGCACACCTTGAAAACGGTTTGTGTGGTGTGATCTAATGTTGAATTCGGGATCATTCGCTTCTGAGTCTGGTAGTTGGGTAGGCCTGATAATGAATGACAAAGAAATGAGCGGCAATTTATTACAGTAAACCTAAGCATGAAGTCATAAAGTATGTATATTGTGCCAAGTATTCTGGTAATGACTGGATCTTTTCAATGGGAAAAATTTAATCAATCTTTCAGATACATAATTTTGGGATCATTAAAAATATATATCTGTTTACAGTGTATCATCTGTGCTGCTTTTTTTCTATATATATAATAGAACTATATATAAGATAGACAGCTTTTCATTGATGTTTCTGTCGCTCAATAGGAATATGTTACAATTTTAAGAATTTCTGACTTGAAAAAATACAGTATCTGCAAAATTCCCAATTTTCCCCATAAAAAGATTGGGTCATTAGGTTTCTACTCCAGTACTCAATTGGGCCTGTAAACCCAATGTTTGGACTCGGTTTTTGGGGCAATGAACAGTTTATATTTATTATAACAAGTGCAAGGTCAAAGAGTTTTCCTTAATGCATTTTCCACCCTTTTCACTTGAAACTGCACCAAATTCCTCCATTTGGATAGTGCACTTAAAGTGCCCCAATATATTATAGACTGGGATGTGAATAGTTTACAAAGATAGTCATTGTAGGCATTAGTCTGTAGAGACCCAGTTTGATACATGGGCTCTAATATCACAGAATGGTCCTCATTTTCTTGTTTCTCAGACACACACAAAAAGCTGAAAAAATGAAAGATTGTGTTATATAACATCAGGCATCAGTATCAATCAGACATGTCCCCTCCAGTCAAACATGGACAGTTATAACGTTTAACACATCTTTTTCATCCCCAGATGCTTCCCTTGATATCATCCAAGCTTTGAACATCAGTCATGAGCAGCAGGGAGTTATCCCAGTGCCTGGGGTCAAGCCAGATTACCTGACTGCCTGGCAGCTACGGCCACAGTTTGTCCGCCATCCACTTCCTCAGGGATTACTAGATCAGTTCACAAAGCGCATCAGTGAAGGATTTAGTTTACACATGATTCTCAAGCAGGCACGGAACTCTGTGGCCTCACTACTAACCATATCTCTAGCTAAAAGTCATATGCCAAAGTTGCACATTATTTCAAACTCCAGACATAGACATTTGTTGATTAAATACTGCAGTGGAAACTGCACCACTCTGTCCACTTTAAAACTTTTTTCACCTTTTACAAATCACACAAAATGGAGTAAAATTCTCTTCACTGTTAGTGAAGAATATATTCAGGTCTTAGTGGATTGCAGGAAATTGTTGGTTATCCCACTGGAAGTTCCCTTGAATGTCCACACTTTGTTCAGGGATGCTTCAGTTTATTTTGGACAGGATGGCAATAACAAAACTAAGTTTGTGGTAAGTGTGCCTGCCCAAAACATGTGGAATATATGTATATATATTCATATATAAGCCAAAAATCTCAGTCTAATGTATGTTTCAGTTCTTTTTCACATGAAAAAAAGAAATAAAAATATGTGAGACAGAACCTAGCATTTCCTAAGTGTCGAACAAAGTACTTCAACTTGTATGTTAAAAGCTTCAGTTTCACACATACAAATATTACTTTTAAGTCGACCTAGATTGCAAATTCCGTAGTGTTTTTATGATGGTTCTCTCTTGTTTCGACCTTTGGTAAAATGACTTTTGTTACAAGAGAAATGAACTGCCCTTTTGGCTAGGAAAAAGATTTGTTTTGTGAATGGGTTCTGTGAATGTGCATAGGTTTTGCAACAAAAAGATTTGCCTTTTTCCAGAAAAGAGCCCCATCCTTTGAAATTGTTGAGGACATACCTAAATTAAGTAGGAATAAAGTGCAATATGAATTTATTGATGTACCTTTATCTTTTTCAGATCTTTATGTCAATGTGTATGTCTACGACACTTGTAGGTTGTACATTTATAAAAAGCTAGGTTGTCTTATAAATTATAACTTTTTTCTAAGGGTTCTGTCCAGGTTGTCAAGTTGTTTCCTCATATTGTGGAGAGGAGACTTTGGAAATGCAAGCAAAAGCAGGAAGAGACAGGTGCGTCTACAAAACCTACAGCAGTATCAATCTTTTCTTAATTTCATTACATTATGCTAGGGTTGGTGTCTGTTTGTTTTGGCATCAACTCAATTAACAAATTGACATCTAGTGTTGTCATACCTGTTAAGTTGCGCCATTTCTATATTTTCTGACATTTGCTGTAATTGATAAGAAAATTAATCGTAACACCTACTTGCCATTTGTTTTTGTTATTGTCTGTGCAGTTAATAGTTTTCAGGTTTGGAGGTGCCATAAATCTCTTTGAGACTGAGAATAGTCTATTTAACTTGAAATGTATGAGAAATAATTAAAAGGCATTGATTCTATGCACTTCTACTGAATATACTAGCATATTCAGACATACACATTACCCCAACATACTGAAGTGAATGAACATGCTAAAAGTTACATAGTACATATACATGAATTTACAAAGGTGTGCATTCAGTCACTCATCACTGGTCATTTCAGTTGTAAATCCACCAACTGAGCAACCCCAGCAAGATGCCCTTAACACTCTGGGAAACAATAATGCTTTGCCAGCTCCTCTAGAGTATCAAGTCCAGCAGTTGTCAATGATGGTGGATATGCTAAAACAACAAGTAATTATAAATTTATCATCATCATTATTTAGTACATTATTCAAAGTGAATTTGGGAGAGTCCATGCAAGTTCCACATATTCATCAAAACTCATTAAGACAGATGCCATTATTATTTGTTTCAGAACAAAGAAATTTTAGCTAGACTAGACTACTTGGAAACTTGTGAATGTCGTCCACTGTGTTCACATAATGGTGTTACATACAGAGAGGGGGAAATGTGGCAGCAAGATCCATGTAACTTTTGTGTTTGTCAGGTAAGACTGAGACATCTTTGGCTTCTCAAGAACTGATAGTGAGCTTTTCTTTGCGGATGTTCTAAAGGTTATGTATTGTGTAAATGATAATGATTTTTAAGAATATTTTAGTTGAAATTTGTGATTTTTGCCCACAAGAACTGTCCTTTGTTAGCAAATTTAGTAAACACTGTGGTGAACTGTAGGTAACTTTTATTTCTTCAGGCTTTGTTTTCATTATTTGATTAAAATATTTGTTATCTGTATGGGCAATGATAACCAAGTCCAAAAATATGTTTATGTTTTTTTCAGAATGGAAGACCTTCCTGCAGCATAATGTGGGACAAGCCCCAATGTTATAGTATGTACATGGTCTTGTAATATATTATACTAATAAGTTTGATTTTAAATGTTTGAACCAAGAAAAAAGTGAAATTTCAAATTATCGTATTGTCTTATTAAAGTTCTTAGAAAGTAATGTGTCTTAAGTGTATTAATAGCTTTTCTATGTGAATGACAACTAGAATTGTGATGACTTCTGACATAAGTTCAAGAGACATAACATTGGTGATGCTGGAAATTGGATTAGGATTTATTTGCTTATCAAAAATCTTAGTAGATGGGTAAATTGAACTCTCAGCTACATAGTTTACCTCTTCAAGGACCCACTGAAATCTCAGCAGCCTTACTGAAGTGCATTTTTAGGTCAGTTGAAATCTTAGCAGCCCAGTTGAAGCATATATCTGGGTTGTCTAGTTATTCTTAGTTTTTAGGGGAGTTATTACATAAGAAAGTTACACAGAGGTTATGGTGAGTATCACTTAGTACACAGATGTTTTACTATTCATTCACCAATGGGCTAAAATATTAGCAGAGGTATATGGCCATTAATTTCAAACCCCATCCCATGTAAATATAGAGAAATGGATGGTGTTTTAAGCAGAATAATTTTTCAAAAAACTGTCAGGTTGTGTTTTTCAAGACCGCAAAATGTGGCATCTGAGAGATAATAACATCAGGGATATTGACCATGATTACTGATTTTAAACTATTTATTTGGGTGGTTTTTATACAGACACTGTAAATGGCTAGATATATTCAGATTGTCTGCATTGTTGCTGTCCGACACACGATGTTTGCCCCAAATCTGCCCAACCATACTTTTGTTTTACTTTAAATTTACTGAGTGGCTTTGTTTGGCAAAGAAGCAGGTTGCTTTCGAAAATCAGCACGATCAGTTTACATTTACAGTAATTATTCTGTTTTTATTTTATTTTATTTTTTTTTTTGCACAATTTTGGTTACATTCACCCCATTTTTTTTACCTTAAATTTACTAAGTGGCTTTGTTTGGTAAAGAGGCAGGTTGCTTCCGAAAATTGGCATGATCGATTTACATTTACATTTTTCTTGTGTGTGTGAAATTTTCAGTTTTTACACATAAGCATTTTCAGTGGCTTTTATGTCCCATGGAACTGAATTACTAACTAGTTTTTCAATCTCCATGTTACCTGTAGTACATAATATAAGAGGGTAAGAGTGATTATGCTGTTTTAAAACATACTGTAACATTTTGTGCATTTTTTTCTGCATAATGTCTGAGCATTTGTCACCTTTGCTTCCTTGTTTCCTGTATGGTGTCTGTATATTTGCCAGCTTTGTTGTCTAGTTGTAGACATCAGTGATTACACATAATTTATGTTTGAGATTTATGTTTGAAGTTTATAATTTTTTCATTGTCATATGTTGAATTAATGTAAAAACAACTATCAAATGCATCATTTATGGCTATTTCTCAAGCTAATTTTGTATCTTTTCAATGTGTGGGCATACATGCCCCATCTCCATCTCCTGTGGCACCTGCATTTTCTGTTCACCACACATATAAGGAAAATGGAAACTTTTTGCCTGAACATTTGGATGATAAAGTTGGATGGCTAACAGGATGAAGGCCTGGTTAGGGCATGGCCTCTCAGCATGTGGGCAGGTTTTCCTGGAGTGAAGTTTTTCTACCATTATCCCAGCCAGATATATGTAGCAGATTGGTCCCAGCTGTGTTGATGTGTATACAAAAAACAATGGATGTAGTGTTATTGAACCCTTGTGCACTAGATGTTGGTTAAACAGTATTATCCAGATTTTTCACTCATGCCTTCATTGCATTTATAAAGAGTTGTCTGTGAACCTGTATATGAGAGGAATGTGGAGTGAAAGAATAAAGAAATGGATCAATGTGTGCAGATGCTGACAATTATTGTAAAGCCTAGTAGAAATAATGAGTGATATTTATTTGATATGCATCCAAATTCACATGCAGTGATCGAGGAAGGTTATAAACTTGGTTCTTGTTTTCTTTTTTGGAGCACCATGTGTGTGAATGAGTATTGATGATCAAATAAAGCCAGATAGCAGACATGACAGCTGAAGAAAATCTTGTACTTAAACTGTCATGGCAGATGACATCAGTGATATGCAAAGTAGCAACAAAGCTGGAGCATTAGTAACACATTGAAACCATACTCAGTATGCTTAAACTTTTTTGGGGTAGTTAAATGTTGATGCTTGTCAGTGTAAACACCCTGTGTGGTTTCCTGCTGGATATTCATTGAAGCTAACATGCTGACAAGCTTTGCTATCTCTCGGCTGCTGGAGATCTAGTTAACAGAATTTATGGCCAAGGTCAATAGAGGCAACAGAGTAATAGCTGTTTCCGCAGCATGATAGACTTGTTGACTACTCACTGCAAAAAAAGTTTAAGAAAAAAAAAATGTTGGAAAAAATATTACGGTTTTAGTTAAGTGAAGTGACAGATTGAACAGTTGCTTGCTTGTCCAGCTTTGGCAGATTGTCGGTCACTGGTTCAGGTTTAATTGAATTTTTTACTTCCTTTACACACCATTTTTTTCTGAAATGGAAAGCAAAATTTTTCAGTGGATAGCAATGATCTTTCAGACTTAAATTAGAAAATTTAGTTTGACAAGTGCAGTGATTAGTCTGGTCTGATAAACTGGTGAGAAGTATGGAATATTGGAAAAAAATCTATTTTGACTTATAGAGAAATATCAGTTGAGAAACTACTGGACACATGTAACACAATTCTTCCAGATCCTTGTGTGTCTAGCCCATGTCAGAATGGAGGCACATGTGTCAGTAACCCTGGGTACCATAACTACACATGTCAGTGCCCTCCCACATGTTATGGACCAGAGTGTCAGTATAGAAGAAATCCCTGCGTGTATGAGCTGGATCAGGGGACATGTGGGGGAAGTGTTACCAGGTACTACTTTGACAGATATCAGATGAAGTGTTTGCAGTTCCTTTATACAGGTCAGTAAGACATGATGGTTGACATACTTGATTCAGAGAAAGTTTTGATTAGTTTGGTATTACACTGTTGATATCTGCATATATATATAATTATTTGTTTGAACAAACTTATTGGTGTCAGATCAATAAAAGATTTAAACAGAGGGAAAAAATAAAGAAAATTCATCACGTTCCATTTGGCATATTGAAACTTGTATAAAAAATGGTATTATCAAGTAGAAACTTTGGTAAGATATTCATATGTTGCATCACTATTGGGATGTCAGGAAAGGTGTTCATCAAAAATGTTTAGATTTAAGCATTACAAAGAGTAATTCTAAAAACTATTTTCAAGGTTGTGGTGGAAATCCCAACAATTTTCAGACCTTGGAGGATTGTGAAGGACAGTGTTCTCTAGGTGCTTGTTGTCACAGGATTCACTCTCCATCTGTTTCCAATCTTCAGCCAAGCATGGCTTGTCAGGTATGTTACAGCCAGGAATTTATCATGAGCTGCCCTCATGAATTCAGGGCCATTCATTGCATCTAATAGCACAATTATTTGTTTTCCTTCTGTTAATAACACCTTATCTCTTGCGTAAATGTATTTTTGACATTCCTTCCAATTTATTGCGAGAAAATTGCACCAAGTTTAAATGGTTTTTCTTACTGTTAAATAGATGCCTTATATGATTGAAAATTGAACTTTGCAGTGTAAGAAATCTTGTACTATTTTCTCCATCATATGCAGGTGGACACTTTAGCCAACTGTAGACAGATGTCCAGCCAGTCTCCAGGTCAACTGTTGGAAGTGGTGTCCTTTGAGCCTGGTGCCCAGTGCCAGCCGGACACCTGTGCTGCACCTCAAGGATGTACCTATGGCAACAGTTCTTTCCCCTATGGTACAAGATTCAGGATTGGTTGCCAAGAATGCTTGTGCTTAAAGGACATTGGAATAGACTGCAGGTTACTTTGTTTTGTTTTTCTTACTTACGCTGTGCATGTGTGAACATGCAGTTTTGACTCAGTAGACAGACTGGATAAGATAATATTAGTTTTCCCAAAAGATACCAAAAGCAATATTTCCTCTTGCAATGGGTCAGTTAGAATATAGGACAATGTTACCACAGTGTTAAGCCAATGAGAACAGAGATTTTGTACTCAAAAATTATTAATGTTGTTAATTTTTTTATATTGTGAGTTTGGTCTAACATTTCCCATGAGTGGACAAGACCTTAGTCTGAATTTTATGTTCATCTTATGTTTGCCCAAAGATTTTTTGGTGATGGACTGGGAGGCTTGGAGAGACTTCATTGCTTCCCTTTTAACACTGGTAGATAGCAAAAGCAATAATGATGACAGTTTTGGTTAATCAAACAAGTCTGTTCTTTGTTTTAGGTGTGTGACAATGACCATGAGAAAGGAGATTCGGGATATGACATCTGAGGAACTGGAACGTTTCCAGAATGCTGTAAAGCAATTGAGAAAAGGACCAGATAGTCAATGGGAGCAGTTCCGTAACTTGTACATGACCCATGCAATACAGGGGAGAAGCACTTTGCTGTTCTTGCCTTGGCATCGTTTGTTTCTAAGGCGCATGGAACAAAAGCTGCAGGAAGTGGATTGCAGTGTTTCCCTGCCTTACTTCGATTTTACCACTGATGCCCATAATTTTTCCACTGCTATTATATGGCAACCTGGGTACTTTGGTGGCAATGGCAGAGGAGGTTGTGTGCCAGACCATCGCTTCCAACACAGCCTCTGGGATCCGTGCATCATACGCCATTTTGACACAAGTGTACAAATACCGAGCATGCTAGAAGTGGCCATTGCTGTGGCAGGTGATGATTATATGGAGTTGAGTCACTGCTTGGAAGCCATTGCTGCATATATTCATCTCTTCGTTGGTGGAGACTTTGCTACAACTTCAGCACCTTATGACCCATTGTTTTTCGCAATTCACTCTTACATTGACATGTTATTCTGGCAATGGCAAAAGAAGCATGAAGACATTATGAATTCTATTCCTTTCAAAACTTCTGTGCTAATGCCATTCAGTGTTCAGGTTTCTAAAACTCTTAGTTCAGAAGCAGATTTGTGTGTGACATACTCCTTGCCTTCAAGGGGACAGCCATGTAATGACACTGAAAGTGTCTTCAGCCCAGAAGGCTATAACATTCTTGGATTCAACAGGCAAGGGTTTGACAGACAGGGATATGATTCTGCAGGGTTTGATGTAAATGGTGTGGACAGGAATGGAAACCCTGATACAAGAAACCTGTATCGCTTTGATGGCTACAACACATTTGGTTATGATAGATCTGGATATGATAGGATGGGATTCAACAGATATGGTTACAACAGAAATGGTAAGGATCAAACAATTTCCTGAGTTGTGTGTGCCCAAACACAATGGTTTTTTATGTACAGACACAGTAGTATGTCTGTACACTGCCTTTCCCTGAATCTGTCCATTTTGTCAAAGCAGGGGCCAGGCTGTGCACATTTCTTGTTTAATTGTTAAATGATATAAAAATATTAAATTTCCATATTTGTTGTATAAAAGTCAGCATGCTGTTGTTGGTTTTTTAAATGTTTAAAGCCTTCCAGACATTATTACTTTAAGTACATTCAGAGGTGTAAAATTAAGTTGACTATTTTGGATATTTTACCACAGGTTATAACAGAGACGGATTTGATGTAGCTGGTTATGATTCCTTTGGCTATGACAGATATGGCTATGATGTGAATGGTTATGATCAATTTGGATATGATAAACAGAGACTGGACAGACAAGGCAACCCAGACACTAGTGGCAGATTTAACACTGAAGGATTTGATTTGTATTGCTATGATACACAAGGTAAAGAGAAAAAGTCAGGATATTGTTTTGATTTGGTATTTAAGTATGGTCATAAATAAGTTAAGATATTATTAAACCACAACATTTTTGTTTGATTCATTTTCTGTAGTTGTAAATGCACTTGCCCTTCTCATTTATGTTTTGAAATAAAAAAAAAAATTGAGAACAGAAAATTATGCATGAATGAAATGCTATCTATTGAGCTGATCAATTATTGAAAAAATGATATGAAGTATCATATATTTTTGTTTTCAAAGGACTCACCAAGGAGGGCTTTGATCAGTTTGGTTACAACATCAAGGGTTATGATGTGGAGTACTGCAACTACAGTTTTGCTGGTCCATTCAGTGTGCGCCAAAGTTTGCGTATCTGGGAGATACTCCATGGCCAGAGTAAAGACTTCTTGATGACGATTCCCAGGATATGCGTTGGGCTGCAGCCATTGCCTCAGCAATGGTATGAGCAGTACTGGTTTAAAGCACCCAAAGATATCACAAGTAAGTGAAGATGATAAGGCTTCTTTTATTGAAATCTCCAGAGAGTAGTTAATTTGGCTGACATGTTAATGGGTTAGTGTTAAAGTTAAAGAACTATGAAGTCTTCGTGTTTCATATAATTTTAATCTTATTCAGGATTTTGACATGCAAGCTCTTTTGGTCGTTGTCTCTTGAAAGTAATTATCCAATGTTTACAAAATACAAATCTATTAATAACTTCTGGTGCCTGATTTTTTAAATTAATTCTTCTAGGTTTAGTAACTGTAGAAGTATCTCAGAGCCCACAGTCATCAGAGTCTCAAAGGTTTTGTTTTGAGACTGGTTCATTCCTGACTGGGTGTCCCTGTGAGTCTGGTTATATAGCTTGTCCTGTCAACCCTTGCCTTCAAGCCAGGTGCCCAGGCTATCCTGACGCCATCTGTGAGGTGGACTTTTGTGACCCAAGTTGCAGAGCCAGATGGAGATATAATGGGAAGTATGTGAACTGTGATGAGACAGAAGAACAAGGTTTGTCAATTTTTGATTTATTTTTCTTTGTCTTTATTTGTTGATATATCTATTCATTTCTTCAATAATATAACACATTTAAATGCTTTTTGAAATTGTCCTCAAATTTTGACCTGGATGTCTTTTTATTATAATTTTTTTTCGTTCCAACGTTTTTCAGTACGAGATTACTGTAACCCAAGCCCCTGTCAGCAGGGAGGGACTTGTGTGAAGTCAAGATGGCCGACAGAGCCGCAGCTGGTGACATGTCTCTGTCCACCAGGATATATTGGACACTACTGCCAGTACAAAGCTACCCAACAATGCTATCTGCCTCTCAATGTAGGAGGTAAGAATGAACAAACTGGTGACAAAAATCTGTTACTAATTAGAAAAGTGATAAATGTTTAGAGAAGGCTTCATTTAAGCATTTAAAAAAGAATATCAAGTTAATTCAACGTAAGGTCAACTTTTTGATGTTGTTTTGATTTCTTTTTTATTTTTCTCATTATTTTAAAAAGCCGCAGGCCTGCTTATTAAACAATGATAATTTTCTTCATGTGATTACTAGTAGTTAAATAATCAGATTGTCTGTCTAGGAGACTGTGGTATAACAGAAGACCGCTGGTATTTCAACAGGGAAGCTGGGGAGTGTAAAAGATTTGTTTTTACTGGTTGTCATGGTAATCCCAACAATTTTGCCTCATTGGAAGACTGTCAGAACACTTGTGAACGGGGTGCATGTTGTTATCGCTCTCAAGTCCGCAGGGGTGGAGTGTATGGGTTCAGTCCGCAAGGTTATGACAGGTATAAAGTATTGTTTTTGAAAAATGAGTTTCAGATATCTGACTACTTTTGAACTCCAACTTTCTTTGAAACTTGAATACACTTCATCTATTATATATCATGTCTGTCTTGTTATAATAGTTACCTATGTTATCACTTGATTTAGTTGCAAGAAATATATATTAAATATCATGTGAATTGAAGATACACCAAATATTGTTGGTATGAAATTACTAACAATGCTTTTCTTTAATAAATGTGTTGCTTTAAAATTTCAAAGAAAAAAATATAATTCTGACCGACACACTGACTGATAGAAACAAAAATTCATCCATAATTTGACCTATGTATATCCCCCCAAATTTGCAGGTATGGTTTCACAGTGGATGGCATCAATGCCCAGGGTGAAAAAAGGACAGCAGAAAATGCCCTCAGTTTTGGTAGTAAAAGATTTGATGAAAATGGATTGGACTGGCAAGGTTAGAGGACCAGGCATATAGATATGAAAGCAGTAATAAAAGATAATGATCCATTTAGTGAATTTGAGGTACCATTTTGATTCTGATTTACAAAAGAAAGGTGTTTTGGGTCACTCAGCCCCATACAAATATGTTATATCAGATATCCTCAATAGTTGGCAATGCAAGTAAAGCCTTGTCAAAGAACCACAAAATATAACTGTTCAATTCTTCAGGTTATGACAGGGATGGTTTTAACAGACAAGGGGTTAGTCGCCATGGTTATGACAGACAAGGTTACCATGCCAGGACAGGGTTTAACATCACTGGGTACAGTCGCCTTGGAGAATATGATGGAGATATTGGCTATAATACTGAAGGTTATGATGAAAATGGATTTAGCAGGTAATTTAAAAAAACAGCTGTGGACAACAGTTTAATTTAAGTCTAAAGCTTAAAATTGTTTTATTTATGCATGTAATCTTGGCTTTTGTATTTTGCCAGGTATTATTAAAAGAAATCAAGATCTAAACATATGCAGAGTAGAAAGAAAGAATTTCAGAAAATTTTTTCTCAGAATTTATGTTGTAGGAAAGTATGTGATTTCAACTAGTCCTGCATTATTTCACTACTGTAACAGATCATTTACTGGATGCACAGAAATTAAACAGTTGAATTTTACACTTGATAGGGAACTTTCAGATTGAAATTATTCATCATCATCAGTAGCATATTATTATTATTATTATTATTATTATTATTATTATTATTATCATCATCATCATCATCATCATCATGAGTGCCAAGGAACTTTGTTTACATTTTCAGGGCTGGATTTAACTGTTATGGCTACAGTAAAGAAGGTTTGGATTACTATGGTCTAACAGCTGGCTATCAGTATTCCTGTCGATCTGCTACACAAGTAGAATGCATTACCCTGGAGAGAATACCTGGTACTCAGGTAGTGAAGTATTCACCAGGTAAGTCTATACCTTTATCAGAAAGTTAAAATATCTTAATGACACTGCAGATATTATAAAGGTAATATAATGAGTATTCAGTTGCAGTGCCATCAACAATAATTGTACCACCAGCGTTAGCGCTGGCGGTACACATGGTTTCGGNTTCTTGTTGATTGCATTTTTACAGCTTGTCAAGCAAAAGACTGGTGGCTGTGTCCCTTATTTTGTGTATGTGGGGGTCTATACGAATGCGCTTGCTCCAGCTGGTGGTACAATATTCGGAGGCGGTATCGCCTCTCTGATCCTCTAGTTCCAATCCACTTTGAACACTTCTGTAGAAGCTTAATCTTTTCCAAGTTAGAAGTATGTATGCTGCTTAGTTGCTTAGGTTGAATATATGTAATGATTTCAGTGGGTTAATTTGGTACATTTAGTAATTGTTTTTGCTAGGGAAGAATTGTGATGAAGTGGACTGTAAAGACCATTGCGGGTGTTACTTCCAAGGGAAGTCATACAAGTTTGGTGCCAGCTTCCGTTATGGCTGCAAGATGTGCACATGTACACGTACCAGAGCTGTAGAGTGTGTGTGTCAAAAGGTAACACAAAGGTGAGTGCCTCTCAGAGAGAGAACAGTACACAAAAAAATAAGATGGCACAGGAAGTTAAGAAAAGAAGGCAGGTGTGGAATATCAAAGAAAAAGCAAACATAACTTAAAATACAGATTTAACTGGTATTTTCTGTATTTATCATTTAATTTCCATTGAAAATGATGGAAGTAACAAACTTGTTTCTTTGACATTTTTTTCACAGTCACAAACTGTGATTTTTATTATTGTTGCTTGAACTTTTAATTGCAGGAAGGAAGTTCGTGACATGACCAGAAAGGAGGTGCAAAGATACCAGAATGCCATAAAACGACTACACTCAAGTTCAGATGGCATGTCCCGCTGGCAGGAGTTGGCTCGCATCCATGCCACACACATGCCGCAAGCATATGGAAATCAGGCCTTTTTACCATGGCACAGGTAGAACTTACTTAATTTGTTTGTTAGATAATCTCGATTTTCAACACCCATATGTTAAAATAACATGATATATATGTTTTCATTTAGCATAGTCAATTGTGTTAACAGGAAATAAGTCATAAAATACAAGTGAATGGAGAAATGAAGACCTGAACATGATCTCAAAAGTAACAGCTGGTTCTGTTGTAGGAGTATGGTATATATGATTTATGTTTTCACTTCTTTTGAAATTTACCAGAGAAATAAAGTGAGACCTTTATTTTTAGATATTTCTTGTGGCTGCTAGAAAGTGAGCTGCAGACAATCAACTGCGACATCAGCATTCCCTACTTCGATTGGTCTACAGATGCTGGTGCCATGGAAACATCAGCAATATGGAGGGCTGACATGTTTGGAGGAAGTGGAAATTTGGGGACAGAATGTGTGCTGCATCATCCTTTTAAAGATTATTTCCCTCCATTTTGGAAGCCATGCTTAATGAGGAACTTCAACACCAGTATTAAACTCCCAGATGTAGTCAATATTCAGCTTCTTCTCAATGAACCATCATATGACAAATTCAGATTAGAGGCAGAATCCATATCTGGCTTATTTCATCAGTGGGTTGGAGGGCACATGCTATCCCCCTACAGCCCATATGATCCAGTATTTTATTCTCACTATGCCTTTATTGACAGATTATGGACATTATGGCAGGAGAGACATGGCCTCTTGCTCTATCCCCAGAGTCTGCGTTACATTCCAATGGAACCATTTGGTATTGGTGCTGACGCTGTCCTGTCAAATCCCAGTCAGTTGTGTGTGACATATGTACCAGTTACAGAGGGAGGGCTGTGCAATGTGACAGAAGCCAGGCAACAGTCACAGAGAAGAGATCCAGTGTATGATGTTGATGGATTTGATCGACAAGGTTACAATAGAGAAGGGTTTGATTCAATGGGATTTGATAAAAATGGATATAGTATAAATATCTTCAACCTTGATGGGTTTGATAGACAAGGGTATGACAGATCTGGGTATGATCGTTATGGATTTAACCGTCAAGGATTCACACCCTTTGGTTTTAACAGAAATGGGTCGTTCAGACCTGGAATTACTGAAGAAGGATTGGGTATATTTGATTCAGCAGGATACAATAAATATGGTTTCAACAAATATGGCTTGGATCGTGATGGATATGATGTTTTTGGATTCAGCACTGTTGGGTTTGATCGAAACAGCTGCAACTATTACTTTAAAGGCCCATTTTATGTTAGGTTCAGAAATTGGATAAGAAAGCAGCTGGTGAATTTGGATGATGCTGAGCTATCTGTGATACCTCGTATCTGCCCTCCTGTCAGTAATAATGCTATGTGGTGGTATGCCATGAATTGGTTGAACAGGAATGACCAGATAAATCGCATAAGGGAAATTGAACTCCAGAGAAGATCCCAGCATGGTGTGGAAAGTACATTCTCTCCAAGGCAGACCTCTGTAACTGAAGATAATTTATGGTTNCGCTTGCTCCAGCTGGTGGTACAATATTTGGAGGCGGTATCGCCTCTCTGATCCTCTAGTTTGTTTTCCTTCTGTTAATAACACCTTATCTCTTGTGTAAATGTATTTTTGACATTCCTTCCAATTTATTATGAAAAAATTGCACCAAGTTTAAATGGTTTTTCTTACTGTTAAATAGATGCCTTATATGATTGAAAATTGAACTTTGCAGTGTAAGAAATCTTGTACTATTTTCTCCATCAAATGTAGGTGGACACTTTAGCCAACTGTAGACAGATGTCCAGCCAGTCTCCAGGTCAACTGTTGGAAGTGGTGTCCTTTGAGCCTGGTGCCCAGTGCCAGCCGGACACCTGTGCTGCACCGCAAGGATGTACCTATGGCAACAGTTCTTTCCCCTATGGTACAAGATTCAGGATTGGTTGCCAAGAATGCTTGTGCTTAAAGGACATTGGAATAGACTGCAGGTTACTTTGTTTTGTTTTTCTTACTTATGCTGTGCATGTGTGAACATGCAGTTTTGACTCAGTAGACAGACTGGATAAGATAATATTAGTTTTCCCAAAAGATACCAAAAGCAATATTTCCTCTTGCAATGGGTCAGTTAGAATATAGGACAATGTTACCACAGTGTTAAGCCAATGAGAACAGAGATTTTGTACTCAAAAATTTTTAATGTTGTTAATTTTTTTATATTGTGAGTTTGGTCTAACATTTCCCATGAGTGGACAAGACTTTAGACTGAATTTTATGTTCATCTTATGTTTGCCCAAAGATTTTTTGGTGATGGACTGGGAGGCTTGGAGAGACTTCATTGCTTCCCTTTTAACACTGGTAGATAGCAAAAGCAATAATGATGACAGTTTTGGTTAATCAAACAAGTCTGTTCTTTGTTTTTAGGTGTGTGACAATGACCATGAGAAAGGAGATTCGGGATATGACATCTGAGGAACTGGAACGTTTCCAGAATGCTGTAAAGCAACTGAGAAAAGGACCAGATAGTCAATGGGAGCAGTTCCGTAACTTGTACATGACCCATGCAATACAGGGGAGAAGCACTTTGCTGTTCTTGCCTTGGCATCGTTTGTTTCTAAGGCGCATGGAACAAAAGCTGCAGGAAGTGGATTGCAGTGTTTCCCTGCCTTACTTCGATTTTACCACTGATGCCCATAATTTTTCCACTGCTATTATATGGCAACCTGGGTACTTTGGTGGCAATGGCAGAGGAGGTTGTGTGCCAGACCATCGCTTCCAACACAGCCTCTGGGATCCGTGCATCATACGCCATTTTGACACAAGTGTACAAATACCGAGCATGCTAGAAGTGGCCATTGCTGTGGCAGGTGATGATTACATGGAGTTGAGTCACTGCTTGGAAGCCATTGCTGCATATATTCATCTATTCGTTGGTGGAGACTTTGCTACAACTTCAGCACCTTATGACCCATTGTTTTTCGCAATTCACTCTTACATTGACATGTTATTCTGGCAATGGCAAAAGAAGCATGAAGACATTATGAATTCTATTCCTTTCAAAACTTCTGTGCTAATGCCATTCAGTGTTCAGGTTTCTAAAACTCTTAGTTCAGAAGCAGATTTGTGTGTGACATACTCCTTGCCTTCAAGGGGACAGCCATGTAATGACACTGAAAGTGTCTTCAGCCCAGAAGGTTATAACATTCTTGGATTCAACAGGCAAGGGTTTGACAGACAGGGATATGATTCTGCAGGGTTTGATGTAAATGGCGTGGACAGGAATGGAAACCCTGATACAAGAAACCTGTATCGCTTTGACGGCTACAACACATTTGGTTATGATAGATCTGGATATGATAGGATGGGATTCAACAGATATGGTTACAACAGAAATGGTAAGGATCAAACAATTTCCTGAGTTGTGTGTGCCCAAACACAATGGTTTTTATGTACAGACACAGTAGTATGTCTGTACACTGCCTTTCCCTGAATCTGTCTATTTTGTCAAAGCAGGGGCCAGGCTGTGCACATTTCTTGTTTAATTGTTAAATCATATAAAAATATTAAATTTCCATATTTGTTGTCTAAAAGTCAGCATGCTGTTGTTGGTTTTTTAAATGTTTAAAGCCTGCAAGACATTATTACTTCAAGTACATTCAGAGGTGTAAAATTAAGTTGACTATTTTGGATATTTTATCACAGGTTATAACAGAGACGGATTTGATGTAGCTGGTTATGATACCTTTGGCTATGACAGATATGGCTATGATGTGAATGGTTATGATCAATTTGGATATGATAAACAGAGACTGGACAGACAAGGCAACCCAGACACTAGTGGCAGATTTAACACTGAAGGATTTGATTTGTATTGCTATGATACACAAGGTAAAGAGAAAAAGTCAGGATATTGTTTTGATTTGGTATTGAAGTATGGTCATAAATAAGTTAAGATAACAACATTTTTGTTTGCTTCATTTTCTGTAGTTGTAAATGCACTTGCCCTTCTCATTTATGTTTTGAAATAAAAAAAAAATTGAGAACAGAAAATTATGCATGAATGAAATGCTATCTATTGAGCTGATCAATTATTGAAAAAATGATATGAAGTATCATATATTTTTGTTTTCAAAGGACTCACCAAGGAGGGCTTTGATCAGTTTGGTTACAACATCAAGGGTTATGACGTGGAGTACTGCAACTACAGTTTTGCTGGTCCATTCAGTGTGCGCCAAAGTTTGCGTATCTGGGAGATACTCCATGGCCAGAGTAAAGACTTCTTGATGACGATTCCCAGGATATGCGTTGGGCTGCAGCCATTGCCTCAGCAATGGTATGAGCAGTACTGGTTTAAAGCACCCAAAGATATCACAAGTAAGTGAAGATGATAAGGCTTCTTTTATTGAAATCTCCAGAGGGTAGTTAATTTGGCTGACATGTTGATGGGTTAGTGTTAAAGTTAAAGAACTATGAAGTCTTCGTGTTTCATATAATTTTAATCTTATTTTAATCTTAATTTTAATCTTATTCAGGATTTTGACATGCAAGCTCTTTTGGTCGTTGTCTCTTGAAAGTAATTATCCAATGTTTACAAAATACAAATCTATTAATAACTTCTGGTGCCTGATTTTTGAAATTAATTCTTCTAGGTTTAGTGACTGTAGAAGTATCTCAGAGCCCACAGTCATCAGAGTCTCAAAGGTTTTGTTTTGAGACTGGTTCATTCCTGACTGGGTGTCCCTGTGAGTCTGGTTATATAGCTTGTCCTGTCAACCCTTGCCTTCAAGCCAGGTGCCCAGGCTATCCTGACGCCATCTGTGAGGTGGACTTTTGTGACCCAAGTTGCAGAGCCAGATGGAGATATAATGGGAAGTATGTGAACTGTGATGAGACAGAAGAACAAGGTTTGTCAATTTTTGATTTATTTTTCTTTGTCTTTATTTGTTGATATATCTATTCATTTCTTCAATAATATAACACATTTAAATGCTTTTTGAAATTGTCCTCAAATTTTGACCTGGATGTCTTTTTATTATAATTTTTTTTTTGTTCCAACGTTTTCCAGTACGAGATTACTGTAACCCAAGCCCCTGTCAGCAGGGAGGGACTTGTGTGAAGTCAAGATGGCCGACAGAGCCGCAGCTGGTGACATGTCTCTGTCCACCAGGATATATTGGACACTACTGCCAGTACAAAGCTACCCAACAATGCTATCTGCCTCTCAATGTAGGAGGTAAGAATGAACAAACTGGTGACAAAAATCTGTTACTAATTAGAAAAGTGATTAATGTTAAGAGAAGGCTTCATTTAAGCATTTAAAAAAGAATATTCAACGTAAGGTCAACTTTTTGATGTTGTTTTGATTTCTTTTTTATTTTTCTCATTATTTTAAAAGGCCGCCTGCTTATTAAACAATGATAATTTTCTTCATGTGATTACTAGTAGTTAAATAATCAGATTGTCTGTCTAGGAGACTGTGGAATAACAGAAGACCGCTGGTATTTCAACAGGGAAGCTGGGGAGTGTAAAAGATTTGTTTTTACTGGTTGTCATGGTAATCCCAACAATTTTGCCTCACTGGAAGACTGTCAGAACACTTGTGAACGGGGTGCATGTTGTTATCGCTCTCAAGTCCGCAGGGGTGGAGTGTATGGGTTCAGTCCGCAAGGTTATGACAGGTATAAAGTATTGTTTTTGAAAAATGAGTTTCAGATATCTGACTACTTTTGAACTCCAACTTTCTTTGAAACTTGAATACACTTCATCTATTATATATCATGTCTGTCTTGTTATAATAGTTACCTATTTTATCACTTGATTTAGTTGCAAGAAATATATATTAAATATCATGTGAATTGAAGATACACCAAGTATTGTTGGTATGAAATTACTAACAATGCTTTTCTTTAATAAATGTGTTGCTTTAAAATTTCAAAGAAAAAAATATAATTCTGACCGACACACTGACTGATAGAAACAAAAATTCAGCAGACATGGGCATACATCTAGCATATAAATATAAATTCATCCATAATTTGACCTATGTATATCCCCCCAAATTTGCAGGTATGGTTTCACAGTGGATGGCATCAATGCCCAGGGTGAAAAAAGGACAGCAGAAAATGCCCTCAGTTTTGGTAGTAAAAGATTTGATGAAAATGGATTGGACTGGCAAGGTTAGAGGACCAGGCATATAGATATGAAAGCAGTAATAAAAGATAATGATCCATTTAGTGAATTTGAGGTACCATTTTGATTCTGATCTACAAAAGAAAGGTGTTTTGGGTCACTCGGCCCCATACAAATATGTTATGTCAGAAATCCTCAATAGTCGGCAATGCAAGTAAAGCCTTGTCAAAGAACCACAAAATATAACTTCAATTCTTCAGGTTATGACAGGGATGGTTTTAACAGACAAGGGGTTAGTCGCCATGGTTATGACAGACAAGGTTACCATGCCAGGACAGGGTTTAACATCACTGGGTACAGTCGCCTAGGAGAGTATGATGGAGATATTGGCTATAATACTGAAGGTTATGATGAAAATGGATTTAGCAGGTAATTTAAAAAAACAGCTGTGGACAACAGTTTAACTTGAGTCTAAAGCTTAAAATTGTTTTATTTATGCATGTAATCTTGGCTTTTGTATTTTGCCAGGTATTATTAAGAAGTCAAGATCTAAACACATGCAGAATAGAAAGAAAGAATTTCAGAAAATTTTTTCTCAGAATTTATGTTGTAAGAAAGCATGTGATTTCAACTAGTCCTGCATTATTTCACTACTGTAACAGATCATTTACTGGATGCACAGAATTTAAACAGTTGAATTTTACACTTTATATGGAACTTTCAGATTCAAATTATTCATCATCATCAGCAGCATATTATTATTATTATCATCATCATCATCATCATCATCATCATCATGAGTGCCAAGGAACTTTGTTTACATTTTCAGGGCTGGATTTAACTGTTATGGCTACAGTAAAGAAGGTTTGGATTACTATGGTCTAACAGCTGGCTATCAGTATTCCTGTCGATCTGCTACACAAGTAGAATGCATTACCCTGGAGAGAATACCTGGTACTCAGGTAGTGAAGTATTCACCAGGTAAGTACCTTTATCAGAAAGTTAAAATATCTTAATGACACTGCAGATATTATAAAGGTAATATAATGAGTATTCAGTTGCAGTGCCATCAACAATAATTCCAATCCACTTTGAACACTTCTGTAGAAGCTTAATCTTTTCCAAGTTAATCTTTTCCAAGTTAGAAGTACGTATGCTGCACAGTTGCATAGCTTGAATTTATTTAATGATTTCAGTGGGTTAATTTGGTACATTTAGTAATTGTTTTTGCTAGGGAAGAATTGTGATGAAGTGGACTGTAAAGACCATTGTGGGTGTTACTTCCAAGGGAAGTCATACAAGTTTGGTGCCAGCTTCCGTTATGGCTGCAAGATGTGCACATGTACACGTACCAGAGCTGTAGAGTGTGTGTGTCAAAAGGTAACACAAAGGTGAGTGCCTCTCAGAGAGAAAACGGCACACAAAAAAATAGGAGGGCACAGGAAGTTAAGAAAAGAAGGCAGGTATGGAATATCAAAGAAAAAAGCAAACATAACATAAATACAGATTTATCTGGTATTGTTTGTATTTACCATTTAATTTCCATTGAAAATGATAGAAGTAACAAACTTATTTCTTTGACATTTTTTTCACAATTACAAACTGTTATTTTTATTATTGTTGCTTGAACTCTTAATTGCAGGAAGGAAGTTCGTGACATGACCAAAATGGAGGTGCAAAGATACCAGAATGCCATTAAACGACTACACTCAAGTTCAGATGGCATGTCCCGCTGGCAGGAGTTGGCTCGCATCCATGCCACACACATGCCGCAAGCATATGGAAATGAGGCCTTTTTACCATGGCACAGGTAGAACTTACTTAATTTGTTTGTTAGATAATCTCGATTTTCAACACCCATATGTTAAAATAACATAATATATATGTTTTCATTTAGCATAGTCAATTGTGTTTAAAGGAAATAAGTCATAAAATACAAGTGAATGGAGAAATGAAGACCTGAACATGATCTCAAAAGTAACAGCTGGTTCTGTTGTAGGAGTATGGTATATATGATTTATGTTTTCACTTCTTTTGAAATTTACCAGAGAAATAAAATGAGACCTTTATTTTTAGATATTTTTTGTGGCTGCTAGAAAGTGAGCTGCAGACAATCAACTGCGATATCAGCATTCCCTACTTCGATTGGTCTACAGATGCTGGTGCCATGGAAACATCAGCAATATGGAGGGCTGACATGTTTGGAGGAAGTGGAAATTTGGGGACAGAATGTGTGCTGCATCATCCTTTTAAAGATTATTTCCCTCCATTTTGGAAGCCATGCTTAATGAGGAACTTCAACACCAGTATTAAACTCCCAGATGTAGTCAATATTCAGCTTCTTCTCAATGAACCATCGTATGACAAATTCAGATTAGAGGCAGAATCCATATCTGGCTTATTTCATCAGTGGGTTGGTGGGCACATGCTATCCCCCTACAGCCCATATGATCCAGTATTTTATTCTCACTATGCCTTTATTGACAGATTGTGGACATTATGGCAGGAGAGACATGGCCTCTTGCTCTATCCCCAGAATCTACGTTACATTCCAATGGAACCATTTGGTATTGGTCCTGATGCTGTCCTGTCAAATCCCAGTCAGTTGTGTGTAACATATGTACCAGTTACAGAGGGAGGGCTGTGCAATGTGACAGAAGCCAGGCAACAGTCACAGAGAAGAGATCCAGTGTATGATGTTGATGGATTTGATCGACAAGGTTACAATAGAGAAGGGTTTGATTCAATGGGATTTGATAAAAATGGATATAGTATAAATATCTTCAACCTTGATGGGTTTGATAGACAAGGGTATGACAGATCTGGGTATGATCGTTATGGATTTAACCGTCAAGGATTCACACCCTTTGGTTTTAACAGAAATGGGTCGTTCAGACCTGGAATTACTGAAGAAGGATTGGGTATATTTGATTCAGCAGGATACAATAAATATGGTTTCAACAAATATGGCTTGGATCGTGATGGATATGATGTTTTTGGATTCAGCACTGTTGGGTTTGATCGAAACAGCTGCAACTATTACTTTAAAGGCCCATTTTATGTTAGGTTCAGAAATTGGGTAAGAAAGCAGCTGGTGAATTTGGATGATGCTGAGCTATCTGTGATACCTCGTATCTGCCCTCCTGTCAGTAATAATGCTATGTGGTGGTATGCCATGAATTGGTTGAACAGGAATGACCAGATAAATCGCATACGGGAAATTGAACTACAGAGAAGATCCCAGCATGGCGTGGAAAGTACGTTTTCTCCAAGGCAGACTTCTGTAACTGAAGATAATTTATGGTTGCCTTTCACACCCGACGAGAGGTAAGTTATTACTGACCATAGTTCCCCTTTTCCTATGTAAATTACTATTAATTTGTTTAGATCTATATATTTTGAAGGCACTTTCGCTTTTTAAATGTTTCATGCATATGTGCACATCTTTTAGAAAACCACTTTTTATCCCAGATTTATAACACAAATAATTTTACTTTCTGTCAGATTTTGTTTTGAACTCCACTACTACACTGGCTGTACCCTGGGGAANATATATATGTTTTCATTTAGCATAGTCAATTGTGTTAACAGGAAATAAGTCATAAAATACAAGTGAATGGAGAAATGAAGACCTGAACATGATCTCAAAAGTAACAGCTGGTTCTGTTGTAGGAGTATGGTATATATGATTTATGTTTTCACTTCTTTTGAAATTTACCAGAGAAATAAAGTGAGACCTTTATTTTTAGATATTTCTTGTGGCTGCTAGAAAGTGAGCTGCAGACAATCAACTGCGACATCAGCATTCCCTACTTCGATTGGTCTACAGATGCTGGTGCCATGGAAACATCAGCAATATGGAGGGCTGACATGTTTGGAGGAAGTGGAAATTTGGGGACAGAATGTGTGCTGCATCATCCTTTTAAAGATTATTTCCCTCCATTTTGGAAGCCATGCTTAATGAGGAACTTCAACACCAGTATTAAACTCCCAGATGTAGTCAATATTCAGCTTCTTCTCAATGAACCATCATATGACAAATTCAGATTAGAGGCAGAATCCATATCTGGCTTATTTCATCAGTGGGTTGGAGGGCACATGCTATCCCCCTACAGCCCATATGATCCAGTATTTTATTCTCACTATGCCTTTATTGACAGATTATGGACATTATGGCAGGAGAGACATGGCCTCTTGCTCTATCCCCAGAGTCTGCGTTACATTCCAATGGAACCATTTGGTATTGGTGCTGACGCTGTCCTGTCAAATCCCAGTCAGTTGTGTGTGACATATGTACCAGTTACAGAGGGAGGGCTGTGCAATGTGACAGAAGCCAGGCAACAGTCACAGAGAAGAGATCCAGTGTATGATGTTGATGGATTTGATCGACAAGGTTACAATAGAGAAGGGTTTGATTCAATGGGATTTGATAAAAATGGATATAGTATAAATATCTTCAACCTTGATGGGTTTGATAGACAAGGGTATGACAGATCTGGGTATGATCGTTATGGATTTAACCGTCAAGGATTCACACCCTTTGGTTTTAACAGAAATGGGTCGTTCAGACCTGGAATTACTGAAGAAGGATTGGGTATATTTGATTCAGCAGGATACAATAAATATGGTTTCAACAAATATGGCTTGGATCGTGATGGATATGATGTTTTTGGATTCAGCACTGTTGGGTTTGATCGAAACAGCTGCAACTATTACTTTAAAGGCCCATTTTATGTTAGGTTCAGAAATTGGATAAGAAAGCAGCTGGTGAATTTGGATGATGCTGAGCTATCTGTGATACCTCGTATCTGCCCTCCTGTCAGTAATAATGCTATGTGGTGGTATGCCATGAATTGGTTGAACAGGAATGACCAGATAAATCGCATAAGGGAAATTGAACTCCAGAGAAGATCCCAGCATGGTGTGGAAAGTACATTCTCTCCAAGGCAGACCTCTGTAACTGAAGATAATTTATGGTTGCCTTTCACACCCGACGAGAGGTAAGTTATTACTGACCATAGTTCCCCTTTTCCTATGTAAATTACTATTAATTTGTTTAGATCTATATATTTTGAAGGCACTTTCGCTTTTAAAATGTTTCATGCATATGTGCACATCTTTTAGAAAACCACTTTTTATCCCAGATTTATAACACAAATAATTTTACTTTCTGTCAGATTTTGTTTTGAACTCCACTACTACACTGGCTGTACCCTGGGGAAGCAACCCATCAGTTGTCCCTCTGACTTGTGTACTACCTCAGAGTGTGTGGGTTTCCCCACAGCGGAATGCAGGGTACGGGGCTGTGGTACATGTACTGTAGAGTGGTATGATCCTATAACAGGGAATACAATACAGTGTATGGGTAAGTTGCAGTGGAGTCGCTGATGTTTATGAATTTTGTTTTTGGAGTCATATTTTTTGTAGCCAAAATTTCTGGGTTCTTGAAGGTCAGCTTCTTCATTTTCATATCTCTGGATATGCCAGCACTTGGCATCTTCTACAATGTCATGAAATCCAGGTGACTGGATGTGTTTTTGTAATTGGCGCTGTAACACTACGTAACTGTCAGAGTCAGACAGGTGTGCATGTCTGAAGCTCAGAAAATTAAGTTTTCATCTATAGGGTATGATGCTTGAAATGGAACAGACTTGAATTTAACCATATAGATCAATCTCCAGATTGAGATGTAAACTGGTCTCTTAAAATAATTACATAATAATAATATTTTTATTTCCAGGTTGCATTGACAGTGATGGTGTACAGCATGAAGAAGGGTCGACATGGCAACCAAATTTGTGCAACAGATGTCGATGTCAGGTATTTCCTTTATTTTCAAATGAACATATTAAAAATGCTGTCATTTTTGTTTATAATCTCTTTGCTTAAATTTTTTATATCTAAATAACTGATTTTATCTTAGGGTGGTGCTGTAAGCTGCAGTCCAATCCAGTGTCCAGCTGTGACCTGTCAGTATCCAGTGAGACTGGACAACCAGTGTTGTGCCAGGTGTGAAGGTAGGTATACTGAAATATTGCTTGATTTGGATGTTTAGTGGTGGGGATATAGCATAATCCAGTATGATACAAAATATCAGAGACAATAGAATAAGATGAAATAAGTGCATTATGTTGAAACGTAAGATGTAGGCAAAACTTCCTAATCTGGAAATGATAAGAATTTCATTACACTTAGAGATGTGAATCAACGGACTTCTAAATGTTTCAAACCCTTTATTTAACCTTGGAAATTTTTTCTAGGTTGCAATTACTTAGGCAATGTGTACAGCAATGGTGCTTCCTTCATGCCCTCAGCAAACCCCTGCCAGAGATGTCAATGCAGATATGGGGAGGTGAACTGTGTGTCGGTGAACTGTCCACCTCTAGGTCCATGCAGCAGCCCCATCACACTGCCAGGAAGTTGCTGTGCAGTGTGTCTGGACTGTGGTCCCAGACCTAATGCCAGTGTTTGGCAGGATCATCCCTGTAGGACTTGTAAATGTATTGTAAGTTGATGAATGTTTTATTCTGATAAACAAAAAAGGCGCCATGAGTAAGGGCTCCTGTGGTGCTTTTTTAAGATGTTAACTTGGTTCAAGATTTTGAAAATATTTTTGCAGAGAATTGCATTGTGTTGTGTCATACATGTAGTTAACTAAGATTGTTTCACTATTTATACAAATCTCATAGTCATAGTAGTTACTGGTAATAATATGTTTGCAATATTTTCATTACATCATTTTTTTGTTAGAATGGTGATACAATATGTGAAGATGTCCAGTGCCCTCCTGTGACTTGTCAGTATCCCAATATCCCTAGAGGAAAATGCTGCCCTGAGTGTACAGGTGTGTGGAAATGCAATTTGTTATGATTGATATCATCATTGTACCATGTTTAACCATAGTTTGTTATTTTTGTGTCACTTCATAATGTAGATGGAGACCATTGAATTCTTGCTGTAACAATAGAAATTCAGAATTGGCAACAGGATAAATAATTTCTTGATGGTTTTGGATAAGGTATATCTTGCTGATTAAAGGGGAAATTACTGATGTTTCCAGGAATATTCAGTCTTTGCTATGTATGTCCATTGTATGATATGCCTTTAAGCATGTTTGAATGATTTTCATTAGTGACTCCACATATGTACATCAATTTCACATATGTGATATGTGTACATCAATTTCACATATGTACATCAATTTCTTATAGACTGTCTGTACCAGGGGCGTACATTCCCAAACCACCAGACATTCCAGCCAGACCTCTGCACCACGTGTTCCTGTGAGCAGGGTAGTGTAGAGTGCCGCACGGAGACCTGCCCTCAGTTACAGTGCACTAACCCCACACAGATGCCAGGCCAGTGCTGTCCTGTATGCAGGGAAGGTAAAAAACAGGAAACAACTTCGTCCCTTCTTTCTCAAATTGTTCTGTTCATTTTATGATGAATAAAGAAATCTATTCCCTCCATTTTGAATTATTCCTGCAATAACAACATCTTGCAATGCTGTACAGAGAATATCCCAGATGATAACTTGTAACAATTTTAACTATTAACAAACAGAAGTTTTGTGCTGCTGTGTAAATGATAAAAAAGTTTGTTAATAATTGTTTTTATGCATTGATATCATTTAAGTGAGATATTTTGTTGATAATCCAGTTTTAACTGGCTAATTGTGTGTAAAATACCTATTGAGTGGATATTGTGTGTATTTGGTGTTTTTAATGAATAATTTTAACAAACTTTTAAAGAAATAGAGGTTATTTTATGGAAAGTGCACCATGTAATGAATGAGCTTAATACCAATATGCTTCTTAATATGGCTACAAATAAGAAACATTAAGAACCATATGTACTCTTGAACAGTTTTTCTTTTAACCATCAGAATTATTTCAAGTTGCAAAAAAATATTTAACCTCCAAGACATTGTATATGCTTCAGTTATGCACTGATTCTTCAAAAGCATTTGAAGTTTTACCCTGCTTTCAGGCTGTGAATATGACATGCACATTTATAAAAATGGGGACTTTTTTGTCCCTTCATTCAACCCATGTCTGAATTGCTCCTGCAATAACAACATCGTGCAGTGTCGTACAATGAAGTGCCCAGCAGTTGACTTGCCTTGTGCTAACCCAGTCAGGAGGAAGGGAGAGTGTTGCCCTTCACTCTGTCCTAGTATGTAACAACAATTTTCTTTTCATTGAAGTGTTTAACTTAAAACATAATTAAATGCCTATTGATAACCTTTTTTAATGCTTTAAATTGTTGATTTGTTTAAAGTGTACTCATAAGTATTTTAACATGTAATTGATGAAGAATGTGGTTTGACTATACACAACCGTGAAGTGATTAATTTGAATTAGTGTTCATACTATGTTATATTCATGTATATATAAAATTTTCTGAATAAGTGATTAGATTCAGCTGTTGCTTGCTTATATCCATATTCTCTAAACAGTAGTTTTGAAATGATAAAGATATGTATAGCCTTTACTTCTAAGTGCTTTTTATAGGCTTATCATTATCTTCCTGTCACATTTTATTATCTTCAATCATTTACCTCTTGCTATTTACTGTATAACGATAAAAGAAATATATTCTTTATAATGCTTTTTCATTGGCATATTATTATTATTATTATTATTATTATTATTATTATTATTATTATTATTATTATTATTATCATCCATTCCTTTTTTCGTACTGTTAACTTCATAATGAATTAAAGAGATTCTATCATGTTGTTGTTTTTTTCAGTAACATGTTACTGTTCAGTTCTTCTGTCGATGGTACTCACTGCAGTATCATATAATAAAAAAAACTTTCTACACAATGCAAAATAGACCAGTAGAAATCTTTCACAAATGCATCACTTATCACTATCCTGATTCACTTCTCTAGCATGTGAGTATGAAGGGCAGACATATGAGCATGGTCAGCAGTGGGGGTCAGTGCTTGACCCCTGTGACACTTGTACATGTGACTATGGCACAGTTGATTGCACTAGGTCTATCACCTGTATTGTCCAGTGTCCTCATGGCTTCAGAGAACCTGACGAGTGCTGTCCACAGTGTACTGGTATGGATTAGGACACTTAGTTTTTCACTACATTTGTCTCATCTGAGCTGGCAATAAGTAAAGAAAAAATAATGTATAAGCAATTATGGGAAGCAGCTTGTAGCTTTTCATGTGCAGTCGTAGTAGTCTGTGTTCCTTTAGGCTGGAATACATTTCTGCAATAATCAAGATGTGCTTGTATGACATGGCCAGTGAAGATATGGCAGCACTGCTTTTTGAATAAACTGAAAGACACTACTGTACAGTTGCCTAAAATACAAAGATTTGCATGCAGCATTATGTGTATATCAAATATGCCTCTATATGCCAAAGTTATGGCTTACTGTAATAATTCATGACCAATTTCTTGAAACCATGCAATTAAGCTGTTGCTATCTTAATGCCAGAATGACATGGTGCTAATAACGTTTCAGATTGTGTTTTTGAAAATCGTAAGATTCTCAATGGCCAGAAGTTTCCTAAACCAGGAGAAAATTGTGTTGAGTGTGAGTGTCGAGATGGGTATGTGAAGTGTCTTCCTGTGTCTGAGAGCTGTCCACCTCTACAGTGCAGGGACACTGTACTGCTTCCTGGGGAATGTTGCCCAAGATGTAAAGGTATTGGCATTGTAGATATTTTTAATTAACCATTTATACACAACCATGATTTTAGTTTAGCAAGGTAAATGTAATAATGAATGATAATGTTTATTTGTATAACTGTATATCTGACATGTATAAGTTTAATGTAAGCAATATTCTATATAAATTTTAGCAATCTAAGAATTTTAGATTTATTAAGAACATAATTTTGGTTGTACATCTTGGTGGTATAGCCTACTAAAAACAATACTCCAAGTGGATCACAAAGCATGCAGGATTGCCAACATAAAAGGTCAAATTTGAGCAGGCTGTTGTTCAGCATGCTGATTGTGGGTTTTTTAAGAGGGGTGGGACATAGTGGAAAAATATTCTTGTACATGAATGGGGGTAAGTACCAAGTTGAGGTGATCAATTGTTTAGTTCATTGTTGAGAAAAAAAGGAAAGTTGTATAGCTGAGAACATTTGACATTACTACATACAGAGTAGTAGCAATGATGGCATTATGTTTTCAGACTGTGTGGATCCCCGAGGTGTTCACCACACAGATAACAGTGAGTGGACTGACTACCAGAACCCATGCAGCATGTGTTCCTGTCGTAACGGTCTCATCACGTGCATGCAGCAGATGTGTCAGACGCCATCTTGCAGATATCCTGCCAAATTACCAGGAGAATGCTGTCCAACTTGTAATGGTATGGAAGTTCAATAACTGTGTGTTGTTTGTTTTTTTAACAGAAATTACATTTTATTTCTGTGAATGTCCCCTTGCAAAGTGTTAGAAAATGCATTCATTGGCAATGCTTGTTGTTTGTTACCATCAGCTGGAAAATGTAACAAATTTTTATTTAAGTCTGTTAATGGTATTATGTAGATCAATGTAAAAGGGCAAGATGATTGTCAATAATATATCTAACCACATTTTCACATTTTAGGCTGTGAGTACCAGGGTTCTGTATACAGCAATGGGGACATTGTTCCAAGTGGTGAAAGATGTCAGAGCTGTAGATGTAGAAATGGTAACTTAAATTTTTCATCCAAGCCTCTAGGCATTAAAGAGGGGTTTAAAGTCATTTTGATGCACTTTAATTTGATTTTTCAAACACTTTAACAGTCTGTAAATCTTTAAGGTTACTGGCTTTCTAGGCCACCAGTGCCTTTGAATCTATTAGCTGTCCTTAGGACTCCTAGCTTCGATTTAGCTGGCATTTTACATAGGGCCATTGTCAACATAACAGAGGGTAGTACTATATAAAAAATGTTTTTGTTAAATGTTATGTGATGTATATATAGTAACTTTTGTAAAATTAAGACTTTATTTAGTGCTGTTCTATGTTGTATTTCCCTAGGTAATGTTGACTGTGAACCCGTCCAGTGTCCAGTGGTCACCTGTGATAATCCTGTGACCACCAGTGGACAGTGCTGCCCAGTGTGTGAGGAGTGCAGGTACCAAGGCAAAGTGTACAGGAATGGACAGAGCTTTATCTCTGCTATCAACCCATGTCTCAGGTGTCTCTGTAATGTGAGTATGCAGTGAAGATAATGAACTAGAACTTGTTACTTTGTTGTGGAGTATTGTTAAGATTTAAGTGTAAGCATGGTTGGTTGTTGCACATTAAAAAAAGGGCAAAAAAAAATTAAAATCTTAATTAATCACTTTCAGAAATTTAAGTAAGAATTTCAAGTTCAGAAATGCTTCATCCTTTAAAGGAGATGCCTTGGCACTTGTATTTACAGTTAAATACCTGTTAGCATATTTTAAAATTTTTTGTTTTTTTTTAAGGATGGTCAGGTGAACTGCCAGGAGCTGGCAATAGACTGCAATGCCCCGTGCACTCATCCAGCCCCAGTGCCTGGCCAGTGCTGCCCAGTCTGTGAAAACTGTGTCTATGAAAGAAGACAGTACAGAGATGGACAGGAGTTCTTCCCAAGGTCAAATGATCCATGCTTTAAATGCGTTTGCCAGGTATTGTGTTTTGATGAATGGAATGTATCAATATTTGCAAAAACTGTCCTAAACCATTGTGGCCATTACCACTGCATAATTTTAGTTATTGAAAGGCTAGTATTGTCACCAAGAATGTAGCCCCTCATTCTTGAACATAAATATTAATTGTGAAATTAGTGCCATAGTATCTTATCAGACTTCCTGAAAAGTTGAAGTTTTTTGCCTGGATGCAGTTTCCCAACTTTTGTATGAGAAATTACCACAAGGGTAACACCAGTAATGAACAGAAATGTAATTGGTAGTAAATAATATTGCATTTTACATTTTCAGAGAGGCAGTGTGATAACTTCTAGGCTACAATGTCCTATCCTGACCTGTGCTGACCAAGTGACCCCTCCAGGCCAATGCTGTCCAGTGTGTGAGACAGCTTGTAGATATGCAGGGCAGGAATACCAGGAAGGGCAGCAGTGGACAGATTCCAGGGACCCCTGTGCTATATGTACATGTCAGGTGAGTACTGTCCACATAAAGGTAGTAAAAGACTGAACTACAAACCTCTGCTTTATAAAACATTTTAAATAGCAGCTCACAAGAGTGATTACATAATCATTTTCTTTGGTCAAAATTTTTAACGAAAAAACTCCTATGAATGGTTTCAGAATAGAAGAGTGACATGCAGCAGAAAGGAGTGCCCCCCTGGACAGTGTCCCCATGGAGTGACCAGACTGGGCGAATGCTGCCCCACCTGTGACGAGTGCCTGTATGAGAGGAGACGGTTCAGGAATGGACAGGAGTTTGTGCTGCCTGGGGATCCCTGTAATAGATGCAGGTGCCAGGTGAGTTCAGAGGCTACTAGAAATAGTAAATAATAATAATTTTAATATTAATAATAAAGATGATGATGATAATTGTTAGTACAATTATAATATTATTACCTACTTTTAGATTAACCTTGTCACGACACCAAACAGTATGTGGTATATTTATAGTAAATTTGATTTTTTGAAGACAAAAGATGATTAAAGGCCTTTTGAGCAATGCAATGCAGTGAGAGATTTATCATTGGAATAAATTTAAATCTGAAGTGTAATATCAATATCCATGTATTGCAACCAGTTCTTAAATGTATTTTTAGAATGGCCGAGTTACCTGCAGTAAAGTGGACTGCCCTGACCTCAACTGTGTCAACAAGAGAACACCACCTGGTCAGTGTTGTCCAGTTTGTGAATTAAGGGGCTGTAGTTACCTAGGCCAAAGCTACAGTGAAGGGGAAAGGTTTGTTTCTCCTCGTGATAAGTGCCAGGAGTGTGAGTGTCGGCAAGGGGAAGTGAGATGTTCCCGCAAGGCATGTCCACCTGCTCGCTGTGACAACCCTGGGAGAGGAGACTGCTGTGACACATGTAGTGGTCAGTATGTTAATGTCACATTATACCAGATGAAAAGGGTGTAATTTGACAGTTGATATAAAATCTTTTGATGTCCAGGCCTTAAGAAACAAGTATTTGATTTTTTTTCAAGAGATCCAGACTTTTATTCTTGCAAAATCATGATTCATTTAATTGGTAAATGCTTGATATGAACTTAATGTGTCTTGTATTTCATGACAAGTGTTTTACTGTTAAGTAAAAACGCAGTAGTGACTGCACAGTGAGTGAATTTGAATCTGTCTGTTTTGCAGGAGATTTCTTGTCATTGCAGTAATTTGAAATCAAATGTGCTTCTTTGCTTGCTTTTAACATTCTGTTAGGAACTATTGGGCAAAGGTGTAAAAAGTTTAAAATGGCATGATTTTGTTCAAAAGTTGTGCTATATTTAGTTAAATTGATAAATTAAAAGCTGTTTTTTTTTTCTGTACTGTTGTTACAGGTTGCAACTATGATGGTGTAAACTACTCTAACTTTGCCACTTTCGACAGCCCTCGTGACACATGTGAGAGGTGTAGATGTGCCAATGGTTATGTCATATGTACAAAGAAGGATTGTCCTGCTACACCCTGCCAGCACCCTGCAGCACCTCCAGGACAGTGCTGCCCTCTATGTAGAGGTAAAGCTGTCCAATATTTTCTTTAAAATTTAGTACAGTTGAAGTCATTAGGTACATGTAGTGCATATTATATGTCAAAGAAATTGAATCATTGTTTTTTTTTCACAACAATATAAATAGTTAACCCAAGTTTTAGGTATTTAAATTAAATTTATGAATTTGATTTTCACCATTAGATTGCTTGTATGAGGGACGCTACTTCCGCAGTGGTCAAGAGTTTGCAGATTTGCTAGATCAGTGCAAAACATGTCGCTGCCGCCAGGGCACAGTGACTTGCACTGCCAGATCTTGTCCTCCAGTCAGGTGTGCAAACCCCAGACAGGGGCAGTGCTGTCCCAGGTGTGATGAGTGTACATACAGGGGCAGAAGCTACAGGGATGGCCAGGTGTTCAGGGACCCAACTGATGCTTGCCAGGAGTGCAGCTGTAGAGGAGGGCAAGTCAACTGTCGTACAATCACATGCCCCGTGGTCGTCTGCACACACCCAGTGCAAGGTTCGTGTTGTAAGGAATGTGATGGGTGCTTTCATAATAATCGACAATACAGAAACAGGGAAACATTCCCAGACAGCTTGGACCCATGCAAAGAATGTGTCTGTACTAATGGCAATGTCCAGTGCAGTCCAAAGCGCTGCCCACAGACTTCTTGCCCTTACCCTGTGAGGGGTGCCTGTTGTGATGAATGCACAGGCTGTCTGTATGAGAATAACAACTATCGCAATGGGCAGATATTTGTTCACCCAAGGGACCAGTGCAAGGAATGTGAATGTAGATATGGGGATGTCCGCTGCAATAACAGAGCAGAATGTTCGGAGTGTTCTTATAATGGCAGAAGTTATGGTAATGGTCAGAGATTTCCTGATCCAAACAATGAGTGTATGGAATGCCTGTGCAGTAATGGCAATGTTGAGTGCAGACTCAAAACTTGCCCTAGAGTGGACTGCACACATCCGGTGCAAGGACGTTGTTGTCCAGAATGCATCAATTGTCTATACAATGGTCAAGAATTTAGGGATAGGCAGAGGTTTGAAGACACAAGGGATTCTTGCAATGAATGTTACTGTACAAGAGGCAGTGTATCCTGCAGAAGGAAACAGTGCCCTGCTGTGTCTTGTACCAACCCAGTGCAGGGAGAGTGCTGTCTTGAATGTCAAAATTGTATCCATAACAACCAGGAAGTGCCCTCTGGTGAGAAGATAAGGGATGAGCAAACATGCCAGGAATGTACTTGTAATTCAGGAACTGTTAGTTGCCAGCCACTTCAGTGTGAACCTGTATCTTGTCCACACCCAGCCAAAGATCAATGCTGTGAGAGGTGTAATGACTGCATCTATGAAGAGAGGAGATACAGCAACAAAGAGACATTCCCAGATCCTAATGACTCCTGTAGTGAATGCCAATGCATGGTAAGAAAAATTCCTTTCATATGTTTTGGAAATTGCTTGCCACAGCTTTAATGAAGATTGTTACTTTATAATTTATAAAAAAAGAAAAGATTGAAAAGTTTTTGGAAAAAAATGGAAACGTTGAAAAACTGAAACTTGTTAAATTTAATTTTTCCTTTAGGCTGGATTTGTGCAGTGCCGCAAACGCAAGTGCCCAGATGTGAACTGTTTGAATCCTATCCCTGGCCCCTGCTCCTGCCCTCTGTGTGGGGCAGACTGCCTCTTTGGTGACATAATGCTGACCAATGGTCAGACAATACAGGACAGAGATAACCAGTGTAATGAATGCACTTGTAAGGTAACAGACTTAACCCATATCTGAGAACAAGTATAAATTATCTGAAAGCCAGTATTAATTATGCTTTGTTTGTTAAAAAATGTTAGGCTCAAAAAATTTGTGCAGCAGTGCAAACACAAAATATATAAAAGTTGATGTTTGAATATGATTGTTGTAGATTTGGTCATAATAAAGAGTCAGTCAGATTATATAACTGAATCAATGGGAAGTTTTCTTCTTTATTTAGGATATGCTAATGGCTGGATAATAACATAGCATATGCAGAAGGAACTATAGATACATTTTTACATTTTCATTATGTTAATTAATATTTCTTCAAGGATGGTAGTGTAAAATGTGAGAGGAAGCCCTGTCTCCCTGCCAGATGTCGTAATCCAGTGCGAGGGCCGTGTGAGTGCCCAGTGTGTACAGGTTGTCTCTATCAGGGACAGACATATCTCCATGGTACCACATTTGATAACCCAGTTAGTAGCTGCCAGACCTGTACCTGTGCGGTAAGCAGGAGCTTAACTGTGAAAACCTCAGCTTTTACATATTGATTCAATATACAATTTTGTTATATGGTATTTTGTAAGCATCTTTTGACATAATTTCTGAAAATTCATGAAAGCACTGTGTTGAAAACTCTGCGTTGTTTCTTTCAAATATATACATTGAGTTTTCTTCTGACTTTGTATGTTGCATAAAATACAATCAATCGTTGGGACCATTTGTGGTTCAGAGAAATTGCTGTACAGTTCAATCTTTCCCCCTTTGAACTATATAATCTTTTTGCTTCAGTGCCATTGCTTTTGCAATACTTCTTAAGAAAGGCAGATGAGGGTACCATAGTAAAACGGTTTTGTTGGCCACAGAATGATAAACATAACAATTTTATTTTGAATTATCCAGGCCTCCCTAGTGGCATTGGTACCTTCATGCTACTGTTTTAGGTTCTTGTTCACCGTCTGTTTCTTCTAAGCTAAAATGTTTCAACGTGCAATATGTGCCCTGAAACTATTTTAGCATAGTTCCTCTCTCTTGTTCTCTTGTTTTCATAATGCTTTTATTTGTGCTTCTCTCTTTGCAGAATCTTCTTTACAATGTATACTATGGCATAAACTGGGTATAGTACTCTATTTTTCTCTTGCCCAAAATGGTCACATGGCATGTTTAGCTGTCATATCATTTTTGAAACAGTACATCTTTCCTAGCATGTTTAGTTGTACTAGAAGAGGCAACATAAATTTTAATACTGATTGTTAAATATTAATAAAGTGATTGGTGATTGTTAAATATTAATAAAGTGATTGGTATGATCAGGTGGGATATTTTTGATTGAATGATTATGCATGGGACAGCAGATAGTGGTTGTACTGGGTTGTAGTGATTCTGCAGACTGTAAATCATTGTTCAGTTAGTTTCCATTTCAGTTTTAATGTTTTGGCAAATGAATGATTTTTCTCTTTGATGTGTTGATTGTGCACTGCGGATTTGGTATTATTTTGGATTTTTTTTCCTATTTTTGCTAATTAATGGAACTGAATTTGTTCTGCAATGCATCGGGCAATGGATGAGGTACATGTAGTTGGTACAAAAAACTGTAGACGTGGTTGAAATTATGCGAATGCACGTCCATATCAATTTTGGTATTCTGGCATCAAATTTACTGCTACTAAAAATATATTATCTCTAATAATTTGCTAGAATAATTTCATTGGTATGGATCTAGAAAACAAAACTAAAATAAACTTAAATGTAAGGCACTGAAATTGATTTTAATTGAAGACAATGTTTGTGAAATTGCAAAATAATGTAAATTTCTTTTTTAACAACATTTATTGCAGATTATGATAGTATTTAATATTATGTAGTGTATTTTAGTAAAATATAGAAATGGTCAATTTCAAAGATAAAACAGATGAAACTTCTCCTTACTGATTGGTGTTTCCTGTCTATTTGGCCTGAAATGTTGAACTTATATGCTGAGTGCTAATCACTTTATTTTAAGATACAACTGTAGTATTTGGTTTTCCAGAGTGGTAATGTCCAGTGTCGTCCAGTGACCTGTCCATACACATGTACTCACCCAGTGGTCACTACTGGATGTTGCCAGGTGTGTGACCAGTGTCTGTTTGAAGAACAGATCATCACCAGTGGGCAAGCTTTCCTTCATCCAACAGACCCATGTCAGCAGTGTACATGCCAGGTCAGTGAGAATTGTAGAATATGTCAAACTTTTTATAGATGGGACATGTAGCGGATTTTGCTGAAAATATAAGCATTTTTTTTTTTTGCAGCTGTTTTAGAAATATTATCATTTTGATATTTATACAGATCATTCCTCACTGGTTATTTTTTTGCTCAATTTCAGAGTGGCAATGTGATGTGTGACCTGATCAGCTGTCCTCCAGCAAAATGTGACAACCCCATCCAGAGGGAGGGGCAGTGCTGCCCAGAATGCTCAGGTTAGTATAAAAGTGGATTCTTTATATTTAATATTTGATGTACATTTTTTTTCAACTTGAAAAGTCGTTTTTTTTAACCTTATATGTTTAGAATTTGGCTGAAAAAAAAGTGAAATTATGGGGTTGGGGTATATTTTGTTGCATATGGAGAAGGTATGGTATCCATATGAATAAATCCAGTGATATTTCAATGTGATTGTGAATTGACTGTCCACGTATTTAACTCAAACCATATGCCTGATCAATATATCATTTCAGTTTGTGACTTTTCTGATCGTCTGTTTGAAGAAGGCCAGATATTTGTACATCCAGATGATAAGTGTCAGGACTGTGTCTGTAAGGTCTGTGAATATACATACGTCTGTTTTATATTAACATTTGAGGTTATTCTTGCAACAGATTTTGACAAATTTATACACTGTTTATACGCTTTATGTATTAAGTATTTAACATTTAACCTGCTTAGTGCTGCTTTGACATGTGTTGGTTTATATATCTATGATTTTCCATGTTAGTCTGGTACTGTGACCTGCAATAAGCAGGTATGTAACAGTCGCTGTACTCACCCAGTCCCTGGCCAGTGTTGTCCTAACTGTGGTCAGTGTATGTATGATGGGCGTGTCTATGAGGAAGGACAGCAGTTCCGTCCAGAACCATGCAAGCAGTGCAACTGCCAGGTAATGTTCAGATTTATGGCTTCATGCATATTTTTTCAGCCTCGACCAAATCATGAATAGGACTTAAAGGGCGTAGACGGAGTAACAATGTTAAATAAAAAAGGTTCTTTTTGTCTGGTAAGATTTTGCTAAAATGTTGTTTTTAAAGATTCTCATGATCAAAGATGCTCAAGGATGACAACCTGCTAACATTTGCGAGTCTGTTTTCAGAGAGGAAACGTTTTCTGCAAAGCCGTCAGATGTCCACCTCTCAACTGCACTTACACTGTGCAGGAACCAGGAGAATGCTGTGAAAAGTGCAAAGGTGAGAAGTGAAAAATGAACAGTGGTCAATGTTGATCAAGAAAACTGATGAAATAGAACTCATTTTCTGTTTTGATAATGAAAACGAGCAATTTGAAAAACATGGTGAAAGCATATGTATTATATAATGTACTGTATTTTTAATGTTTTTTAATATTCTGTTTTATAGTTGTTTCTGAATCTGCATTCATTTTTCACATGGTAAATTGTTTCAGATTGTATGTACCAAGGCAAGGAATATGATAGTGGCTCCACCTGGCTGTCACCTGACAACCCATGTATGTCATGTCAGTGTCTTGGTGGCATTGTTACCTGTGCAGAGATCAACTGTGTTGTCCCCTGTCCTCAGCCAGTACCTGTGCCTGGACAGTGCTGTCCTATGTGTCCTAGTGAGTGAACGTGTCATCAGTCTGTGCTTAATAATTTAAAACCAGATTCTAAAAATTTTGTCCAGTAGGTTTCGCAATTGTCTTTTATCCATGTGTTTTAAAGAGAATTTATTTGTCAAGAACTCGCTTGTCAAGAACTCACAGGTAGATTTGCGGTTTAGCTTTGATTTCCATAAGTAGAAATTGTTGTTATGTAATACTATGCATAACATATGTTTTCAGCCTGTGTCTACAATGGCAGGTTCTATCAGAATGGTGAGACATTCCAGCCAAATGAAGATGCCTGTGATGAGTGTACTTGTCAGGTGAGTGAAGGCCAATTTTCTATCCATTTACAATGGCTTGACTTAAAAATGTATTATTTCAACAAACTTGTGTGATAACTATTTATTACCATCCTTGCCTCTAGTTATCACCGCCTTGAAATAGATTGGGTCCCTTTCCTCCAATATAATCACATGCTGTGCTGAGAAAAAGTTTTGTTATTACTAGAAATGGACCTTTAAATATCTAGACAGCATGCATTACTGTACTCAAATTTTTTATATGTTGATATGTATTGTACAAGCAAAGATAAGCAATTGGGATATTGTATTTTATGTTAAACAATTAAGCTCAATAATGCATTTAGAATAGATTAAAAAGATTTTAATGCTTTCCTGTTAAAAGCAAGAAAAAGGGTATATAGGCATACAGAAAGGAAAAGTACAAAAAATTCCTTATCTCTTATCAGGATAGCAAGCTTCTTTGTAAGCGCAAGATGTGTCCAAGCCTAGTGGACTGTCCAGCAGAACAAGTAGCCAGACCACAACCTGGAGAATGCTGCCCAACTTGTGGAGGATGTAAGTGTTGAACACAATCCAAAGATAAAAGTTTCCAACACATTTACCAAGCATGTGATGCATGTAAAATTCCAGGAGCTCTTTAAAAGTTCTTAAAAAAGAGTCAGTCAAAAAAGAAAGATGTTGCAAGTCTCAGTTTAAACCACTTGCATATAATTCTGGGCAAGTTACAGTGATAAGTCTTCATTGAATTGGCATTTTTGTTTCAAAATGTGCTTAAAATATCATTATTTTATGCTAAAACAAAACATATGTTATTTATATTCTGGTTGGGAGCAATCTTGTTTCAGAAAAAAATGTAATTAAAATGTCTTCTTGATTCTAGTTGGGACGAATTGTACCTCTGACCACCAAGGCATGATGATACGTCCCAATGGAGATGCATGTGTGACTTGTGAGTGCCAGGTATGTAGACAAGTACATGCATTCTTTGATGTATGGATTATCAGATTTTACCAGCCTATCTTCTTTCTAAAAAGGAGATCAGTGGCTAGCTTCATGAAGCAGTTGGTCCTTTTCACATTGGGGGGATAAAATTAAATGATACAATCTGGACTGGTATTTTAAAAAGATTGACAACTTTAAAGTGGCAAGGCCCTAGGATGTTAATGAAAACATACTGGTATTAAAGCAAGTTGTGTGCTACAAAACTAGTCATGAAAATTTTATGGCAACTTATGTTTTTATGTTCAACTGGATAAAAAGTATGTAATCTTTGTAAAAAGGTATGTGCGCACTTGAAGATTGTATTTAGATACATGTAGAAATCAAGCAGAAAAACTAAATGTAGGATAAATCCTTGTTTCTGTCTACAGGATTTCAGCTGGGTTTGTATCCATGAAGTTTGCAAGGATTTGAGTTGTCCTTTGTCAGAGCAGTACAGACCAGATGGCAGCTGCTGTTCAAGGTGTGCAGGTGAGTTTTGAACTGAATTTATCTGGTTACCATATTTATATGTGCATTTTCTTTTCATAAAAGTGCTGTCTTATTGTGATAACTTGGGATTTAGAGTAATGTATTTTACATTTCAGTGTGTTACAGTGATGAGACAGGTGTCACATATCAAGATGGTGAAGCTTGGACATTAGAGTCAGATTCCTGCCAGGACTGTAGATGTGAGGTGAGTTGATCACCAGACTGTAGCACAGGCTTGTTTATTGTGATGGGTCTTCACAGTTTTTGGCAAATCTAAATTGCAAATTTGATGAATTCATTGATATGATAATGTTGGTTCTTACCATTTTGAGTTAACTATTGTAAAGTTTTTTAATTCATGTAATTATACAAGATATTGTATAATTCATGTAATTATACAAGATATTGTATGAAGAAATAAAGGAAAGTCATTTGGTATTTGTACATGCTGACATAGTTTTGTCTCCATTTTACAGGCTGGTGCTATTGAATGCAGAAGAAAAACTTGTCCCACACTGGTTTGTGGTAGAGGCACTGTGGTGTATAGACCCCCTGGAGAGTGTTGTGAAGTCTGCAGTGGCCAGGTGGCAGCACAAAACACGACATGCCAGTACAAGGGGAAAGTATATCAGGTAAGAAATGCACCTGTCTGGTTTTATAATTTTGTGTGCGTCATGTTTTCCCCATGTAGTAAACTATGTTTTTCTGTAATAAAAAATTAAGTTTAGGCTCTTATACATATACTCAAGTGTTCGGTTAATGATAAAATTCTCCTCTTTCTCTTGCTGAATAAAATAAAATAATAAGAGGTGTACACCATAATAAATGAGCCCATGGTTACACTATCAAGACAGTTAAACATAACTGATCTCTAATAGTTATATTTATACCTTTGCTTCTACAGTCCAGTGATGAATGGCATTATGATGACTGCACCAAGTGTTTGTGTATAGATGGCAGAGTGGAGTGTACCAGACAGAGATGTGAGCCAATAAGCTGTGGTTCTGATGAAGTGCCCTCCCTTGTGCCAGGTGTCTGCTGTCCAAAGTGTATTGCAAGTAAGTCTGACTTGATCAATTTAAACAATTGCCAGTGTTCAAAAAGGATTTTTTCTGTGAAGTTATTTTGATAAACAAATTCATGGAATCTTGGGACAGAAAACAAGAAATGAAATGTACATTTTGATGTTTTTAGTTTGAAAATACATTTCTTTAGTCAGAAAAAGTTGTTGTTCTTCAGAACCTGCATCTTGCATAGCATTTGGTGATCCCCATTACCGTACATTTGATGGCAGAATGGTCCACTTCCAAGGAACTTGTAAATACATCATGGCCACAGACTGTGACTCTGGAGATTTCACGTAAGAAGATTATTCATGCTAATTAATCTGTATCTTTTTAATATCGTAGATGACTCAATATAATTATTTACAGATCCGTTGACACTATTTTCTCCTTAGATTAACATTGTTTTTGATATGGGTATTTGCATTTGTCTTCAGTATTGAAGTCCAGCATGATGACCGAGGTGTTCAGGGGGTGTCCTGGGCCCAGTCACTGACCGTTAAGATAGCTGGAATAGAACTGGAGTTGCTACAAAGACAAGCAGTCAAGGTATGGGTGATAATTTTTAAGATGAGCATTTAATGTGGGTTTGAAGATTAGTTTATCAGAATTGATCTTAAGGTTTCACATATTGCTTATTGACATGGAAAGAACATTTTTATCAAAACAAAGGCCACCATTAACACCAATGATCTTACAGTTTGCAATTTTGTTTTAGCATTTTGCAGTCTTGAGATATATAGACCCGTGAAGTAAAATGTTGCTGGTATTTATATACATTTTACCACTTAGAATGATGCAAATGTTTACAGTGCCAGAAGAAATTAATTTGGGGCTTGAGTACGTGGCAACTACCCCATAGGTGCAGGTTGATCATTCTTTATTTTATTGTGTATAATCTTTATCCATTTATATGAAATATCCGTAATGAACTTTATTTTATTCATAGGTGAATGGTCAGTCAGTGAGTTTACCATATCTAAAAGAACCACATGTGTTTGTAGAGCAGTCTGGTGACAACATTCTGCTCAATACAAATCTTGGAGTTAAGGTGAGAATGATGGACATTTAATTCTTTATCTAAAAAACACTTTAGCTGTGGACTGTTAGAATTGTTAGTGTTGAGAGTAGTTGAAATAATTCTTAAATTTCATAATGTCAAAATAGTTTTTTGGAACCTAGACTGGTACCGTAAGTTTTACCCGAATTGTTTTGTTTAGAAAGGTATTTGCAATACATATTCCAGGTAATTTGGAATGGTGATAGTTATGCAGAAGTGAGTGTTCCTGGTAATTACAAGCGTAAGATGTGTGGTCTGTGTGGAAATTTCAATGGCTTCCCTCAGGATGACCTGAGATTGAGGGATGAACAGATTGCTACTTCAGAGGCAGTCTTTGGTAACAGTTGGAAGGTAGGGACATGGTACTTTTATGTCCCACATAAATTTAAGTATCAGTTGGCAGAATTTAGACATTTGCAAGAGGCTACCATTTTGAATTTTGTTTCCTGTAAAAATGGAAGACTATTCAAAAGAATATATTTATCTGAATTGATCTCATAAAAGTATTGCCACAAAGGGAAAATAATTCTTATGTGAGTTTGTTCACTTTTACTGCATGCTTTTGTCAGTTAATGTTGCTGATATTTTTATTTCATATTTTGCAGGTACCCAGTTCCCAGCCATGTGAGGATGGCAGAGACCTTGACCCTTGTATATCAGCAGGATATGCTGCAAGAAAAATGGCCAATAGCAAGTGTGATATTCTAAAGGTAAGGTGAAGTTTTTCTACTACTCATGCTTGTGCTTGATATGCAATTTTTTTACAGCAAAGGCTCTACTGATGCATTGATAATTTTCTTGCAGCTTTTGAATTCCTTTTTCATGACAATACCATTTATTGTTTTGTTTCAAAGATGGGAATTAAGGAACAAAGGTATTTTAATGCAAGCATCTTAACCTAAATAGATTTTTTCCAATCCATTCCATCTCACCCAGTTGTAATAAACAAATATAGATTTATAGTATTAAAGTCTCAAAACAAACTACTTGCAAAGAACTTCTTACTAGTAGATATAACTCATCTCCTGCCACATTTAACATTTTAGCCTAAATTGCAAAGAAATGGTCTAGAACAAAGCCACCCCGTGAAAAATAGAGGATTATTTTTCATGCCCTAGACTCTGCATAACTTTGGGACTGGAGGATTTGTTTGAATAATGCAAAGACTCAATTTGGCAATGTCCATTAAAGTGATAACAACTCTTCGTGTGAGATCTTTATTTCACTGTAAATACATTGTAAAAAAACTCATAGAAGTATAATATATTGTTTTACCACAAAAATGGCAGTTATAGCAATAAATCTGCAATCTGTGCTTGTCATCGGATCATGTGGCCTCCACAGATGGCTTTACTCTGTAATAATCTCTTAGGAGATTATTACAAAAAAAACAAACTCTTGAGAAAAAAAACAGGGACTAACTTTGAATGTAAAAATGGATTCATCAACCATTGGTAAGTATGTGAAAATTGCCGTTTACCCCAGGAAAATTCATTTTTTGGCTGAAATGAACAGTTGTTATCCCTTTTAAGTTTCAGCCAACAGTATGGAAATAACCCATTCCCATAAATGATAAATCTGATTACATGGTGATAAGTCTACTGTGTAATATATCTCATCTACCATTGCAGGGACCACTGTTTTCCAAGTGCCATCGTGTGATCCCCCCTGAGCCATTCTATGCCTCTTGTGTCTATGACCTGTGTGCCTGCAAGACCCCAGGGAACTGTCTGTGTGATGTACTGTCATCATATGCTCTGGAGTGTGCACAGGCAGGAGTGACACTGAACTGGAGGTCTCCAGCTCTCTGTGGTAAGATTTAGTGTGTCTGACTACAAATGAGACCCATCTTTCAAGGTGGATTTTAACTATTTTGAGACAATTTACCATTCTTGTTGCATGGGAATTATTTGTTACATTCATCTTGCTGAGTCTACAATGTTGCCATGTCATCTCGACTCAAGTCACAACATAAGTAGCTGTTTGCAAGAATTTTCCCTTTAAGTTCTGTGTATAACATAAAAATAAAGCTTACTTACTTAAGTATTAATTGGTTCTTTGATAACAAGAATAATTGACATTAAATTTTTCATGGATGTCATCTTATACTGGTAAATTGTATAAAACTGAACACTTCATTTCAGCCATTGGTTGCCCAGAAGACCAAGGTTTCATATTTGATGAATGCGGCCCACCATGCCCGAGAACTTGCGAGAACCGTAATGAGCCACTGGGCAGCATCGAGGCCCAGTGCTTTAAGCCTTGTGTTCCCAGTTGTCAGTGTTCAGCTGATAGAATATTACATGAAAACAGCTGTATACGTCCAGAGGAATGTCCAAACAGCTGACCTCAGTAACCAAATTGTTTTACAAGAATATTTAGTAGTTAGTTTTTAGGTAGATTTTACATGGAGTAAATACAATGCAGTGTATTGTATCATATTTTGTAGCATTGTATGAAGTAATTTATTTGTTACACTGCACTTCTTAGTTCGTGCATTATTTTGGTAAGCTTGAAATAATTTTCCTAAACATATTTGAAACTATGTTTTGTGTACCCAAATTTTAATCATTTTTTTTATAAACTTTGGTAAGTGCAAGACAATCTCCTTTAAAGTATTGACTGTTATTAATCATTGTCATATTTAAGAATGTATGCATATATATATCAAGATTTTCTAACCATACATTTAATGTATATATGTTTGTAGAGTAAGCAAGTAGAGGAAATCTTATTGATTTCTATTTTTAACAATCATCTCAGGATTACAGCTTCTTGCTGTAGAATGCATTTAATATTATTTTATTATTATCATTATTAAAAGTCCTGGTAATTTCAGGCTTAAGGATATTAATTTTTTGATACAAGTTCAGGATTCTTTTAATATGACATGTACAATGAAAATTGTGTTCTGCATGTGGCTTGTTAAGCAAATTACACGTCTTAATGTTAAAATACACCAGTTGGCAGAGTTTGCTACATTCCAAAGGAAGCCAATATGAATGCATGTTACATCATACAATCAGGGAAACCCTGAAATCCTTATAATAAAATGAAAAACTAATGGTTTTTAATATTGCTTTTATGGTTTAATTACTTACTTAACTTGTTTCATATGTAAATTGCACATTGTCATAATTTTTTTCCATAAATGTGCTGCTGAAAAAAAAATTAAAGGTGGATTTTTGAGAATTGCTGTAATTTTATGTATTAAATCAATGATGAAAAATGTGAGGAGTTCTATCTGTTGTGCTTCATCCATGTGACTGCTCTTAAACTGAACAACAAGTTTAAAATTCAATAGCATTTCATGTTATTCAAAATAAATAAAATGATTAATAAAATAGATCAATTTTTTAATCCACAAACAGGTCACAATTTGCGTCTTCCACTTTCGTGTAATGTCTATAATGCCTTACTTTTCCATTGCTATGGTGTGAGTCACTGCCAAGGGCTATCATTTACTTTAATATCTAAGTCTTGAAGTCTTCAGTTGACATTGATTCTCCATCTCTAAGACAATAGATGTATAGCATGTTATTTATCTGGTTGAGTTTAAATACACTATAGAGTTTTAAGAAGGCACGACAAAAGGTGCTAGTTTATATGTATTGTATCTAGAACTACTGCAGACTGGAATAATATCATTTTTTTGGAACTTATTTCATCACGTCCCTGCACCAGGAATATTCACTGCCACTCCAAACTGCTTGGAAATGTTTGACAATTGTTCTTCATATTGCACATTTTTCTGGACGGCTTCTCTGTAGTTATACTTCAGGTCTTCTATTTCTTCAAAGAATTCTGGTCCAAAGTTAGCAAGCTCTTTCTTCAACTGAATAGAAATTGAAATGAACCAAGAATGGGTCAATCATTTACTTCACTAGTTCTCATAGTGAATACATTAAGTACTTTATCATTTTTCTTAAAAGATTCAGATACCTCTGTCTATATCATAAAAAAACAATTCCAGAAATTCTTGTCATTTATTTCATTATTTTGATACAGATTGTTTTTCAAGTTTTATTACCCCCTGTCTTTCAAATTACAAGCACAGCATACACCCATACCTACCTTGTCTACCTCCATAGCAAGTTTGTCTCTGTCTAACATAACTGACTTGAGATCCGTTCTGATTTCAACATTTTCCCTCATCACCTTCTCATAAGCTCGCACTTTATAGATCATGTCTTCAGTGGCCTTGATGAAATAATAAATGATCATTTCAAAAACCTACTTGCCTTGATGAAGACTTCTTTTTATTTTAATTCATCATTCAGCCAAGCAATTTTAAGAACCCCTTAATGTCCAAGTATATAATCTGCTTGGATTTTAAAAACTAGAATCCCTCTGAAATTTTAACTTAGCAGTCAAAATGTGTGCTAGACTACACACTATTATTAGGATTATTAAACATATTATAAGATAAATGTCACACTATTGTTAGGACTGCGCCACTTGTATTACAAAATGAATGTCGCTCATGGAATATTTGTGGTGAAAAAAAAAATCCCTCTCACCTTCTCTGCAGCTCCACTGGCCACTTTCCCAGCTCCTGGCTGTTGACCAAACAACCTCAGTTCATGAAGCAGCTCAGCCTTCTCCTTCTCCAGGCGATCAATGGTTAACCTGACAGAACAGTTAAGTATGTGCCTCAAATTAAATCCTCATTCAGCTGGATTTATAATGTTTCTCTTACTTGTTAGGAATAAAGAGGTAGTTTGTTGTTTAGAAGATAAAAGTAGATTTTATTTATTTAGCATTACATTTCTGCCTGAGGAGCATGAAAGCCCTGATGCTTGCAAACAAACTTTGACCAAAAGTTGGACTTGGAAAAAAGGATGAGATTTTTCAGACTACGGGTGGATTTCTGACTTTTTGGGAGTCAAAAATATCATTGGCCTAGGTGGCCCCCTTGACCTTAAGCCATACTTTGTCTTTTTTCACTAAATGGCAGTCTCATCCCTGACATAACCTACCAAAACTCAAAACTGCACTTTTCCAATTACATTGAGTATAACATATCTTGTAAAACAAGACAATAATTCTGTTTTGTGTCCCCTTTTCAACTGCTGATTTAACTTTATTAAAAGAATACCAATATTTAAAGGTGGTTAATGGTGATAATGTACTACTGATAATCTACACACCTTGCTTGCTGGTATGCTCTCATAGTGTCTGGATTGGTAGAACTATCCTCCATAGGAAACGTTTCCAATACTTCAATCTGGAAGTAAACAGGATTTCAATTTCTAACTCATTCCATGTTTTCAAACAAGGCCCCATAACTCGAAAGCATCGCACATTGTGACCGTCTTGATTCCATAACTCGCCCATACTCGCCCCATATAATACACTGTAGCCTCTATGTGATATCGCTATTTGCAATATGCAATGCTTTCGAGTTACGGGGCCCAGGTCCTTCGTAGACGTTAGATTAGCTTTCAGTTAAAAATTCTCATTACAGTCTGATGGAGTAGTTACAACAAAACTCCTTAGATTAATGCTCAGAATTACGGGCAACCATCTAGTCATGACTTCATACATTATTTAAACAGTAAGAAACAGGGACATGATTGAGTAAGAATAAAATCCTCTAAACAGTCATTTTCACAAATGTCCTACTTTTTCTTCCATGTCTTCTTTCTCTTTCAACCAACCCTGTTCTCTCTCTGCAGCATCTTTCAGCAACTGCTTCAAGTCATTCAACTGCTGGTTCTATAATATAATATATAATAATATAATATAATATTATTTTAACAGCTAATCATTAATACTACATCTCCATGATGCCATGTATAATAGCAAGCACTTGTTAATGACTAATAGCTTGTCTTTCTCTCTATCTGTCCCTCCAAGCCTTAGAGTTTATCTTCACACATTAATAAGCCTACCTTTCTCTCCATCTCTCCCTCCAGACCCTTGAGTTTATCTTCATACATTCTGGTGACCACTACAGACTTCCAGCCCTTACTATCCAGACTGCTTAGACTGGGGTGTTTGGCCTGCTCTATCTTTAACTTTTCCTTTGTCTCTTCAAGCTCCTTCTCTAAATGCTTGTTCTCCGTTTCAAGCTGATTATTCTGTATTCTGAGTTTTTCATTCAAGTCAGTTTCCTAGAATTTTTGAAATAATAGTATATAATAAGTGTAATCATCAGGTGTGTTTCCTAAGAAGATAGCCACCTTTATTATTTTGTCTACTCTTTAAACTTCTTTTCAAACAAATGGTTCAAACTGCTTTTACTTCAAACTCTATATGGAACCCACACCAAAATAAAATAATTTAAAATACAAATGAGAGAATCTTGAATAATAATCAAGCATTTTCCCCTTACTTTCTTTAAATCTTTTCTCAGTCTTTCGTAATCTGTCATTATCTTAGCAGTTCCCTTTTGAGCACTGGAGTAGCGCTCAGTCAGAGTGGCCCCCATTTTCTGACGGAGTTCCTCCAGTTGATCCTGAAATACAGATAAAAACATCTTATGTATAGACTCAATTATCACCGATTTTTCTGCTTACTTTATACTAGTGCCATCAAACCAATTGGTCTTAGCTTTATAAGATGTTTTTGGTAACATCTGTCAACTATGGTTAACAATGTTTTTCTTTGACAATACATACTGTTTCTTAGGACAGGAAAGCAAACCATGCAATAGTCTACCTTTAACCCTTCATTTTCCCTGGCTAACATCTGAAGTTCTTCATTAGACACAATCCCTGGTGCCTTTTTCAAGGTTTCATTCTCTGCCTGGACACGTTCTACAACCTTCTTCAGCAAAGCTATAGTCTTCTCCAGCTCTCTTGTGCTCTTACCACTCTCCCCAATCTGGAAAATATTGCAGGGTAAATTTCACTTTCTTTTCATATTTCTCTTAAGATTACTCTTAAAATTTCTCACATCTTTATTGTGTCTCATCCACTGTCATCATCCACCATAAACATACAACATCAACAAACAATGTTTGAACTTTTAGATAGAAAATGTAAGAAATATGTTAACCTTCTTAATATTTCCTCCAGAGGACCTGGCACTGGTATTCAGGTTCTCAGACTTCAGCACCTCCACATAACGCTGCAGGTCTTCTATTCTTTCCTAAACAAAATGGAAGACACATTATTTCATAATTTTCACGCAAAATATCAAAATATCTATACAATGGACTTTACCAAAAGACCTATAGCCTGTTCCTTAAACTATCCCAATAAGTCCATCATTTCAGTCAAACATGGGTCCAACTTGGTTGATCAGCAAACTTTACTAAGTCATGTTTTGAAATATTCAAATGCAACAAAGGGAAACGGCACCTTTTTACTACAGTATACAACAATAATACAATAATTTTTTCTTTTTTACATGTGCCATGTACCTTTAGTCTTGGAATGTCTTTTGCAGCTTGCTCTGCTTCAAATCTGAGTTCAATGTTTTCTTCTGAGAGTCTGATTACTTGCTTTTGCAGGCTTTGCTCTTTGTCATACAGCTGTTGATAGGCTTGGCTCTCAGGACCTGGAGCCTTGAAAAGTAAAATGGATGCTTTAAATTCACTGCTGTAATTAAACTCACTACACTCTCACAATAAGGGTACTCATTAAGACATACTTAAAAGACATACTGGATCATTATTAACAGTGAAAACTTGAATAAACTATTGTACACAATGAACTTATATAAACGGTACTTGGAGAGTTATATCCAGATGACCAGTCTGTGCTAAAAACGTTTTGCCCCTTGGGCACTTCAGGGCACCAAAGCAGAATTAAACAGTGGTCATTAATAACAAATGTTAATGCCATGGAATGACCATCGTATCTCACCTGCCCTGTGAGTGTCCTTCTGGCCAGCTGTCTCTCCAGCTCCTCCAATTTCTCTGTTAAAAACTTATTTCTTAGCTGGACCTCTTCAAATGCTGCATCACGACCCTGGGTGATTTGCCTCTTGAGGTCTGCAACCTGACAATTTAAACCAAATAATATATATTTTAACAGCTTAAAATTTTTCAAGGCTAAGACTTCACCTCATGCTGCTAGAGAACTTTTGCCATACTTAATAAGTATCACTGAAATCATAAAATTCAGATAATTAAGTAGATGTTCTTCACATATATATTTTCATACATAATGACTTCTATGGTTCAAAATTGTTTACACTGATCATAATTAGTCACATATTATTAAATACTCATAAGTACAAAAAAAAATGACAACAAAAGGTGAAGTTGTAAGATTATAAATTAATTTTCTGACCTATGCATTTTTAATGATGCTAAGTGTATCTTACAGAATCCACACGGAGAACAACCTACCTCAGCTTCACTTTAAATATTGAATAAAACAATGATTTATACAGTAAAGGTATACCTGTTCTTCCAATTCATAGTTTTTCCTTCTCAGCTCCTCCAAGTTGTGTGTGCTGCGTCCTGTAGGCACCACAGTGGACTTCCCGGTTGCCTTCAACCTACTTTCTAGACTTTCCTTGTCTCTGTTAGCTCTAAAAAGCATTCATAAATCCCATTTAAAAGAAATCAATAGAAAAGATCACACAGAAGTATTCAATCTAATATATTACAATTAGATACTTATGATAACAATATTAAAAGCAGACATACCTTGAAAATTAGTTCATAACAACAAAAAATAGAAAAAAAATAATTAAATTAGTAGTCAATTCAGTCAATTATTGGTAAATAAAAGCACTGCTTCTTTTGAAAAAATGTTGCAGATCAAAGATCATCTCAGATATTATTTTGGAAACTTTCACACAGCATTACTAATTTTACCAAAGTGTTACATGTATATATCCCTATCTATATTCTACATGTACTGCACCTGTCCAATGCGTTTTTGGTGAGGTCAGCATGTCTCTGCATTCTGTCCACCTCCTCCTCTTTCTCCTTCAGCCTGGCCTTCAGCCGGTCCACTGTCTTCTGCCATTTCTTACTCTCCTCCCAACGGGCTACTGTATCATCACTCTGAATTATACACAAATATTTCAGAAGCTCAATTGTATGAAAGGGCCTTAACAAATTGATATTGTTATACAATGATATTCACCTACTAGTTTACTTTTAACATTAAGTAGCCTAACTATAATTTTTTGGATCTATTACAATATAATCAATACCTTCATAACCCGAGGCTCCAGCTCAGCTTTGACTTCATATGGTTTCTCTGCCTGCTGTTTTCTCTTCAACTCATCCTCCAAAAGGCGAATCTTTCTGCGTAACTCCTCCAGTTCAAGTTGTCTCCCATCTGGTTCAACAGTCTTCTACAATGAAGTTGAATGAACCAACAAGTTGCTTTAGTTTTTGGACTGCTTGCATTTACTAGAGCGAGTGCCAGTGCTCAAGATTGACATAATGTACTTAAAAGAAGAAGAAGAATAGTCTTAAATGAAAGAGAGATTTACTAAGAGAACAGTTGTCCCTTTTTTGATAAAAATATTAATAGCATGCCTCTTCTGAGACTTCCTTCTTACCTGTGATTTTGAAGCACTGAGCCTCTCTGCTCGCTTTTCTAATTCCTCTACATCATGCTCTAATTTCAATTTGGTTTCTTTTAACTTTGTAACCTGAGATTCCCTTTTTGCTGCAAAAGAATACAAATGCATTGAAATTCTAATGAAAGTAATGGCTACCTGTTTAAGCAAAACTGCATATGTATTATCACAAAAATGTGACTACTAACATTTAAAGTTGCTTATACAGCAGTCTTCAATTAATAAACCTACATACACTTTTTAGTAAGTACAACTACTTCACCTCCACTTCACAGACTCGACACATTGTACACCTCCTTTTTAACTGGAATACACTGTGTATTAGCACTGGGGAATTCCAATAAGTTATTGATTACTAACCCAAACAAAGCCAGACACAAAGGTCAGAACTATTGATCCCAAATGTCAATCAATATGTGACATAAAAACCAACAGATGCATAGCAGTGAAGACTGCAGTGATTACTATCACAATAAAAAATAACATATCACTCCTTCTGCAAAGATATCCAAAAAGTTGGGAGAACTTATACAAAAAAGAGCCAGGTAATTTAGTACTTACTCAGATCTTCTTTTAGTTCTTCTATTTCAGTATTTAGTGCAGTTTCTTTTTCTCTCCGTTTTTTCAACTCCCTTTTTGCTCTCTGAAGTTGAGATTCTAAATCCTCAATTTGGTCCTGGAAAAAAATAATAATTTAGGGCCCACAAAATTGTTGTGTCTTCATTTCTAATTGTTTAAGTTTGATGTAAGTACAACCAGAGATGTGATTTGTTCAGAATAAAATTAAAACTAAAAGAAATTATCCAAATTACACTCCTGGGTACCTTGAGTTCTTTGGTATTTTTCTCCACCACCCTCTGGACATTGATTTCCACAGCAGCTTCTTCAGCATGACTCTTCACTTGTTCCTGGGCCTGGCTTACCATATCTGCACGGAGCTCAGTCAGGGCTTTACTCAATGCCTGGATACAGAACATGACATGCTTTAACACAGAATTCATTTGTGTACTAGTTTACTGAGAAACCATTTACTGTAGATCTAGTAAAGTTTCTCTTTTTATCTTTTGAAAGAAGAAAACACTGTGCTGCATCTAACATACTAAGTTGAAGTCATCTTCTGCTTTTTTGTTTTTTAGTCATATTTTATAACTTTCTTATATTGCTCTAACTCTAATACAAGATGGAAATTGTTGCAAATATGATTTGTGCAAAAAAAAAAGCATTCTGATTTTACAATGTTAACAATGACTGACTGACTTTATTTCATGTGCTAATTATATAATTGTTTACTATTGCATAAAGTGAAGTAAACAATCACAGATTAAACAAACCAAACAAACAACATTCTAATGACATTGCAATAAATAATATAATGTAAGTAAATCATTTGCAAATGAAGATTACCTGTTGCTGTTTCTCTTTAGCTGCCAGCTGATTTTTCAGCCTCTCCACCAGGTTCTTCATGGCTGTGGTTGGTGCCCTGGCATTGGCATCTTTCTGGGTAATCAGCTCCTGCTGCAGCACCTCCATCTCCTTCTCCTGCTCTGCCACTCTCTCCACATACCTCTCTAACTGCTCCTTCAACTGGGCCACCATGGACTGGTGCTCATCCAACATCCTGTTGTAGATATATTTAAGTCCTTATTACAGTTCCTAGCATCATGACATGTACATTCAAAACCTTTTTTTTTAATCAATTACAGTTTCTTGATAACTTATCTGTTTGTTTAATTGGTTGGGTGATTGCCTAGTTTCCCAAAATCAAACAAAGAACAAGCATTTTGGCTCACACAATATCAATATTAATCTTGTTCTTTTTAACACTAATAAATCATCAGTAGTAAAAATACAGGTACTAGCTGGTGCTTATTCTGAATTAAGTTTAACTTCTTGTATCATCTATGCTACAGCAACAAAATTGTGATAAAAATAATGACCCACCTTTCCTTCTCTTGGGTCATAGTTTTCACACTGTCCTCAAGTTTCAGTTTCCATCTTTCTATCTGTTCTCTTGCTGCCTTCAGTTTCTCTGTCATGGCTGCCATTGCATTGTCTTGCTCAGCCACTGTGTCTTCCAGCTCATTCAAACGAGCCAGCTGTTGGAAATATGTTTTTGTTCATTATTTTTCTAATTTAATAAAATTTGTTCTTGTTTAATACAAAAACAATAACATATCATTTTAGTAAAGGAAACATTCTTACTTATTTGTTCTTTTGTTTCATATGGATTAAATCACACATAATTCTATGTTTAGACCGAGATATAATTTCATTTCTATATCCATATCTTAACATCAAACCAGGAGTCAAAATATGATATTACACCACAAACAATTTCATTCATTCTTTGTACCTGTTTACTGGTTGGAAGTGTATCCTGGGGTTTGTTAATCAACTGCATAGCTGTCTGTTTAAACTTGCTGAAAGCATCATCATTCTTGGAGTGCAGCTTATCCTGCAACAGTTTCATCTCCTGCTCATGTTTCTTCCCCATATCCTGCATGTCCTCTCGAACCTGTCTCAACAAGTCTTGGTACTTTTGTATTGTCTCATCTTTCTGGGCTATCCTTGCCTATCAACAAATGGAGAACAAAATTTATATCTTTATGATAGGTCACTGAGCTACTCACAGTGCTGTTTAGGTTTTTTAAAAAGTGCTACAACAAACAACGGGCTGTGATGGTACAGTTTTTATCAAACACAAAACAAAGAAACTTTGCTTTAAAACTACAGGAAGAATGTACTTCATGCACATTTACATGTTGAAAGCATTAAACGTAAAACTATCACTCTTAATTTGAATGTATTGATAAGATTTTACAAAAATATCAACAGGATTATGCTAATTTTGAAATAACAATCATCATCATACCTGTAGACTGCCTATGGTAGACTGAGCTACTTTGAGAGCTTGTTTTGTTTCATAGTCCTCTGCTAGTGCTGCCTCTGTGGCTTTGGCTGTAGCATGAAGGATCATCTCATCCCTACCAGCTGTGGCAGGCAGGCGGACCCTCAGCTCAGCTATCACCTTATCTCTGCTGATCACATTGGATTCTGCTTCTCTCAATGCATGTTCAAGCTCAAGTACTTTCTGCAATGGTTATATATTTGATTAAGCACTAGCAATCTTGGATACCAGTAAAATTGTATAGTTGAAACACTGCATAACACAAACATTTCATTTTAAATGAGTAAATATTAATTAAACCTACCTGCTTGAGCTGTTTGTGTTGCACCTGTGTTTCCAGAATAGTTTTCACATTCTGTTTAATGGTTGTGATGGCTTGTTCCAACTGGTTAGCTACTGGGAGAGAAGGATCTGGAAGGGCACCTGTTGCTTCTTCAAACTGTAACATAATGAATTTAAGAATATTCAAAAAAAAAAAAAAATTCATTACCATAAGAACATGTTAATATATATAACAAACCTCAAAGGCATGGGCAATAAATTTGGAAAATAATCTTGTATGTGTAATATTTTATAAATAATGATTGTAACAGACAGGGGTGAGGATGATAAAATTCACCGACCTTGGATGCTGCCCCTGCAATCTCTGCTTGCTGTTTCTCCATGCTGGCAATAATGCGCTCAAGTTCTACCTCACGTTGTTCCCATAAAAGTTGCCTGTCATCATAATACTGTGGAAAAATATAGAATTTCACATTAACTTATAATTACATGCCATCAGTGCAATTAATTAATTGCATTTCAAATTTCAGTACAAAAAGAGATTTCAGTCTTTATTTCACAACTTTTATTTTTGTGAAATGTCATCACTACATGCAAATTGCAAATGTCACCTTAGATGTCTTTACATTCTCCTCCTCAAGCTCTGCTATTGTCTTCTCTTGGTTTTTGTTGAGATTCTCAAAATATCTTGCCTGAAAATATAATAAATACCCTTCTCAGAAATGGCAATTTTTTTTAAGCAGAAATATATTATAGAACTGAATTTCATGTCATTTTACCACTAATATAACCTTTAATACTAATATATCATATTTCAATTGCTTTTTTGGAAAAGAGAATAACACATCTCTTTATGTTCTAGATCTGCAAGATTTTTTATGACTGGCTGAAAAATATAACCTCTTTTTCATTCCCACTTACTTGTTCCTGCATTTTAGTGATCATTCTCTTCTGTTTTAGATCCTCTAATCTCAGTGACTCCATCTTGCTGTGCCACTCCACCACTTTCTGTGCACCTTTCCCATCCTTAATAGAAGCCATGAGTTCCTGGAGGCCTTTGTGTTGTAGTTCTAATTCTGCCAGCTTGTCTTCAACATCCTGCCTCTGCTCATTTACCTAAAGAATACAAAGGTGCAATAATTATTAAACATATTTTTTTTACTTCCTAATGTGACATGAGTATAGTATTTTGGCTGTAATTTGGTAATGGTTTGTTTTACAAACTAAAGAGTGCAGACCTCTGCAAAAGCAAAATGTAAATAATAAATTAGGAGACCATAAATCAGGAGACCAGAGTTCAATTGAAATTGCTTTTCTCCCTGGATAACTGTCTAGTGGGATAATTTTTATTGTCTATTCTGTAAATTTTATTTTAATTTGTGACGAACCTTTGGCATATTTTGTCTGCAAAGCAACGATGAAAACTGCAGAGATAACAAGCATATTGCTAGTAATTCAATTCAACTACTTAACTTAGATGAATTACTTTCACTTTTAAATAGAAATAAAATATGATCATACCTGTTACCAAAAAGGTATATTTCACTACCTTTTTACTCAACTATAGCACTCACCTCTCTAAGTCTGCATTCTATCTCAGATTTATCTTCATGTAACTGCACCATAGCTTTAGCAAACTTTTCTTGACGGGATAGAGGAACAGCTCCACTGAACTGTCGCCTCAATTCCTAAAAATATAGAACCAAAAGCATATATATAATTTCAACCTCTGCACCTTAATAAGCTCTGTAGGACTGATGAACAGGTAGGTTCAATTGTCTAGTTGGGCATATGATCAATCATTCCAACTAAATAATGTATGAATAAAGTAACAAACAAAAGTGTGAGAAATTCTTGAGACAAAATACCTGTATTGTCCTCTTGAGATGCTTGGATTTATTATTGGCCTCCTGTCGGCTATGGTACAGGGTCTGATCCCTCTCGTCCAGTCTCTGCTGCAATCTTAACAACTGAGCATCCAACTTTTTTATCTTCTTCTCTGCCTGTAGGAGCTTCCTAACTGCTGTGCCTTCACTGACTTGCAACTGAACTATATGTCTGTGAAGTTTTCCTAGATGATGGAATGGTTACACAGATATGAACTATGAATTTCAGTAAATTTACTGTTTATTTTACTAATTAAAAGTAACATCCTACTTTGGTTTAATTAAGATTAAATTTAAGACTAAACTTAAGTTTTCATTTCCATTTTTTCTTTAATTCTATGGTTGAAAACAAAATACCTATAATAGTTTTCTCATCACTCTGAGCTTGTATATCTGCCAGCTGCTGCCTTAAGGAGAGGAGTTCTTTTTCCCTGGATACCTGTTGTGCCTCATATGCCTGTGCCTGCATTGTGCCTACCTCAGCTATTTCCTACAGGAGATAATTGAGACAAATCAAGAAATATAAACATATATATCAAAGGCAGATGGATGCTGTCTTCTGGGTCTTCTGGAAAATGGTCAGAATTTTTGAAGTTTACATTGATGTGTATCTAATTTTTTCTGTCAGAAGACAGTTAAAATAGATGGATAAATACATAGATAATTTAGAAGACTAAAAAAATATCTCTGGATCCACCTCTTTACATATAGACACACACACATGCACAAACAACTAATAAAGGTAATTATATTAATTTCAACCCATATTAGTCTCAATGATGCACAGTATAGTTATCACCTGTATTCTTGAGACTCTAATAAAGAGAAACTGCCTTCAGACAGACAGAAAGACAGACATATATAATGAACACATAATATGATCATTTTTTAGCTGAAGAGAATGTCACACTGTGATGGGTGTGTTACTTAGCATTTTTACCTTTAGTCTTGATACCTCATTTTTCAAGAAAGCTTCAGACTGAGACAGTTCTGCAACCTTTTTTCTGTCAGCCTCACTCACAGCTCTTGTCACACAGTCTAAACATTATAAAAGGAAAAAATTCGGTTGAAAGACAAACAAGCCAGTTTTTACACTGTGAATAGATTTTGCTTTAGGACAGGTCAGTTACAGTTGTAAAATTGCCAGAGAAGAAACTTCATAAAAGTGACAAAAAAGTAAATGTACTTACTGGCCAATTCATCTCTCAGTTCTCTTTCCACTCTTTGTGCCTCAATATTCATTTTGGTCAGCTGAAAAAGACAATACTCCTAATCGAAGCCAGATGCAAAGGACAAAATCTGACAGTATGCAAAATTAACAGAGCAGTCACATTTTAAAGTAAAGTTAATTGTCTCTTGAAAATAGTGTAGTGGTTGTAAAAAAAGTAAAACATGCTATTCTCACCCATGATAAATATTATTCAATTTAGGTAAATTGTATACCTCAGCAAATTTTTGCTCCAAATCTGCATTTCTTTCTTCCATCCCCCTGAGAGCTCCCTTCTGCTGCTCGTACATCCTGACAGCATGCTCAGCCCTCTGACGCTCATTTAGCTCCTTCATCTCCAGGGTGGTGATTTTCTTAGACAGGGAAACAATTCCAGCATCACTTATGGCTCCAGTACCAGGGATACCTAGAAACACAAAAAGTACTAAATATCTATCCCACACTGAACATTTCACTAGAGAGCATGACATTTGTAAATTAGCAAACAAGTCTTATCTGATGGCCCAAAAGAGAAAAGCGTTTTATTTATTTCATATATCTTTTAAAAATATATATAACTGAAAATTTCACCTTGTTTTCTCATTTCATCCATAGCTCCCTCCAAAGTATGCAACTTTTCTTTTTCAATTTCCATTTCCTTTTTCAGCCCATCATTTTCATGTTGTAATCTTTTGATTTCCAACTGCAAATTAATAATTCATTTTTAGTTCAAACATCCAACTGGCATCAGAATTTTAAATTTATATGTGGACAAAAATTTATGTTATCGAGTAGTTGTTTTTATTCAATCACTTCTTTAGTTTCAGAAGACTATTTCTATCATTGTGACTGTAGTACAAGAGTTTGCCCATAACTCAAATTATCATTTATCTTGAGCAAGTTTCCCTTTGATATCATGAACATTACTTCAATCTTTGCATAACTCACAAATTTCTGGTCCATAAGTGTTCAAGTTATGCAGAGACTGAACCCACCTCTAGCCCTGCTGTTGACTCTGACTGGGCCACAAGTGTATTTCCCTTCTCCAGTAAGTCTCTGTATTTTTCTGTGAGGTCATTGTACTGTTTATTGGCCAACTCCAGCTCTGACATTGGCACAGAGTCCTCAAGAGCTTTTTGAAGAGAAGCAATCTTAAAGGCAGCCATGTCCTGAAATAGGTAAGGTCATTTAACATTAATAATAAATTGTAATGCAGTCTTCCTTCCTTTTATGTGAATTTTAGTGCGCTTACAATGCCACACGCCAATCAGAAATAAGAAAAGATAAAAACTAAGAAAAGAAAATTACCACCTGTGCTTTTTCATCATGACCAACTGTACTATACCTTATATCTCTGTAGATACCCAAGTCTTTCCGTTACAGCAGTTTCCATAGCAACCATCTCATTCTTCAATTTGTTGCCTTCCTACAAAAACAGGTGGACTTGGATAAAAACTGCATCAAATAGTTTGACAATCAAATACAGTATACTAATTAAACAAAACGGTATATTCAAGCCGTGTTAGAGGTCTGTATTTCCATTTATCATTTAATATTTAATATAAAGATCATTCCTACACTTACCTTTCTAAGATATCCTTCAACTTCCTGCATGCTGTTATACCTCCTGGTCAATGCTTTCTCATTCACCCGTAGTACTGTGATCTTTCTGGTCATATCTGCCAGACGCCGGCGCACTTCAATATCATCTTTAGACAAGGTGTCTAATAAACGCTATTGTGAAGAAAAAATAAATCAACAATAATAATAATTAACATAATGATAAAATTCACATTTGGCATACAAAAAGTGAAAAATATCTTCATATCTTCAATGAGCAAAAACCTAAATTTAAAGCATTAACAAACTTCTGTAAATATAAAACTTATTTTAAATGAGAATTCAATAATACTGCAGCTACACTAACATCTGGTGCATCTTTCAAAAATTTGTTTGTAAACCCTTAACTGCACACCAAAAGACAAATATGCATATCTTCCTGCACATACTCACATCAAATTCCTGTAAGCGAACTTTATCTTCACTGTGAATTCCTTCTGAATTCTTTAAATCATTCTCCAATTTTTGTTTATCTTCTTCCCAGGTCTGAAAAAATAATGAAAAAATGATCATGACATTTTTGTGAGATTCTTCAGTATCATAATTATTATCTGCATAGTTTTTTCTTTCATAAAGACAAGTAAAAGAAGTGGAATTTTAGACATATAATGACAGTGTTCTTCTTACCTTCTTTTCCTGTATGTATTCTTGGTAGACTAGACCTTGCTGATGACGCATCACTGCAAATTTTCTCTTAAAAGTCTCCAATGAGGCTTCCATTTTATTGATCATTTCTTCTTTTAGTGAGAGTTCCTGGAATAAACAAGAAGGCAAGAAAAATTAAAACAAAACCACATTATTTAATGATTCCAGACAGGATTAGCACACAGACAAAATCAATACTATAGATGACGCCATATCACCTCTTAAGAAGAGTTGGTATTTGTTCTTGATATTTCATATATCTGAAATATCTCTTATACATCATACTTCAGTTATCAAAAGACATAAAATAAAGTACAGCAGACTCCACATAATTCGGACACTGTAGGACAGATAAAGTCTGTTCAAGTTACCAGAATATCAAACTTTCACCTTGAACCAAAGGAAAAAAATCCCTTCCACAAAATTTGTTGATGATCAACCATACTTCAAGTCACAAGATGATGAGCTATGTGGTGTCTACTGCATCTGTAAATCTGTCAATCTACTAAGTTGGGCTGGCTGAGCTGATGTTTTACCTGTATTGTCTGTACCAGGTGTTCATTAAGACTGGCTATGACATCAGCACTGGTGGGGGCCATGCCTTCAGGTAGTGCCAGGGTCTGCAGCATTCCAGCACCTGCACCTGCCTCTTGGAGGACTTTGATATCATTTTGGAGCTTGGTTACCTAATCATACAATTAAAACAATAATAATATAGTACTTTAAAGTCTACAGTCGGCGTGCACTGTAGACTTAAGCACTTTCCAAGTGACCAATACTAATGCTATGGTGAGTGCTTTCATAGACAGGATCCATTTTTTTTATTTATTTATAAAGTAGGACTGTCCCTCCTTGTCTATCTTCGTTAGTTGCCAAAAAATATGTGCTGCATCCATCCTTGTATTGTGATGACTATGAAGATGATTGTAACCTCTGATACAAGTTTTATAATGATACTTCTGAGGGCTACATGTGTAAGCCCATAGGCTTAATTTAACAAATAGATTCTAACTCACAAACCGCTAACTCTTAATGGTATTCTTATAATTACCCTTTCAAGGGTCTTTTCAGCTTCAGATCTAGCCTTGTTTGCTTCAAACCGGGCTTCCCTCAGCTCTCTCCTGAGTTCATCATTCCTCCCTTGTAGATTGTCCACCTGTGCTTTAAGATGTAAGGACGTATCATACTGACCCTTCATCTGCTTAGCTTCCAAGGCCTGGAATGAAAAAAAAAAAGATAGTATACTACTAGCACTAATATTCCAGAGATAATGTTTAAGAACTGATCCATGAAAGACATGTTATTAGCAATACATGTAAAACTTAAAAGATGTCACTTATAGCGAGATTATCCATAGAAGATCCTTGCATGATGCATTGTTTCAAATGGCAAATCTGCAACTACAACTCTGAGAAGACAAACTATACAATCTAGTTGTGTAAAAGCATCCCACTTACAGCAAGCATCCTATCCAGGGTTGGACATTCTATCACAGTGGGTTGTTCACCTCTTGATTCTGAAAATAACAGTTCTCATTGAAAGTACACATTTATAAGTCAAGTATACATTTTCAAACCTTATCAGATAAATTGTATCAACAGCCTGTGCTGAAAAACTTTTTAGCCTGCTGGACCTTCAGGCCACAATTGTCTAAGAAACTTTATGTACTCGCCCAAAACAGAAAAAGTGACCAGTCTCTGAACAAATTTCATTTTTACATTTATTTGAGATGGGGCCAGTTTTTTACAGTGCAAGCTGTTGACAATTGATAAACGAAGCCCACCTACCTTTATCTTCATTTTGCTCCTTCAGTGCTTGTAATATTTCTTTCATGCCTTGCTCCAGTTTTTTATTTTCATCTTCTGCTGCATTTAATTTTGTTCTATATTCTACAAGTTGCTGCCGAGCCTTTTCCAAAGCTTTGACATTGCTCTCAGTTTCCTGGGCTAGCTGGACATTCTGGAATATAATGATAACATTGTATATTATGCTTTGTATCTTCAAGGAAAAACATATTTGGCTACATCTGTTTTCGAGAATTCATTGACCTATAAGGCAAATAAATCCATCAATATAATCATTAAACTCTTTCTTCTTTGAAAAACATTACTGTAACATATTAAACAAAGATGACTAATAAGTTAACTATCCAGTAATGATATATCAACTTTAATTCATTCCATACCCTAATTTTGAGTTCATCTGTCTCAGCCTCTTGTTTTATGTATGCTGCAGTGCCTCCTGTTTTGTGCCTCTGCTTCAATTCCTCAGTATAGTTCTCAATGGCCATCATGTCATCAGCATCCAAACCCAGAGCCACTGCCCTTTGCCCTGTCTGCTGTGCCAACTTTCGCACTTGCTTTTTCAATTCAATCCTTTCTTCCTCCAAACTTTCCACCTAAAAATAACATTTTATGTTATCACACAGCAGTTATTGTACATTTATGATAATAATGGATTCAAAGCTCTTAATCTTACAATTTTCTCTGCCATTTTTTATCTATAAAAATCACGAAATGAAAGTCACTATTCATTGGTTTTACATAATATATAATATCCAATTGGGGAGTACTTTTGGAGTAATTCTGAAAAATTCTAGCTAGCAGTACGAACCTCTTTTTGAAGAACAACATTCATTGCTCTGTCTTCTTGCTGCCTCAATTTTCTGGCCTCTCTGAATTCTGACAAATCAATGTCTTTTGCTTCCAGTCCTGCCTTCCTACGCACGGCTTCATTTTCATCACACACATCATTTATCTTTAGCTCACACTTGTTGATGTGCTGTGTCAGCTCCATAATTTGCCTGAAAAAATGGCATTCCTCAATTTATTCTCTGGAATCACAAGTAACTAAAGCCACCATTCAAAATCAGTGCTACTTGTCAATGCCCTCAAATAATAATAATCTGACTAATTGATAACAGAACAATTAACTATGCTGTGACAGATTTATGATAAACAGATACATATAAGCAAAATGCATGAGATTGTTTTATCTGACCATTTTGTTCTCAGATTTATCCTGTGTAGTGTCAATTCCAGGTATTCTCAGCTTACCTGTCCTTCACATTCAGCTGGTGCTTCAAATCTTTGATGTCATCCACTGCTTCTTTCAAACCATATGTGCCCTTAAATTAGTGAAAAATAAAACATTAAAAAACATTTTAAAGTTTCAATTGGACAGGTATCTTTTTCAAATTTCGCAATTTTACAAAATCCACAAAAATGAGTAACACAAATTGGACATAACTGAACAAAATTTATATAAAATCATTTCAATAATACTCAAACCTCTTCATATTGTTTCATCTTTTCAAGGGCCTCATTGAGTTGCTGATCTTTTTCTCTGGCATCCTTCTCAGCCTGAAAGCATGAGAAATTATGAGATGATGAACAGAACAAGATTTCATGTTAAAAAGACTGCCTGTAAGCAATATCTATCTCCTTTATCTCATTCATGGCACATGTACCTGCTCAGCTCTGATCTCGGCATCTTTGTTATGATCTTCTCGAATTCTAAGTGTTGTCTGGAGCTCTTTTATCTTCGCCATTTGTCTGTCTGAGGGCCCACCACCAGCTGACAAAAAAGGCAGTTCAAATAGCGTTACAGTAAGCTTTTGTCAAAAGACAATTTCCGATCTTTGTCAGGTTGTCAGGAAGAAGTTTTTACTTCATGAATTCTAACTGTGCTAAATACCAAGTATGAACTTGAAAAGTATCAACTTAATTTCATAAGTGTAGTAAATGGGAAAAAAGGATCCAAAATGCTTATTAAAATAATCACACACAATTTCTTACTTTTCTTTAACTCTCCTTTCAAATCTTCGGTGACAGCTGTATTTGTCTCTATATCAGCCACTGCCTGGTCAAGTTTCTGCTGAAGCAATTCAATTTGCCTGTCTCTCTGCTCAACAGCCTAAAAACAATGTCATAGTAAGAACTAATTTTTTTTCTCGCACGCTAAAACACTCTCATAAATAATTAAAATAAATAATAAAATTAATTAATCTACCAAATTCTTTACTTTAAATTTAAGTCTACACGAATAATGTACCTTGCTCAGGACTGAGACAGAAGCTTTCTCAGTGTCCATCTTTGCTGCCTGCAGCTGTTCTCTCAGCCTGGCTAGCTCCTCCTGATACTCTGCTATCTCCTCATCCTTATCTGCCATCACACTCTGAAATACACCATAATCATCATCACATTTTTATTTCATCTACAATGTATTGTATTTTACAAAAAATATCAGATCTTGTAATGTCATAGAAATTTTTTGTAATAAATATACAATAAATATTGTGACATGTATATTGTTAGGGACAGAATTTTGAAGAATGATTTTTTTATCTAAACAAATAGTTACCTTCCATTCTTGTACTTTATTGTTGACAGCCACCATGATTTCATCATCAGCATCTGTCTTGGACTGCACTTGTTCTGTCAGATCTACAACCTGGTAAAGACATGGTATAAAAATTGTTTGGAAACCAATGTTTTTCACTAAATTTAATTCGTTATTTTGCATAAAGCAGAATGACATTAATACATTAACATTAACATTGTAAAATGGATAAACTAAAATTGATCTTTAAAAATAATTAATTCCAAGGCATTTATGTCTTTAGCCAGGATGAAAACAATGTCTTTATACCTGTGCCTTGAGGATTTCATTTTCCCTTTTGTACTGATCAAGTGCATGGTCTGATTGATTGAGAACAGTCTGAAAATAAACACAGCACCTTTTCAAATGTTCTAGTACTATCAATCATAGATATATTGAAAGGCTGTTGTTGAGAAACAAAATCTGATATATTCATCACTTCCATGATAGTGGCAACAGTGGTGTTTAAATGATAAGTAGAAGCTGTAGTCTAAAATTTAAGATATATTTCATACTTCACAATATCCTTTAATATATAAAACTAAATTATAAACAGCAGCCCACCTTCAGTTTCATGTACTCATCAGTTGTTCTGTCCATCTGCCGGACAGCATCTTCAAGTTTAAAGCGCATTTCATCTGCTTTCACTTGGAGGTCATTATTAGCATCAGTCAAGTTCTGCAATGAAAGAAAAATCACATAATCATATTTCAGACATGATTTTGGGTCGTAAAAAAAGAAGGAAGTAATGGCTCGTTAGCCTTACAACCAGGAGTCTGGGGGGCACTTAAGGCAGAAAACCACAAAAAAATTGAAACTACAATTTGAAAAAAAATTGTCTATGTGTATGTGAAAAAGAAATCAGCATTTGATATGCAACATAACAATGAGTTTGGAGTGTCATAAAATAAAAATACTAAAATCAATGAGTAAGGATTAAACATAAATGTTCAAAATGTGAAAACTTCCATCCTCCCACTACCATAAATAATTTCTTAACATATACAAAAATGTTTTTCATTTATGTAAACTATTGATAAGTTATGTGCATCAAACATACTGAAATTTAATCATTTGAATTTTAAAAGGTAAAAATAAGCCATAGGCAACTAGCATTCATTATTTAGAAACAATGTATTAATTCAGTGATCAACAGAAGTATTTCTCTTCTGAAACATGTCCTGTATATAAAAAAGAAAAAAGTTCATACCTGAACTTCTTCTAGAGCTTCAATCAGCTCTCTATTTTTCTTTGTCATCTTGTCCCTGAATTCCACATCTTTGCCACCTCGGGACAGCAAACTTTCCCGCTGAGACTCCATTTGACGCTGGTAGTCACGAATGTCATCTGCTTGACGTTCATTCTATAAATAATTTATACAGATGATTCTAATCTAGGTAAATAAACTATCCATAACTTATGTACATCAAACATTAACCATTGAACAAATCTGTCTTAAATTCAAATTAATGATCCAAATTAATAATTCATGGAATTATTTGTAATTGGATCTATTTATAATACAAAAACTGCATCTATTTACATACAACTAAATCCCAAAGAATGAAGAAAATGCTAAAACTGATAAAAGTAAAAATAACTTGGAACTTACCTCTCTTTTTAAACTCTTCAATTCTCTTTCCAATTCTTCCACTCTTGTCTTATCCTAGATGTGGAAAGACAGGGAAAATATCAAATTCAGTTAAATTCCATTACTATTTTTCTACAAAATCATTTATGTATACAAAAATTGAAGTTTCGAAAGGTACCAAACTGCAATTTTATATATTTTTATATATAAAAACATTAGAAATGGGCAAAAGATTCCTATGTCATCTACTTTTTGAAAGCAAAACATGCTTAAATTGTACATTGGTCTTAAAAAATAATACCCTTTCTCCTGCTCGTATTTCATTGTTTATCTGCTTGTCTTTCTCTTTCAGCTCATTCTGCAGTAAGTCAACCTGTCTTTCTAATTCATGGACTTCATCTCTCAGAAATCTTGCCTGGTCCCTGCCTGCAGCTGCAGCACCACCACCACCTGTGTCACTGCCATACCGCTAAAAATGTTGTACAGTGACAATCTCATTTCATATCACGTAAAAATCTAATATAATTACAGCAACAGTGTACTTTGTGTTGGTAATTTTCCACTTATATTATTCAGCTATTCATCCTTTTCAACCTTACAGAGTTTTTGAATAATACCTTGACATTCTTCAGTTCTTGTTTCAACTCTTCAATCTCATCCCGCAAGTCTTGCTCTGGAAAACACATTGATTTCATAAAATTCTAAAGAATATTTTACATGGACAGAGACTAAAACTGCTCTCTAAAAGTTCTTAAAGTAAGATCAAAAAACCCAAAAAGTACTATTATGATGGTAATCCTTACCTGAATAAAAATCCTTACCTTTTATCTTAGTCTGCTTACTAAATTTTGTTTGTTCCTCAGTCAAAATTTCACTTGCAGTTTGCTTGAACTGCATCACAGTGCGTGCTACACGAAACAGCTGACACAAGCGAGAAGGTTCTTCATCACCTGTTGGCTCATACTGAAGTAAAAAAAAAAAAATCAAAGTCTTCTAGATATTTTCAATTAATTAACTATCTGAATATCCAACTTTCACACATGGAAAGGATGTCTTGAATGGATGTCTTGAATTCATGCTGCATTAAAAAATATGTAGTTAGTAACTATAATACATACTTTAAAAGTAAGATATAGGAGACCAAGGTAAACTGAAGCAGAATAGGTAAATTAGGTAAATTAGTAAATTGACATTTAGATACAAAAACCTGACCATATACTTACTCCTTCTAATATATTGTACATTTCGTCAGCCTGGTCATCTTCCATGTCTTCAGGGTTTATCGCCATTAGGCGATCCCAGTCAAGTGGTGCCATGTTGCCACTAATCTACTGTAATAAGAAAAATAAAAATAAAAAATCCATTTACACAATAAATCTCTTTCATAACACTTTTGAAATTGATTAGTTTATAATCATAATTCTACTGTTTTACTTATCATGGATCATTTCCTAATTTAACATGTACTTTATACTACCATATTTTATCAAAATCTATGCTGATTCAACATAAATTTTGGAGCCAAGTAATGAGTCCTTAGGAAATATTCTAAAGCTTAACTCAATTGTTTTGCAACTGTCCTTTCATGCAGGGAATCACCCAATCCATCCAATAGTATTATGGCTATATTACATACAAAAGTAACTATTAAACCATTTTTGATAAGTGCAAAATCACATCTGACCAACCTTTTGTACTTTGCTACAATTAAATCAGATGCTCTTGTTGCTGACTCTGAGAGGAATTTAGACGTTTGCTGAAAATCTAGAAATTCGTTGAACAAGATAAACACCAAGTTCACAAATTGTATGTGGCGACCAAGTCTATTCGGTGTCCCCCAAAATATACTTATGTTTAGGCCTATAATGCACATACTTAATTTTCCTACTATTCATTTACATCCTCCATTTACCACCTTCAACCCGAAGATTAGTTTCTCTGTCCTTTCAGCCACAATTTCGGGATCATCAGCACAAATAATTATTTCATACCTAAAAGCCAACTGCAATAGTTAGAGCATCAAACATCACCCCCGTTTACACTGGTTTGCATATTATACTCACCTTTGCAATCAATGTTCAAAAATGTGCTATGGAAACTTTGACAATGTTTTATGAACAGTCAACATATCTGAAACTGTTAGATTGTGTTCGCGCTCGCCATTTGTATACAAAAAATGACACCTGAACTACGACATTCGTCGATAGATGGCCTGTGATGAAGACGTGATATTCGCCGATATTCGGTGCACTGTAAACACATTTCTTACCTTAGCATTGCATTAAAACATAAACTTGGGTTATTTTAACTTTGAATATTTTCTCTTTATTTTCACAATGGTCAATTAAAGTGTTTGGAAAAAAATAAAATGTCTTTTCTTGTTTTGAGCCATCTATCCATACACACGAGAAACCTAGATCGATGAGTAACTTGTGTCGCATGCATCCAACTTGTAGCCTTGTTTGTATTGACAGTTGTTAGGGTATCTGGATAAGAAACACGTTCATTTTATGTAACAGCTTAAAACTGACCTTGTAGGATTGGATTTGAACACAGAAATATGGGTTTCCCGCGCAGTGAATCATGCAGAGATGGCCAAGTTAGGCCAGTGTTTACCAGCAGTCAATCTAGCAGGGACTTCAAAAGTGCTGCCCTTTTCGATTTGTTAGAAAAAGAGATGGAGAAAGACGGCGCTAATATGGTAAAAAAGGCGAAGGGAATATACTGCTTCAAGGTTACTGGACCAGGTGGAAAAAGCGGATGCTGGGTGGTGGATGCTAAAAATGGGAGTGGCAGCGTTAAATTTGACCCCAGCGGCAAGGGAGATGTCACCATTGCTATGTCTGATGACGATATGCTCAAGATGGCCATGGGGCAGTTAAATGCCCAACAGGCTTTCTTTTCTGGTAAACTGAAAATAACTGGCAACATGGCATTAGCCCTGAAGTTGCAGCAGTTGATGCCTAAGCCAGGAACGTTTAAGGCGAAGTTGTGAAACTGCCAGTATAACTTAATATACGAAGATTCCGATGATAGCGAGTTGACTGACCTGTCAAGATATATTACTGCACAAAGAAAAGAAAATATTATATAACCACATTGACCAAAGATAGAAGAAAGAAGTGTGGCCCTCTTTTTCACTTACAGTATATTGGCTTATTTTTGTGAAACTTATTTGCTTACACAAAATCAGTGTAATATGAAGAGGTGAAGAATACATACATATAGGCAGGCTTCAGCACGGTTTTAAGTGTTTACTTGTCAAAAAGATTAAACATCAGTGAATATAATATATTTCACAAATTGTACATGTATGTACAGTGGAAAATCATTTCGTATGTAGCTACATTTCATGTTCAAATTTGACATTATAAAGACATGTTTTGGATCATCAAAAGACCAAGAAGACAGCCTTCCACTTCCTCCTTGACAGATGTGGAAGTAATTGCAGACATCTGAGAATCTCATGAGAGGCAGATACCATTCTATTCAGAACTCATTCTTTTACACATATTTTCTTTTGATTTACATGTTTATTGACATAGATAAATTTTGGCTAAAAATGGATTTTTGTGGGGTAAACTGCATTTATCCCATTCTTACTTTTTTTAGGTTCTTTGTAATAACCTCTTAGGAGATTGTTATAGAGAGTGGCTGTCTATGAAGGTCACATGAGAAAATGGCAGGCACAGAATACTTGTGATAACTGCCCTTTTGGTGGTAGAATAGAATGTATTATATTTCTATGAGTTGTTATACTATGTATTTATTGTAAAAAATATGAATCTCATACAAAGAGTTGTTATCCCTTTAAAGAAAATTAAATTATATAACATAAAAAAAACCATGTTCTGAAAAAACTTTATTGGCTAAAGAAATTTAAAAACAACTAATTTAACATTAAATTGATTGAACAAAATTGTCCGCAGATAAGTAGTAGGGGCGACCATATAGCCTAAAGTGCATAGTGTAAATTTTATGGCATAAAATTTATAGCATAAAAGGATGGAGTGTTTGATATGATAAATGGTTTGAAAAAGGATCTTTGCATTATCTAAAAATGTATAATTTGATTTTTGATAAGCAATGTATTGTCTGATCATTTCTTTTTTGAAGAATATTTAAGTTTGTTTAGAGTATTCTTTGCTACTGATTAATGTAAATAAACAAATAACAATGTTTTTACAGGAAAGTCATGGCAACACTTTGCCGACTACTACTCAAATATACCAAGTAATTAAAATAAATATTTTCATATTTTCACTTTATTCACTATTTGAGTGCGATTTTCTATAATAAGAAAGCATAGTATCTGAACTAGCAGTCTTGGCACTTAAAATTGCTTACATAAAGATTGCTTGTTTTGAGTAAGTGTCAGCACTCTCTTCAATGAGTTTTAATCCACCTGTTGAATAAAGTATTACAACCAGGAACCTGCTGTCTTTATATCTATCAACATACTGACAACCTCATCACACTATTTGTCTGTCATAAATATGGGACCAGCCCCTGCACTTACTGGGTTTGAAAAATTCTTAGTAATTGCACTTGGTCAAGTCAAGAACCATTGTCTGTATTCTGTATCATACGTTTTCCAGCAATAGTCTCTATCCATTAGTTAATCAATCAATAAAATGTTTATAAAAGCTGCATAGTAAACATTTGTTTGCTGCATATAGTCCCTAACGATGATATAATATAATAAGGATAGCAAACACTGCTTGGTGAACATTGTATAATTATATGGCATCTGAATACTGTCCTAATATAAAATCTCTTATGCTTATAGTTATCTTCACGCTCCACCAGACAGAAATATTCAATAGCACATTGGTGTTCAAGTCAGTGATAAACATTATAAAATTTTCATTACATTTGTAATATTAATATTTAAAAATGTAATATTAGTATTCACAAACAATGCCTCATGCCAAGGCACATTTATAAAAAATACATTCTTTAATATTCAGTAAATTGAACTAATTAAAAACAATTATCTCTTATTTTTAACCTATAAAATTATATTTGCTTCCAAAAATCTGTTTGTCAAATGGCACGCGTCACAAACATAAAACTTAAAATAAAGAGACACCAAATTATTACCATCTGAGCAATTCTCATCAAATGTCCAAATTCCTGCTGTATGGAGCTTTTAACAACTATTAATTAGTGATTATAAAAACTGATATATGTTTGATATTGTAATGAGTATAAACCCCGTAACAAGCACCTTCAACCAATAAAGTAGACAATATTGGTAACAAAAAAAATTTACATCTTACAATGTCCACGGAATTTCAAAATCTTACTGAGAAACTTGTATTTCAGACAAACTTGAATGACACAAACTATCAAAATGATGACAGCTTAAATATTTCTGACAAACTAAAATTGTACAGAAAATATCAAAATGGCTGCTCAATAAGTTGTTAAGTGTAACATGGAGAGATTAAACTCTTTAACCTCCACGTGGTCACCCACCTAGTGAGGTCCAATTAACTGTTGATTTTGAACTGAAATATAGATAGATATGATGTACAGAATGCACACTTGTCTGGAAACAAAATGCTGAAACTGATATATATGCTGTTACCCAACATTGTAATCCCATAGCCTGTACCTTATTGATTCATGTTTACTTTACACCTACTGTAATATTAATGCCATAAAGGTGCACTGTACATTGCAACCATTGTTGTTTGATATACATGCTAGCTTGGTCATAGTCATGTTTATCATGCATTTGTGCTTTAAATAATCAAATAAATAAACTTACAAAATATAATCATAATGCATCACATGTAGCTTGGAATAAGTATGTCCATTATATAGTATTGCCTTAGAAATGTTTCCAACCTTCTGCCACCCATGTCAACAGATAAGGAATATTTCTGTCATTGTCAAAAGAAACTGCATCTTTAAGGAAATTTAGGTGCTGAATCACTGCATTTCTATAGCCTTTGCCTAATGACACCACCATTTCATTGGATGATGCACTCTCTGATTCCTCAGTCCCCATTTCCAATGCAGGCAATAGGGGTACTATTGCTTTGACATTATCACAGTGAGGCCGGAAAACAGTGATGACCCTCATGCTTAAACTGTCCACTACTATAATGCATCCCCATGTTGAGCCAACAAACAGCTGACCATCAAGTACTTTCAAGCAGCTAACTTGGCACTGGGCAGCTAAAAAAGATGAATGTTGCTAAAACACAAAGTTCAATGTTCAATTTTACCTACACACAAAAATAAAAAATGAAAAATCTCTCTACTGAAAATCTATCTTTAAATTAGACTCAGAACTTACGGTTTAACTGTCCATCAAACCCTGGAAAACCTCTTAGGCGATCGATCTGTGGAATGACCCTGGATATGTCTGCCTTGGCTGCCAGCTTTTTTTCTTTGCTGTCCCATCGAAACACTGTAGATCCTTTAATAAAATAATATTCAGTCTTTGTCAAATGCAAACCTTTTAATTGCATGCACACACACACACACAAACAAAAAACAACTGAAACTGATAACATCAGTACATTCACACATCAATAACAAAGCAGCATAGCAACATAATGCCTGCCACACATAAGAGCTAACTTCTTATGGAAAATTTCAACTGTGGTAATATCAGCTTTCTTGTAAGGCAAATGACATAATGTACTTTTCTGTAAGCAGAAAGCTCCAGTGAGTCATATTCAGCAAAACACTTATCAATTTTCTATAAAATGTTACTATTTCTATAACAAAGGTAACTCTACATACCTGGATATACATATGACCAGACAGAGGAACTATCAGTGTGGGAGGTTTCTAGGAACAGTACATCCACATACTCCAACATTGGTTCATAATGATTTATGGTCACTGGACTTTCATTGGGCTGGTTCATTTTCAAAACAGATATGACACCCTCACTTTGACCTCCCCACAATTCATGATATCTAAAATGTCAGAAAAATGAAACGTATCTTAAAAAATCAGAACTTTAATTAGAATTAATTAGAATTAAAAACAACATAATTGTGCCATATGCATCACAATTTTTTTTGCTGATACAAAAACAAAAAATAGTGTAAGCCCAATGAATAACACAAATAATTCACAAATGTAATAAAAAGAACTGTAGCAGGTGATCAATTGAATCATAGCAATTTTGAGTTGAAAATACATGTAACTACATAGTATTACCCATCTTCTTGCTTGATGAAAGCACTGCAAAATATATTTCTGTCACTCCCCTGGAACTTGGATGCAGGTAATATGTTGGCCTTAATTCCTTCAGGCATTGCATTCATCTTCTCCATGCTGTAGGTTAATATGGATCCATTACTCAGGCTGACCATGACTTCTGATGACTCGAGTACCATGAAGAAATTGATCACACTTACAGTGGACTTGAGTGTCTCTGGGAGTTTGAAGCGAGCAATTTCTTTGTATGTTTTGGCACTGAAATGATATATAACAATTCAATCACCAATATGTAACTTGTCTGAATAAATTAGTAAACAAGTTGATAAAATCTGTTCTTCACTTTAATAATGAAACTGGGAAACAACAAACCACATTTCTGTGAGTTATTTCCTATAATACAATAAGCTCTGCAGCTAACTTAGAAGACACCTTTGCAAAACAAAAGAAGAAAAAAAATTAAGTAAGCCAACATATTAATTTAAAAGCAGACTTAATCTTAAGGTTTTTTTTAAAGTTACAATATGAAACAACTGAAAAGACAAGAAATCCAAAAGTGAGAAGAATATGAACTAGAGGATCAGAGAGGCGATACCGCCTCCGGATATTGTACCACCAGCTGGAGTAAGCGCATTCGGATGGGTAGTGATTTTCTAGACAATAGGCCGATTGGTTTTCCTTGAAATGTGTTATCAGTGTTGCATATATGCTGACAAAAGAGGAAACCTATGGGCAACACTGGGCATATCTCTGCTTNTCGAATGCAGGCAATAGGGGTACTATTGCTTTGACATTATCACAGTGAGGCCGGAAAACAGTGATGACCCTCATGCTTAAACTGTCCACTACTATAATGCATCCCCATGTTGAGCCAACAAACAGCTGACCATCAAGTACTTTCAAGCAGCTAACTTGGCACTGGGCAGCTAAAAAAGATTAATGTTGCTAAAACACAAAGTTCAATGTTCAATTTTACCTACACACAAAAATAAAAAATGAAAAATCTCTCTACTGAAAATCTATCTTTAAATTAGACTCAGAACTTACGGTTTAACTGTCCATCAAACCCTGGAAAACCTCTTAGGCGATCGATTTGTGGAATGACCCTGGATATGTCTGCCTTGGCTGCCAGCTTTTTTTCTTTGCTGTCCCATCGAAACACTGTAGATCCTTTAATAAAATAATATTCAGTCTTTGTCAAATGAAAACCTTTTAATTGCATGCATGCATGCACACACACACACAAACAAAAAACAACTGAAACTTATAACATCGGTACATTCACACATCAATAACAAAGCAGCATAGCAACATAATGCCTGCCACACATAAGAGCTAACTTCTTATGGAAAATTTCAACTGTGGTAATATCAGCTTTCTCGTAAGGCAAATGACATAATGTACTTTTCTGTAAGCAGAAAGCTCCAGTGAGTCATATTCAGCAAAACACTTATCAATTTTCTATAAAATGTTACTATTTCTATAACAAAGGTAACTCTACATACCTGGATATACATATGACCAGACAGAGGAACTATCAGTGGGGGAGGTTTCTAGGAACAGTACATCCACATACTCCAACATTGGTTCATAATGATTTATGGTCACTGGACTTTCATTGGGCTGGTTCATTTTCAAAATAGATATGACACCCTCACTTTGACCTCCCCACAATTCATGATATCTAAAATGTGAGAAAAATGAAACTTGTATCTTAAAAAATCAGATCTTAGAAACAACACATTTATGCCATGTTCATCACCAAGATTTTTTTTGCTGATACAAAAACAAAAAATAGTGTAAGACCAATGAATAACACAAACTCACAAATGTGATAAAAAGAACTGTAGCAGGTGATCAATTGCATCATAGCAATTTTGAGTGGAAAATACATGTAACTACATAGTATTACCCATCTTCTTGCTTGATGAAAGCACTGCAAAATATATTTCTGTCACTCCCCTGGAACTTGGATGCAGGTAATATGTTGGCCTTAATTCCTTCAGGCATTGCATTCATCTTCTCCATGCTGTAGGTTAATATGGATCCATTACTCAGGCTGACCATGACTTCTGATGACTCGAGTACCATGAAGAAATTGATCACACTTACAGTGGACTTGAGTGTCTCTGGGAGTTTGAAGCGAGCAATTTCTTTGTATGTTTTGGCACTGAAATGATATATAACAATTAAATCACCAATATGTAACTTGTCTGAATAAATTAGTAAACGAGTTGATAAAATCTGTTCTTCACTTAAATAATGAAACTGGGAAACAACAAACCACATTTCTGTGAGTTATTTCCTATAATACAATAAGCTCTGCAGCTAACTTAGAAGACACCTTTGCAAAACAAAAGAAGAAAAAAAATTAAGTAAGCCAACATATTAATTTAAAAGCAGACTTAATCTTAAGGTTTTTTTTAAGTTACAATATGAAACAACTGAAAAGACAAGAAATCCAAAAGTGAGAAGAATATGAATTATTGCTTGTAGTCCTCAATCTTTCTGTCTTTTCAAATTTTTAACTAAATCAAAATCCCTTACCTAAAAATTATTATGGTTCCCTTTTCATCTGCACACCATATCTGGTCCTTGGCAGCATACATACATGATATTGGGAGGCACTTAGAGATAATATTCTGGAAAACAAGAAGAAATAAATCCAATATGGTAAAAAATAATCATGAACTATGTCCAAATCACAATAAATCAGTTATGTTAGGTATTTTAAACACAGAAACAACAAATGATGCTGAGTTATAAATTAAAAAGAAACATATATTTCTCAATAAAATCTATACCACAAAAATTTTTAAAAAGTGTGATGAGTTTTTATCAAATGAGTGATGGCTACTTACCTTTCCTTGGACACAAGTATTGTTTTCATATGTCCACACCTGGATGTTTGTGGTACTAGTGGTATTGGCCAAACTGGACATTGCTAACCAGACATCATGTCTCTCAGGCACTGAATTTGTTGACAGTAGGGCTGAAAGAATTTTATTTTCTGTGTGATAACTTTTGCTACCAAACAGAGGCTACCTATGATTTTATAGATTACTGATATTCAGTTTTGGTATGCTGATACACATCATCAGATGTTTTGAGACAAAAATACAGCATCTGATCTTTAAAAAAATTATGGTATATACATGTATATATAAATTTGGAACTTAAAACTAAAAAAAGTTTATATATGGTAATTTTGACAGCAGTTCTGGTGAGGTATACCTTAAAGATTGAGAGAAAAGTGTTGAAATCACCAGGAAAATGTCATGTTTATGTACATAAAGGTCTAATGCTTATGGTGTAACTTTAAACTACGCACCACTGGCTTCCAGCCCTTGTTTCTCTTGATCTGAAAACTCTGAGCAAACTCCACAAGCAGCTGTCACCTCCATCTCACTTTCTGCACTCACGCAGTCCTGAAGGTGACAGAACTCTGGACAGGATGCTATACAGTTGATTTGTTGAGCTGTGGGACGCTGGTGTGGATCATGTGACCAACACTGTCCCATCAGGTCCAACACATGGGTTGGATAGTGAGTTGAATCCTGAAATTACAATTAATGTTTTTTTTAGAAATACGTAGTATCTTTTTTCTGAGTGGAAATTGCAAAATAAATATAAAAAAAACCCTTAAACATGTTTGCAAATATACACATTAAGAAGAAAAAACATCATTTGCCAAACTATCCCAAGTTATTTCTTACAGCTTCCTCTCTTACTTTTTATTCAAATATTTGCCTACCTTCTCAGTAAGTAGGGGTCGGTTTCCTGCTAGGACATATTCCTGCAGATCAGACTGCTCAATATTTTGATATGGTTTCTTCAGGGCAATTATTTCATACATCACAACTCCAAAGGAATAACAATCCACCTATAATAAAAACATTTTCATAAAATATGAAGTAATGATACAAAGAAAATGTTGTCAATCTTGTAGAATTGGACAAACATGTCACCATGCAAATTTGTTGGAAATAAGTATTCATGAATTATCTATATGGTTGGTCATGGTTCCAAAGTTATTAATTGCTATATAATCACTGAAACATTAGTAAATATTCATATGTACATGTCCTTTCAGCAACATATGTAAGGGTACTACATGGTAATCTGCAACTACAGACTTATTAGACAGGAAACTGAAATATTACCTTAGAGGTATAAACTTCTTCTCCAGCATGCATTAATATTTCTGGTGCAATAAATGCAGGGGTCCCAGCATGTCCTTTGGCAGCATTTGGCAATGCAGCACGGCTTACTCCATAGTCTGTTAGCTTGACATCTACCACTGATTGGGGGTTGTGGATATATGGAGGAGGCATGGACCAAACCAAGACATTCTCTGCTTTCAAATCTCTGTGTATGATATCAATGGAATGCAAGTACTCCACTGCAGAGGAAATCTGTGAAGACAAAGGTATTTGTATAAAATACAATCAAGGTCTCATAATAGTCATTGCAGGATGATGAAAATATATGTCTAAATCTCTTCTCTGAAGTTCTCTTTTTTTTAATTTTAAAATATTTATTAATTGAACTTCTTACCTGCATAATCAATTTCTTCAGCACAAATAATGGCAACCGTGCACCTAGCCTCTTATAGCTCTTAAGACAGTGTTTCAGATTTCCCTGTGGTGCCAGACCCAAGGCTAGACACATTGGTTTCATGCAGACACCCAGCAGGGGAACAATATTTGGGTGATGCAGTATTTGGAGAATACTCAGTTCCTGCCGAGCAGTGCTATAAGCTGTGCAGGAGCAACGAGTGGGATCATGTTCCCACATCCCTATTTGTCTCTACAGACGAAGAGAAATATAACACATAACTAAAATTAAGAGGATGAAATACATTGCACAGGCCATTGAATGTCATGATGATGAAATATGGCACAAGGACATTACATGTATTAGGAGAACAGTATACATGTAATACTAATAATTCAAATATTTAACTCTTGGTATCATAAATCTATCAAATCATGGATTGCAGCCTGCTCTTACCTTGTAATGCTCCTTCTCTGTATTTGATGCGTCATCCCCAGGGTTCACAGGCTCTAACATCTTCAATGCAGCATTACACACCTTCCCAAGCTGAAAAAATACACACAATCAATGAAACTGTCACTTACAGAATACAACAGTCATCAATATTTTTGCTCTAGAAAAAGCACCCAATAAAATGTATCAGTTTTCAAAATATTATCTTATATTTATAATATAACTAAAATTCTAACAAACCTGCCTATAATTCATTCTTAGAAAAACTATTCACACTTCAAATAAATGCTTATGCTATACTTATATTACTGTTGCTATATAAATTTAAGCACCTTGTTTTCAGCTGTTCCTGCAAAAACATTTCCAAAACTTCCTCTGCCCAGGAAATCAGTGTGCTGAATGGCCTTGATCTGATAGTCTTCTCCAAGATCGTCAAACATCTAAGTTAAACAAGGCAGCAAAGCTGTCAAACGTACAGACAAAAAACAGAAAAAAAAGATGCAATATAGGTCATTTTGTCAATTTTGATGCAATAATATATGCTTATAATAGCACAGTCAGTCAACACTGATTTTTAATCATGCACAACAGGTAACATGGTCAATAACAGGAGCAGATCCAGAGATATTTTCTGACAGTATTCCAAAGTATCTTTGTTGATCCATCCTCCATTTTGATGGTCTTCCAACAGAAACCCGTAAATATAAACTTTAAAATCTGACTGTCTTCCAGGAGACCCAGAAAATGGTCTCAATCAATCCCCTTCAATAAGATTACAGTTTCAGGACCATGAGAGTTAAAATTCACATGATGAAAGTCCCAATATATGAAAAATGATGACAGTCCATAAAATAATATTACAGCGTGTTTAGAGACATAAATACCAATACAACTGCTTATGTGGAAATACTGAAAATGTGCAGAGCCTCAGGTGAATGGGAGTTAAAAATCACATCTTAAAAATGCCAGTGTTGGAGAAAAAATTAAAAAGAAAACAACAAGAATATAATTCCAATGAAGCTGCTATTCACTGCTTCCTTATTATGGACACTATGTTATCTAGCAGAGAGCTTAACCTTTGGGAGTTTACAGGGAAATATCAACAAGTGTGCTTTATGAAATTTCATTTAATGGCCGCTTAATTAGGCAAATGAGTTTATAGCACTGAAATTAGCCTAGTGAATACCCAAGGGGAATTTACAGACTGACCACACAAATTTGTCTATCAAAGGTCTTCAGGCCCATACGTCACACCTTAAGAAAAGCAGAAAACAATAATGCACAAAATAAAACAGGAGACTACCAATTCTGATACAATAATACATTATGTTTAACTGCACAGTCAACATCAAATTTTAATTATGCACAACGTACAGGTAACACTGATAAAAGTAAAAGCATAAGTATCCAGGCCCATCAGAGTTCAAGTTTACAATTAGAAAGTGCCAGAATGAGAAAAATGAGAATTTCACAAAAAATTCATAAATTTAATAAAAATGATAATCCAATAGAGCTGGTTCTCTAATATGAGCTGTATGTCAATCCTAAGAATCATTTTTGTAAGAATAGTAAAAAAATAGAAAGTAACACTTTACTTTACATAATATTAATGGTAGCAGAGCACAAAGTAGGTTTTTTGTCAATTTTGATANGATTTCAAAATATTATCTTATATTTATAATATAACTAAAATTCTAACAAACCTGCCTATAATTCATTCTTAGAAAAACTATTCACACTTCAAATAAACGCTTATGCTATACTTATATTACTGTTGCTATATAAATTTAAGCACCTTGTTTTCAGCTGTTCCTGCAAAAACATTTCCAAAACTTCCTCTGCCCAGGAAATCAGTGTGCTGAATGGCCTTGATCTGATAGTCTTCTCCAAGATCGTCAAACATCTAAGTTAAAAAAGGGCATAGAAATGTCTTGCCAGTTGCAATATATGGTCTGTTCTTTACACATGACAGCATAATTGGCAGCATTCTATAATGTTCTTTAAGAACAATGAGGTACATTGCCACTGAGAACACATCTACAATACACCTACCCAATTTTTTATATATCCTGTGAATTATACACTATCAATATAGTGCAGCAGGATGTCTTACCTGATGACAGGCATATACATATTACATTACCATTTCTTAAAACCCAAACTGTTACTACAGATACATACAGCATGTCACTCACCAAGTCAGGAGCAATATGGGCCACTTTGTCTTGGACAGCTGCATCCATACTGACCAGCACATCATGAGATGGACACTTGATTGGTTTGCTGTGCTGAATCAGCTGTGTAAGGTGCTCAGCCATGTAGCAATAGATAACACCCTCTTGACTCTGTTTCCTACAAAAAAAAAATAATAATAAAATGCAAGAAATGCTCAATACCTGAGGAGACAGACAGACAGACAGACAGACACACAGACACACACACACACCTTCTTCGTAAAAGGAGATTTATGTGACATATAGGCATACAAAATTTAAAAATAGCCAAGCAAATGAGTACAGATAAACGAAAGGAAATATTGATCCATATCAGACATTTTTTTTTTGCTTATTAAAAAAAAATGATACTGACTGCTGTCCAAGGGGCACATTCACTTCATCTGTGACCACAGCCTCTGGTTCTAGTGGTTTAGTTCCCATTGGCCGGGTTAGTCCAACCATTGACCATAAAAACTGTCCATGCTCTGTAGTGGAGGCCTGCTGCTGAGCCTGGTCCATCACACATAATGGGCAAGGGACTATCCTCGTAACAAGGTAGGTGCCCTCAGATGTATGCACAAATCTCACACCTAAAAAAGACGTTTTAATTGGGAAATTAATAAACAATTACAAATTCAGAAAACTATTGGCATATGCATTACTACAAATACATCATATGTAATGAGTTAAGACTACCCAGTTGCTCCACTCAGGTGAGAATAAGGCTTTAAAAAACATGTTTACTTATCATTTCTTCTGCTACATGTTCGTGTACTACATCCAAAAAAATTAAAAAATGTCCAGTGACACCATATTCACCAATGCTTACCTAGGTCAGGATACCAGTCTTCTAGCAGCATATCAATATGATCAACAATCTTTGACAGCATTTTGGCAGCAGCCTTAGGGTTGCATGGCAGATCATAGCTGTCACTTTCAGTTTTCACAACTATGACATCATTGGGAAGGAAAATTTCAAGAATGGACATGCTGGTCACATTCAGATCCTTCCACATGTTGTTTTCACTCTCCCATTTTAGAAAACACTTTCTGAAGTCACAAAGTGTGAATGGCTTTTCTGCGTCAACTTCTTTAACTCGCAGGAGAGTGGTGACAAGGTGGAGCTCCAGACCCGTTTGCCAACAACTCCATTCAGCATGCCCCTTCAAATTATTCACTGCTGGATCAGACCTCAACACATCTGGAATCTTGTACATGTCACATACAATGTTGTACAAAGATCTGTCTCCTAGCAACCTGGTGATAAGGCGTGGCCAAAATCCACTGGGAAAGTAGGTCATAAGATACAGCCGCCGCAGTGAACTTGTAGGGCTGGAAGTGTAAGTGAGAATGCTGGATGGTGTAAGCATCCCTGTGGAGCTTTTCCTTTCCATTGCTGGCTCAGTCTCCTGTTGATCAGTCTTCTGCTCAAACTTTGAATTCATTTCTGCCCTGTTTTCATCACCAGAGGGTGCATAGAAGGTAGATTTCCCTGCATAGATTTCACGTGGCAGCACTGGGGGAACTAAGGATGAGCGTCTGTCTGTAGGCTTCTTGGCAGGTATGAGAGTTGACTTTCTGTTCTCTGTTATTGGAAGCCTCATAGGTATCTAAAAACATGGAAGGGGTATATGTACATGAATATCACGAAAGTTTCATCTGTGCTTAAATTCAGTTGCAACATACACAAAGATAACTTTGAAAAGTTAATGAAAATGTGAACAGATAATCCTAAATAGCTAAAAAAAAAAAAAAAAGGAAAACAACTAAAAACACGATCCAACACGAATTTTAGTGTGGCTCAAGTTGTTAATAGGACACCAATACTTAACCTTGCCAAATTTGCACTGCCATGTACAATACTAATGGGACTTGAAATACAATATTAGCCATCGATAGATAAAAAGTTACCTTAACATCACATATGTCATTTTTCAATTCTTCTTCTGTTGGTAGTAAAGAAGGGATCAGAAGATGTTTATCATCCCAAAGCAGAGCCACCTCAAATTTGTTTAGTAGACCAATGATGTATTCCTTAATGTCTTCAGGTCTGAATGCAGAGTTTCTGAACAAAATCTGAAGATCATCGGTTTGCATAACACCTATTAATGAAAGAATATTTTCATCATGTATCAGATACCTAACAGATAATGATTTGTCCCAAAGAGTGCCCTAAACATATTCCAAAAACACTGGGTGTCATATCTGCTTTTTCCATAAACATAAAACAATTATAAAATTTATGATATAATAAATGCAACAATTATTTTAATACATGACCAAATACATACTGAATTTCAATACTTCATAGCAGACAAAACAAGTTATCTCCAATATAAGGCATGTTTCTTTTTGCTATCTTTGTTATCATTAAAAAGGTAAAAACAAGGCAACTACTATAAGTATATAATCACTTTATTTTAAATCAATGACTTCTTCACAATGCAACAAACAAGTGTCAAGCACTCACCAAACTTAGCCAGACTGTTTATCTCCCTGACAGTGACCACATGGGCCAACATATCACACAGCCACTGGGGATCAAGAAAGTACATATCCCGAAGAGAAACATCATTGTAGTGAAGCAATACACCTGAAAATACAAATACAAACTGGAATGGCAATTTTTTTTTTCTTTTAATTTTGGTGGCTTATATGTACACTTTCACAAATTTCTACGATCATTATTGGTTCATGAATAATGTGAAGAATTTAACTAAAACATGTTCTGTAAAGATCTTTTATATAAGCTTATTTATTATACTACTTTCTGAAAATTCCCCAGTAAGAGCCGACTGCTTACCATTGTCATGTAGGAAATGAGTGGCTTGATTCAGCTCCTGAAGATCACGGAAGGAATGCTTGAACATCTCTTCCATTTTCAGCATTACAAGTGTTCTACAAAATGATCCATAATATATTTTAAAGTATTATTTACAGTTCATTCAACTAGTTTTTTAATCAACTGTTCTACTTTTTAGTTTTTTTAAAGCCAACAATGAATCTCTTTTGTCTAAGGCTATATTCCCAGAGCTTTTAGATCGATCTATCCCCGCAGGGAGTCTCACCAGATTACTGTCAGATAATCCGGCTTAAATGTCCGTCCCGCCTACTACAAGCTTTAAGGGGTAATTAACTTTCGTGTCCGCCCGGCTGACAGCTATTTAGCGTGAACCCCCAGGGAGTTAGGTCGATCTAAAGTAGATCGATCTAATCTCTGGAAATGGGGTCTAAGTAAGGCCGTATACATATTTTTAAAGTATTAGTTGATCTGTAGGACATTAAAACCCCTCATTCTAAAGTTACTCAACATACTTGTACTGATCTGCATGCAGCACTGGGTCTTTATCTTGACTCTCCCTCTCCTCTGCAAGAGCTCTCACCACATCCTCAAGTTCCAAATATTTGGCAGGGATCTTCTGCTCCAGAAGTTTGTTAGATCTACTACCTAGACATTAAGTAAGATATTATAGGAAATGATTTTGCATGTGACAGTTATGTGGTATCAAAGACCCCATGCTGGTCTGCATAGATCAATCCAACTTTGCTTAACTAAACTGAACTGAATGACACACCTCTTCTTGTTTCCAACATATTCATATTATCACCAACTTTTCTGTATTCTACTTAATGCCAGGATGAGTCTGGTTAATTTGTTGTCTGAATGCACTCAACCAGAGTCCCTCCCAGTTAGATCGATCTATGTAGACCAATGGTGTCTATGGGAATGAAGCCTAATATGTTTAAATGTAATTTTTTACAATTATTATATTGGATATCACGTAGGACCAAAATAAAAAATAATCTAAATTAAAAATCAGATTAGAAGCAGCACAGCCAATGTTACAAAATTATGCAGATTTTAATTATCTTATAAATCTCATAAATGATTACTGGCTTTAAAAACAATACTTTGCATGGATTTAACCTCTTTGCTTACCTGCATCAGCCAATTCAAACACTTTCTCATGTATCAAATCAACCAATTTCTTGATAGAATCTCTTTTCTTACAGCTGACTTCTATCCTCGCTTTCACTTGGGGCAATCCAGACTTTTCAGGCTCACATATGTTCACAAACTGGTTGTCAATGAGCCTGGTCAAGTCTGGCAGGAAATTATGAGGAAATCTTCTGCTCTTCAGCTCATCCAGGTGAGTCCCAATTATGATCACGGGTGCTCCTGGAGCACGGGCCTTAAGAAAAAAAGTTAATGTTCTTAACTTTTCAATGGTTTCAATTTAATGGTTCATTTTTTTTTTCAGATTTTTCCAATAATATTTTTGCTGATATGAAACCAACTTTTCACTTTGAACCAACATATAAAAACTCTATAAGCAAAAATGGTGGGGGGGGGGTACCAAAGACTTCAAAAAATCTATGATCTGTAACATATTTCTTTGTTTAAAAACTGGAACACTCCTACTTGTATGTTGATAAGGGATTTACTCATTTGTTCAAACTTAATTAACCCAAACCCAATTATCACATATAATGCCTTCACAATTATGATCAATAAAAAAGTTAACACAGTAACATACAAAGTATATCTTAGAACAAAAGAAATATGTTTGATGAATTAACATTTACCCAAGACTTCAAAAAATCTATGATCTGTAACATATTTCTTTGGCAGTTTAAAAACTGGAACACTCTTACCTGTATGTTGATAAGCCATCTCTTAATTTCACTGACACCTTTCTCTCCATCTGTAATTTTCCACAAGACCAAGTACAGAGAGCGTCTGGTGAGAAAGTACTGGTGGGTGGCATAGTATTCTTTCTAAAATGCAAATGCAAAGTAAAACGTACAAGTAAAAGCTAAACTTGATGTAGAATTAGTAAAATCATTGATGTTATTCACATTACTTTAACTGGCAAAATGAAGAATCCTCCTTTAAATGAACACACTTCCAAAACTACAGTGTACGGTACCTGTCCACCAAAATCCCATGTTTTGAATGACACTTTCTTTCCATTTTTGTCAATGGTGAGGTCCCCTATATCAACTCCCACAGTTGCCACGAATTCCCCCTTGGCATCTTTGTACATAGATGTCACTCCTGTCCTACTCACCCTTGTGCTCCAGTGCTGAAAAAAGAGATAATAAAATTAAAAGATTGTCATATCTTTAAAAGATCTAAATTTGTTAGATTGGTGAAATTTGTTGAAGCTTGTCTTTTATTTATCCAACAAAGATCTAAAATATAAAATTATTGGTTATCTTTGCAAAAATATTTAACCCCATTCATATGGTAGCTATATCATCACATACCTTTGGTGGTGGCTCTTTTGCAGCAAACACTGGCCTAACCTCATTTCTCAAGCAATTGAGCAAAGTTGTCTTTCCAATCTTCTCAGTGCCAACAAACATTAGTTTCATGCGTGCATATGGTTTGGCACTGAAGGACGAGCATTTTAATATTACTTGCAATGTCATTGAGATTAAACATCATGAAATTACAAAATTAGGTAATTCGTCCTGAAAATTGAATATAACTAGAGGATCAGAGAGGCGATACCGCCTCCGGACATTGTACCACCAGCTGGAGTAAGCGCATTCGTATGGAAAACCAAAAACAAACAGGAACAACCACCAATGTTGTGTTTGACAAGCTCTTCAAAATGCAATAAACAAGACAAGAAACATGCCCCTTCCCCCAAAATAAAAAAAAAAAACAGCACTACTTTTATAAAAATCGTCTGATCAAGCCGATTTTCCAGACAATAGGCTTGTCAGTTTTCTTTGAAATGCATTATCAGTGTTGCATATATATTGAAAGATAGAAATAGGCCCATCTCTGTTAGTTTTGGAAATATAAGGGATAGAAAATTTGCAAAGTTCAGTTCATGGTGAAAAGAAGGTCAAAGGACAATTTAAATGTGACAGTTAGATGTCCAGCATATGACTTCCTATTCAAGTTCAAAAGTAACCATGCGTGTATCTCTGCCAGTATTGGAGATAAAAGAGATGGAAAAATTGCAAAGTTCAGTGCATGGTGAAAAGTAGGTCAAAGGTCAATTTCAAGGTCACAGTTAGATTGTCAGTATGTGACTTCCTATTCAAGTTCAATAGTAACTATGGGTGTATCTCTGCTAGTTTTGGTGATATAAGGGATGGAAAAATTGCAAAGTTCAGTTCACAGTGAAAAGTAGGTCAAAGGTCAATTTCAAGGTCACAGTTAGATTGCCAGTATATGACTTCCTGTTCAACTTCAATAGTAACTATGGGTTTATCTCTGCTAGTTTTGGAGATATAAGGGATAGAAAAATTGCAAAGTTCAGTTCATGGTGAAAAGTAGGTCGAAGGTCAATTTCAAGGTCACAGTTACATTGCCAGTATATGACTTCCTATTCAAGTTCAAAAGTAACCATGGGTGTATCTCAGCTACTTTTGGAGTATTTCACATTTTATTTTCACCATTGAATACTGCTCAGTTGTACTTTTTGATATAGCCCAACTCCTTGACCGTATCGCAAACAAAAAAAATGGACACCACCTCCAGTATTGCACTTGACAACCTCTGCATAATGCAAAAAACAAGAGGTCTCTAGCATTTACGGTTCCAGATTTAGGGACAGTTTTCAGTTTCGGCATGTTATGGCTTTCTCTCCCATGAATATGCACCGATTGACCCCAAACTCCCAAAGATGAAAGGAGTCACTAATAAGGTCACACGTCAAGGTTATTTTCAGTTGCACCCTGGATTACGCACGCTTGCTCCGCAAGGTGTCGCCTGTGGTGGGGGGGCATCACAGCCCATATGGTTACTGTGGCGAAGGTGACGGGTACTTCCAAACATTTTTTCATAACTGTCATTTTTCCTTATTCTATTCATGAATTTGATATTTACGGCAATTGAAAATGTGGCACCGGCAAAAGTGAATCTAGGTGCGTTGACAGGCCGCACAGGTGTCCCCAATTAACCGCCGCCAGAGAAGAGACCCCAGGCATTAAACAACACAACCTGTAGATATTGGAAATTTGGAGAAAGTTAAGCAACTGAGGCTTTATTAGATTTGGACAGAAATCGGGGGTAATGCCCAGTGACATGCCAAACCCCTAAGTTCAAGTCTTGGCCCTTGACACCTGTAACGCACCCCTTAGTCAAGAATCTGAACAAATCAATGTTGGGCAGGTACAGGGTATACTCTATTTTCTACAGGTGTTTTGTGATTTTATCAACTTGATTGTCAAGTGCCAGACCTTTTGTTCTCAGGTACTAGTAGCAAACTTTATCAGATAACAATCTGACGCTAACCAAGCTGCAGTAACAGCGATGTAAACCCAGTTATCAATGCTGTCATCTTTACCTGTATCTTTACCGGTATTATGCCAGTGGTACGTTTGATACATTTGAGTAAGGAAATATGCTTTTATGCTTACATTCATTTGTAATACGTTAGCATTAACCTGTTAATAAAAACTTGGAAACTTTCAATGTTATTACACAATAACAGTATAATGATGGGAGATGTTATGATTAAATGCTTAGAAGAATAATAAAAAACAAATTATGTGAAATATAAAATGAATTGATTTTATTTGGGTTATTTATTTATTTATTTATTTCAAACCAAATAATTATCAAACATGAAGCTTATTTTTAGAAACATTCGCAGATATATGAAATATAACCCTGCTGGTACACAGATCTACAGTTCTAAAATGCAAATACCAAGTACCTTTCACACACCACTGATGAGATGTGAATAATCATACATGTATATATAAAGAAGTAAAAATATCACAAAAAGTGTGTAAGCAAGATATTTCTGCAAGTAACCTCATTAATCAGTCAGGAAACTTCATAATGCACCCAATAAATGTAGAAATTTGAGCCAGAGAAATTCTACATACAGGCATGACAGATTTACCATATATTGCCACCAACCCTAAACTGAATGGGCATAGAAAGAACAAAGTGAGTCTCCCTCCCATTAAAAACGAAAAATGAAAATAAATAAAAAACAGATACTGTCATTCTTAATACTGAAAAACAATGGCACTTTGCAGCCTTCACTGCCTCACTATTTGCAGACAATGTTCTAGTCACTGTAACTGTGTACTTTTGATAAGGCATAGATGCAAGAATAACTTATTTGAGGTATATTGTGAAGGTCTCTTTTGTCATAAATCTGCCATGTATAACCTGAATGTACAATGATTCACACCGCAGCAGCTTGTCTTAGTAAGGACTCAACCAGTTTGAAAACTTGTGGCATAGCTTCAAGACAAGATCACACCATCTATCCTTGCTGTTATGACGGATCTACTAGTACACTATCTATGTCTTGTCCTCCTAGTTTCTCTAATACCATTTCCCCTGATCTATGCTCACATCAATCTCTACAGCTTTACCAACTGCTACACAGTTTTTACATCTGAAAGTATAAAGCAAAAATTGTAATAAAGCACTATCAATTTACTTGTTAGATATTGATTTGAGGGCAAGAGAAAAATGCAGAAACCTCATATCATAATCAAGATAATTGAAAATCAAATATGCATAATCAAATTAATAGCTTTAATTGAACACACTACTGATAATTTAATCTTTTAAACTTCAGCATAAATTTCTCTTGTTAAAGCACAGCCACTTTATCAAAATGTGCTTGAAAAAAAATAATAATAATGATAATAATAATAAAGAACCTGCACATTACTCAGAAGATGGAACATGGAGGTCAATTGCCACAAAATAAGTTGATTTGTACTTGGTAGCCTGAGAAATAGTATCAGGTATTAATTTGAGCAGAAAATTGAGTAATAATACCACAGAGTTAACAATGACACAAGCATATGGTGTTGTGTAACAAAATTCATGCATTACTTGCTGTGGCAGTGTAATCCTCAACCTATCGTGCACCGCAGGTTTTGATTTTCAATGTCATCAAAATTTTTTATTGTTGTTAGTTTGATTTATGTATCTGCTATGCAAATAATATCCTTTGGAAAATAACTTACTGATTTAATTATGCTTTTGCAACATGAAATTATCATTATCTTTGCCGGTTCACGTGTATACAGTACCTTGCAATCAGTGCTGCTCTTTTCTCCCCAACTCGGCACTGACAGTCTAACCACATCGTTTCAAAACAACGTTGGTATGCTCCTTTACTTTTGGCGTTGGCAGTTTCGCCCTGGGGACATCGTTTTTGGTTAAAAACAACGTATCATTTTCACCCATCTATGCATTGCTCGTGTACAAAATGGCCGCTTGCTGCCCCCCCAAGGGAAAAATCGTAGCACGTGGGTAGTTACGCAAGACCTGTGACGTATAACGCGCGCAAGGTTATTGCCTTACTTAAATTTTCTATTATAGCTGATGCTAAGAGATTGCTATCGACTCGAGCAAACAATAGCGGGTTATGTTGTATCAACTGAAACAGAAGGCAGGTCGAATATGAGAACAAAACTCTGAAGAACAAATCAGACTTACTTTTAAAACACGTATAACAATTTTATTTGACGTCCACTTGATCATAAAAAGTCACGATCAACACAAACGTAGTTAAAAGGAACAATTTTTCATGGGCATAACCAGGCATGCGCTGTGCGTACAATGTTTTTGGCCAACCATGATGTTATTCTCTATTATAAATTCAGTGTATTTTTCAAGGAATATAATCGAAAATCCCCTTCGATTGTAAGTTAACGTCAACTGAATGTACAAATCCTCTGTATAATTCATATATGCACCAATGTTCTGACCCCCACTCTCGTGGACGTTGTGCGAAATTTTCTTAGAGTAATTTGACGTACCCAGCTTTTATGATGCGTCACAGTTGAATGGTACTACTTTAATTTGAAGTGAACGCTCTTATTCAGTCACGACGAAACTACTTCCTTAAGCTTACAAAACACATTAAAATGTTTCCATTAACTTTAAAATACACATTCCACGCCGTATGCCGCAGTGACAAGAGTGACTTTCATGCGGTAAAAAACACGTGTAGGCCCTTAACGAACTCTAAGCAAACTAACCGCCAAATTATGAAAGGGAACACCTTCCGGACCTTCATACGTACAGCACCTGACAAAGCTGATAGACAAAAAGGAAATTTGTTCGCAATCCGAGAGAGACGAGGAGGCAGTTTTCATATATGTTAAAGAGACTTCGTTGGCCAAAGAGCGAGACAAGAACGTAATTTTCGTATCGTCTGCGGGGGATCGTTTGCAATCTCATATTCGTTTAATGGCTTTCGTTTGAGGAAGATAGATAAGATGGACACTATTTGATTTCCAATCTTTATTAACTGGAAACAATGAAGGCTGAAATGCATACAAACAAAATATTAGTAAACTATATAATATAATAAATGGAAAAATATGAAATACACAACAAAGAACTAGATTATGAAATATTGATATATGTAAATAAATGAAAGTCAC